TCTTAATCAGTCTTAATCTATTCATCAGCGTGGTAGATGGTCATTAGAAAATCTGCCAATAGATATGTTGAAAGTGTTTCCATCAGAACCGATTTACTTCATATATCTAGCCGTCACAAAATTTATTTCTTTATGGAAAGACCCAACCATTAAGTGACTAAAGATAATGAATCAATATGATTTCGCATCAATCGGTGAAGCCGTAGAGTGTTATGGACAACATAAGACTTGAGACTTCTAAAGGAAATGTCGTTCACTGCATGAAATATTTAACTGAAAAGCAACCGAATACAGGTTGTTTTTACCGTACTTAGGTCCTGTAGTTCTTCATGATATGTTATCGTTGGCATTTTACGGAAACTCTCAACGTACATCATGATAAATCTGTTTGTCATCACACCCGAAGTTGCACACTGTCTTCTCCAAGTGTTAGCGTTAATCTGAATAACTTCTTATTGGGATACTGTGATGACTTGAAGTATTTGAATTACAGTACAAACTAGTATTACTGGTAATAACGCGACTTGATCAAGAAGTATTAGATGAGCACCAACGAATGAACTGTATTTGGAAATCGAAATCAAAACAGTCATCAATACAAATAAATCATTGATTCATATAAACATCACAGATAGGAAAATTGTTACGGTGCATAGTTCAAGGCACGTTGTTGACGACGTCATTGAACATGATAGTCTAGAATCATCTTCCACCTTTCCTTCCGAATCGTGTATGCGAAAAATCGGGGAATCAGTACACTACATATATGTGACACAAGCTACACAGTGATATGGCAAAAAAGTTTGCTTTCAAAGTCTACCGAATCTCGGCGTGTCAGGCAATGTGACTGATTTTGTTATCGTGACTTCTCTGGGGAAGCAATTACTTGCAGAAATTCGAAGTTGTCCACCACTAGGCCTGAAAATATTGCAATCGCTAACGGCAACCCTGGGTTCAGTACGCAGACTGTTGGTGATGGTAGCATTAGGTTTACGGCATTCAACGATCCTTAAGATTTCTTCACTGACCCCTTTCCCTCTAGTATTTTAAGTATATTTAAGTGCTCCATTGTAAGCCAAAAGTGTACGTGGATTACACTGATATATACTTCGCAAGTGTATCTGTATCGCGACACAATATTATGAGACTAACATTCCTTTTTTGCATACATTCCCTTAGATGGGGTGACATCATTTCCCAAGGTCAGTTGCATATATAAATGGTTTAGTGTAGCAGGTTCATACGTTGGTTGGTACTTTTGCATAGTTCACCCGGCAGCTATTATGAATATTACAGTTACCATATGTAATGTTTCCAAAATTTTTAACGCCTTTACACTGACTTGTAGCATTAACTGAAACAGTATGTCATCGTTCTGGACAAGAAAAGGAAGCAAGTGTTGATCACTACTAGAAAATGGCTGCTGAACAAACAATTTGGTCCGTGCGTGACCGATCGTTACGGAATCCGACCTGTTGATCATGAAGCTGGACGTCAATTAAATCTTTCACCCGGTTCAGTTAACATTATGACGAAAACTTTTCCTGATACTGATAATGTAGTGTCTCTGTAGTTTCCACATTTGCTGAGATCACCTTTCTTTGATATCTTGATGGGCTGTACTTTTGTTCAGTACGTCGGCACTTGTTCCTCTTCTCAAATCTTCTTGAATGTAAGGCGAAGCATGTTTGCAGTTACTCCAATGTCCGACTTCAGTGCGCCATCTGGTATATGTCAGATCCTGCTGTTTTCCCACTCTTTATTTGTCTGGTGGTCATCTGATTTCTTCTCGAAACTTGTTGTTGAGAGTTATCTTGAATTCGTTGAGTTTGTTACTAGTTTGAAAGGAAGACTGTATTGAGCCTTTATAAGGCTGTTCATATAGTGGATGATTGCTATAAAATAGGGCATACGTTTATCTACTATTGGCACTTTGGCTGTTTTTATATTACATCTGTCATACATAAGAGTAATATTTCTAGTCTTTTTTTGTAGAACTGTCAATGAAAGTGCTAATTCTACGCAATGAACAGAGAAAAAGGGATATCACCATGGCAAATAATATGATGACTTATGTTAGTGGTGAAAAATGTATATGTATTTATTTCTAAAATTCTAACAAACGATATTATTTATAATACATCAATCTTTTTACTAAGCAAGGCTTATCTATTGCGTTCGTTATTACATTTACTATCGAGATAGGGCTACTTCGATAAAATGAATAAACTGTAACTGTGTGTTGACACTTTCCTTCTAAGAATTGCAGAATTGGTTTGCTCGAAAACATTCATTCATCATCATTGTGTGTGCGACAGACACGTTCTTGCTAGTAGCTATGGTTTGTTTGCCTTCAAACTGCGTTTATTTTGTGAGGTCTGCTGAAGAAAAAATCTATGAATATGTACGTAGTAAAATGCGGGTACCCGTTATTAAGTCCGAATGCTTTACTAGAAAATAAGTAATTTTGGCGTTTTTACACAGAACGTCAATGGATTTCCCTAAAGCTTAGGAAAGTAATAGGAACAACCAGAAACTGAGAATAATGTCATCAAAATCCGGAAAATATTTTTGAGTTTGATCCCAGAACATAAATGAAGTTCCCCAAAGTTTTCGAAAGTTCTGATGACATTTTTGGGAAATTTCGGTTTTCCCTAATATTTCCCTAAAGTCTAAGAAAATTGCATCAGATCTCAGGTGGTTTTTAGGTTTTCGTGCCATTTTCCGGAAAATCTATATTATGGCCTCCCCAAAATTTCTCAAAACTGCACAAAATTTCCCTAAACTCCGGTTATTAACTGTTGTTACTCATTTACAACAGCTGCCGACATCTCATTGAAACCAGATTGTTTTATTTCCTCAACATATATCAGCTTGGAATATTTTAGTGAGATACGGAGCTACAAGATAAGATAAGCCACAACTGTTGGTTAGAGCTTTTATACACCGACAGCTAGTCGTAGTTGAGCCGTAACGTGAGTTCACTTTGGTTGATCTTACGAAGCCTAATTTATGAAATCTTTGGAGGATTCTATTTCAGTACAACATAGTAGTACACTCCTGTGGGCATTAGTTTTGTCTCGACATTATGGCGTTGACTGAGCACATTTCTGATGTACATCGAAAATCCAGGAATAGCCGTCCGATAAAAGCCAGGAACTTAATTCGACCTTATAACAGTTACATCACCTCGCTTCATCATTTCAATTACTTTTCTGTCTAGCTTTTGCCTCACCAATAGATGCACAGGTGGAGACACCTCCGTACCAGTACTTCCTGAATACGTTTTATTGAGCTTCATGGATTTAGGGGTTTCTCCCCAATTTTTCTCTAAACTTTGGGGAAAACCACATATGGTGAGACCTATTGCTATGAAGACTGCCTCTTACCTGATTGTCTCTATCTGCATTTGTTGATGTGTACGAGATAGGAGATCTACGACATCCAAATCACTCAGCTGTCCAAAGGGTACACCATATTCTATGCTTTTTATGAGTTTTTGGAGCTTTCATACTGTAATCAAAGACATGTCGTCAGATTATCCTAGTCTCTCCTTTTATCATCCCCATCTTCTTTTTATTTTTGAACTTTTATCTGCTATTACTGCTTGCATTGTCAGGTGAGTAATTTACTTTTCAGGAACTTATCCTTTTTTGATCCTTTGAAATTAATTTCTGTCCTGATTATAATTTTTGTTGTGACTGGTCAACATCATTCATGACAATATGGTGGCTCCTTTTACCAAAGACTCTATTTACCTGAGGCAAACGTACTCACACAGATTACAAGCTGTACAACTCCACACAAAACTGCCAAACTGACTAGGCTTCGTGTAATCACCCACTGGAAATTACCAAAGGTTTGAAACTGTCTGAAAAAACAAGAAGCAAGCTGGAAAAAATCAGTCGGTTTATCCCTGCTCATCACAAATATATTGGATATTGTAGTGAATATCGGAACAGACACGCTTACTCCCAGTCTGACGTGATCTCGTTGACCTTCCATCGCCTACCGAGAATATATACCGTTCAACTACTATAATGGAATATTTCAGCACTTCCAAGGATGAGAACTGCATCTTCGCTATACTGGCAGATAGCTGTACTCAGAAATTTGACATCCATATTCACATCAAGGTTGAAACGTTGTGCAGTAAGTTCAGCTATATCGACCAACTATTCTCTTCGTGGTTGTTTCGACTGCAACATATATTCATTCACTTGCATACATAGGACTTGTGGATGTGTTACTAGACAGCCGAGACGTTGTTTCTTAGGACAGTCAAAGGCAACAATCATCTACCAGTACTCAAATAATCACTTTATGATTCTCCACATCTCAATCAACAAATCACCTGCCTAGTAATTGTTGATATCCAGAATCTCTACTGCCCTGTGACAATAAGAAGTGAGCGCCAAGAAGTCAATAATCATTTGTTAAGCATTGAATAGTGGACTGTAAAGCGCAGGCTTTGTCAACGTCGTTACAGTCCCGTAAGTTGAGGTTTTGCGTTTTGTTTAGTGAACTAAGATTGATCCTCATAGTATATGTTCACATGCAACAAAAAACTGTAACTCGTCCACACGTGTTAAAAAATTAAAGTGGGTCCTTTAAAAATGATCCAGTATTTAAAAGTAAGTTGGACAGTAGCTAGCTGATATTTATCGCTTTCAAACATCACTCTTATAGAACTCAGGTATATTTCTTACCAAACAATTTTAGTTATGCGATTTGTAAAGGTATTTGTCGAGTCACTATAACAGAGTTATTACTGTGCACCATATTTACTTCGATTACACTTGGTGCTTCTATGATGAGAAATTTAATATTTATTTAGTTGAAATATCTCTTTAGAATCTTTCAAATTACTACAAAGTTGTAGTTCAGTTATATCTATTGTCATGTTTGTTGACATGTCATAAAAAGGTTTATTTAACGCATACTTGTTTTCAGATATTGGTAATGTGAATTTCGTTTAGTGACGCTGGTTATTGAATAAAATGGAACAAGTACGCCATGGACAAGATTCATGGGCTCAGTTTGATGACGATGATAGTTCTACGGTTGGGAAACATTTATCAGTTCCCATTTGTACCTCTCACTGTAAGTATACTTACATTATACAGTATACTTATATTAACCAGTGTACAATAAATATTGTTGTATGACTTCATAAACGTTCTCCTGTTCTTCATATTCTATCTTTATAATATGGAGTTACAATCAGATTGTTTTTTGTAGTATATGATGATTCAAACTCCTCCTGACAACATGTAGTTTTTGAATGACCCAGTGGAGGTTCAGCATTTCACTTCAGTTGCACATTTTTTCTGTTTGGTCAATAACTTTGATTACATTACATTTCAATCTTTTGTCAATATTCGGACTGAATAATTGGAGAAAGGAGCGAATAACGAAAATATCTGGACGTATTTCTTTTTTCTGTAAGCCCCCAAATGCCCTTGTACATCCGACTGGGAAGAATTAGCTTTCCCTCTCGAAATGCTCTCACGTGGTCACGTGCATACAACTACTGTCATATAAGGCTTCCTCACTGCCTTCCCATAGCGCCGGTGTTGTTTACGAAATTGAGAGGATGAAAAGCGGATGTCCGGCGATTTAACCGTGTTGGTGGACACGGAAAGTTCATCTAGGGGAGTTGGAAAATCCTGATTCCAAACAAATGGTGCACATAGGCTCCAGTATCTTGAAGGAACAATGGGCGTATGAACCAATTATTGATCATCGTCTACCATGGGACTGCATCTGACGTTGCTCCATGGCCTTGTGGATTAGACCTTTAGGTCAAAGGCTCCGGGTGTGGCCTTCCAAGAAAACCACCTTCTTCGCTCTGCGTACCCAAATTGTATTCAAGCCCTCACACAAGTCCAATGATTTATGTAGCGCATATCTGTTTGGTGACTCCTATCAATATTTATGTGTTTAAACAAATAATAAATCAATAAATTTCCTTTATAAACCAGTGGACTTACTCGTTTACTTAGTATAATATAAATTCATGCCAGACCGTAGAAATTCTGTTTGCATACTTTACTTTCAACCAGTTGATCATGAATTTGTACAACCTTTCACTTAACAAGGCTGGAATAATCAGATAATGTCATCGACCCTCTCACTGTACGTATCATTTATAACCAGGGACATTGCTGTATCCTCTATGCATTTTTTTATTTATTTATTTAAACACATAAATAATGGTACAAGGAAGCACCAGATAAATATGCGCCACACAAATCTCATTCGATTTGTGTGAGGGCTGTGATACTGCCCAGGTGCCCAGACTGAGGCAGGTGGTTTTCTTAGGGGGCCACACCCGGAGCCTTTGACCTGAATGTCTGATCCACAAGGCAATGGAGCATCGTGAGGATATTTCAATACTTATGTTCTCTACAAAACATATGGTTTTAGAGGATTTCTGTTACTGAGCAATATGGTGACAGTAACAATAGAATGAAAGTTAAGGACTTTATAATATCATTGCTTCGGTAGCAAATAATTTAGAGGCAAAGTTTAAAACATAACTTTGGAATTTTATTGAGTCTATAAAAGATGACACAATCTGAGTTGAACACAAGGTTCGAAACAAGAAGTGTAAGTTAGCTAGTAAGGTTGTAAACCTGTACCTATAAGAACGTCTAGGTAACGTAATTCAAAAACCAAGTTATTGTCTGCTTTAATGTGTGCAGTTTTAGCAGGGATGGGATTGGATCGGAGAAGAGCTAACTGTAATCTAAGTGTAAATAAACTGCATCTTCACTTCTATATACATCTTTCGTTGAAGCTGATTTTTTACATGCTGCAGTCACGACAAAAAATTCTGACCAGCTGAAATATTCTTAAGAGGTACTTTTTTAAAGAAATATGACAATGGAAAGTGATGTATTCATTAACTGAGCTAAGCCTTAATTCTTCCATTTACTCACTAAATGTTTTTATGTTCACTTCAAGGCTGGAATCCTGAGAGTTCGGTTCCATACTACGTCATATGCATGGCTTACTTGTGGAGCACCATTTTATTCATATATTTTTTTAACAGACTCTGTATAACATCGGTCCAGAATGAAAATTGTCATATTAACTTAAGTGTTGCGAACCACTTAACTAAACAAAGGAAACTGGATGTTTGTTTTTATACAGATTACTTTACTAAAACAGTAACGCTTACATTTGGTGAAATACATGTGATATAAACGTAGCTAACAACATAATTACCTGAATTCAGGCCACACAGTCTGTTTGAAAAATGGTAATGTTAACTGCCTCTTCAAATTAAAGTAGGTAAAGTGGTACTTGAACCCATCAAAACAATTAAGCCAAATTAAATTGGTTGAAAATACTGTGATGCATAATAACATTTTTTCATTTCCATGCAACTATATTATCGGCATTTTGAATGTTGTTTGTTCCTATTCTTTTTAATTAGCCTATTTCCCTATGGAAACATCATCTTTCATTAATCAACAACAAACAATCAATTCACATTTTCCTAACTTGGGATTGAGTAATCAGAATTTATTGTTTCCTTCCTCTTTGAGTCAATCGAATGAATTATTTATGCTTAGGAATCCTTCAGATCCTACATCATCACCATTTGCTGCAATTCATGGCTGGTCGCCGAGATCAACAATTGTATGAGGCATATCATTGCTTTGTTAATTTTTTGAATTGTGTTATGATTGTACTCCTATGTCTGTTATTACTAAAAAATAAAGGATGAGTAAAAAGTTTGTATATATATATATATATATATATATATATATATATATATGGATCAGTGAATAAGCGGTTAAAACGATTGACTTCCAACCTCTAAGTCACAGGTTTGACCCCGCTTCCGCTTATCCCGGTTTAAGTAATCAACCGGATTGTGTCAATAACCCTCACATTTAAAGTTCGACTTACAACTAAATACACAAACTTGTGCTTGGTTAATTAGTTTATTTAGAATACATATATGATGTACCAAATCACTGACTAGTAGAAACAATATAACTTGGTAGATAGGTAGGGTAGGTAGTCTACACCTACCAACATGGCTCAGTTCACTTGTCAGTGACTTCATGGATTTGTTTACTATTATTTAATTACATTAAATGATAGTAAAGGCCAAACGTCATAATGGATTTTAACCTTTCCTAAAAATTATATAGTTACTTTATGACGACCTTCACGGAACTGGAAACGTTCTGATGCCTCATCTTATATCTTATTCGCTCATTTTTTTAAACATCTAAAGCTAAGCACACTTCTTTAGCCCCCAAATGCCCTGGTACGGCCGAGAGTGGGGAGAGTCACCTCTCCCTCTCGAAATACTCTCATATGGCCAGCGAATATATAGCCTCTGTCAGGGAAGTCCTACTCACTGCCTTCTCGTGGCGGGGGTGTTGTTTACGAAAGTGAGAGGACGAAAAGCGAATGTCCGGCGCTTTAACCGGGTTGGTGGACACGGAGGGTCCACCTAGGGCAGTTGGAAAACCCTGATTCCAAACCAGTGGTGCACATGGGCTCCAGTATCCTGATGGAACGAATGGCGGACGAACCTGTCATTGGTCAGCGACTACCATGGGACTGCATCTCCTCACGATGCTCCACTGTCTTGTGGATCAGACATTCAGGTCAAAGGCTCCGGGTGTGGCCCCCTAAGAAAACCACCTGCTTCAGTCTGGGCACCTGGGCAGTATCACAGCCCTCACACAAATCGAATGAGATTTGTGTGGCGCATATTTATCTGGTGCTTCATTGTACCAATATTTATGTGTTTAAATAATATAAAAATAATAAAAAAGCACACTATGCGAAAATTTTCTGTAACAGTTTTACATTATTAGATCAATATGTGGCCGACCGACAAAGTAGACCATTATGTAACTTGGTTTCTGTGCAGGAGCTAACAATACTTCCTGACTGCCTAAACGGAATTAAATGGTACAGAACTTGAACTTTTGACCTCATTCAGTCGTAATTAGCGCACAGTCTAGCACTTATATGCATCTTTCCTGCCAATATAGTGAGATGAGATTATCAGAACAAATCCCCGTGTAGTTGTAGACGTAGTAACCGCGTCAGTGATAGTAGGGGAGATTGAGCAGGGACTATATAATTGGAGAAAAAAGGATGAATTCGCGAAGCACAATCATATAGTATAACTACGAGACTCATGAGTTAATGAAAAAACTAAGGGCGAATGTATTTGCATAATTGTGACCGATTCATGTCATCATCAACGTTTCCAAACGTTGATAACGACGTTATCAGTTTCTCAACATTTATTCCCACAGTTCTACATCATTACGCTAACATACATTTACCTTTGTAACTCAATCTTTTTAGATAATGTATACTGTCACTCTTTAAATATTTTAATATCCCCGTCGATGTCAAGCAAATTATGTATTTTATTTCACTAAGAATGTTCAGATTGTCATAAGATGTGTGAGGATTGTACTCAAACATTCCAACCGAAAAGCATATAGAGATGTGTTTGGTGTTTAATGCCATGCAATAATGTAACTACATCACATTAATGTGTCGGTCCATTATATTTTAAAACTTTCGCAGCCTAATGGCTTAAGATGTTCCAGATATGAGTTAGGATAGAAGCCAATGGCGAGGATGCCATAGTTTTCTGTTATATTATTCATAACAGTTAAATGTATCTTTTAACCAAACGGAATCCGCTTGGATTGCTTTCTGAACTAGATTGCACGAATTTTTTTATTTATTGGTTTACTGTTTGTGTGACATCTCACTTCCTTTTCCTTTCAACACTATCATTTTTAATTGTGTTGCACAGTTACACCAAATATTTTTAAGTTATAAATAAAATTACTTCAGTATTATTGTAAATTGCACAATATTTGCCATCCATAACTATTTACCAAATATTACATTGCCTTACACTTTCATCGGTTTTTAGAAAACAGCCCGTCATGAGAATTTAAATACTCATTCGGAAATGAATTCATCGCATTGTACAGATATACAATTTCACAGTCATAAATTGAATAACTGGTCTAGTTTTAATCAACCAATTGTTCAATTCAAACAACAGTTCAATCCTACAGATATTACTCCGTTAGTTAATACTGCCATTACTTCTAATACAAATACTACAAATTTCTCTCCCAATTTAAATACTTCAAATGATGTTTATACTGTAAGAAATCAACGTATCGTAGATCCGTGGGCAGTTACATCTGATCAGAAAGCTTATTATTTATCACAGTTCCTCAGATTACAACCAGATATTAGTTCAAAACTCAGTGGATTAAAATCGAAGACATTCTTTGAATTATCAAATTTACCATCTTCAGAATTATCAAAAATTTGGTAAGTATATTTTTTCAAGTTCGTTTATTTGTTTTTCATTTCATTCAAATAAAACCAGATGAGTTCATTCATGGAACGATTGAGAATTAGAAATAAAACTCTCCAGAAATGTATTTAGATTGGATAGATTGTGCGAATAACAGTGGAAACTAGGATTGGGGCGTTTTGTCCTATTTTGGACTCGTCAACCAGATGTACATATATACCAGTGTTAATGTCCGCACTGAGACTCAAAATAAGTACTTTCCATTTAAACCGCCAAAAAGTCATCCACTAGGCTACTGAGTCCAGATATCCACCACATTATCCATTAAATAGGGTGTTCAGATCATTATTAGTAAGAGTTATTTAAATTTAAATTTGAATTCTAATTAGTCTTTGTTAGCATATGCGCACTTTGTACAGATTACTTTGGCATGGCTATTTCGCCACATTTTCTAGAATAGATATGTTGTGGCCAATATTGGTATTCATATAGTCAAAACTTCTATCTAAATTATATACGTATGTACGTACGTACGGAACGTCAGAAATTTAATTTAATTTTACTCATTGGGACATTCGTGAGTAATTCTGAATAAATCCAGTACAGTTTATACAAGTCGATTCAAGTAATCTATATTAAATATTTTTACTTCTGATGAGTTCAAACACTTCTCACTCTGTCTGTGTCTTGTCTCAGATAAAGTGATCTTGTACTGTTATGAAGCTGTAGACAATAATAAGTAATATGTTTTACCAAATGATATATCTGAACACTTGAAGATTTCTACTTTCAAATAATTCTAAAATTTGGATATGTATTTGCCAATCAGATAAGTTTTGTATATATATTTTTAAGGAATGCTTATCAGACAATAATTTTATGATATAAATTATATAGGTCTTGTAGTACGCGTACTTCTAATTCTGTTGATTGATATTAGAAACGTTAATCATATTGAATTGTAAATCAATGCTTTAAAGGTTAATCACTTACTACAAAACTTGAAGATTTTAGGTTTGATTCTTGTTGGTCATGGATACTAACTGTTAAGGAACAACTTGCTGGGACGAAACAACTGTCCATTGCTCTTTAATCTTCCATGGTTGTCTAACTAAAATCGATCTGTGAGATAAACTATGAAATTTAACAATTTCCACAAACAGATGGGATAATTATCATTATAATTTTTCTCTATCCTCTAATACTAACAGTCAATTGAGTACCCCGACCGTTGCTGCTACCTTGACGTAGTGGTCGGGCTTGCCTATCGTGATGAAGCAATCAAGTTATACTGGCTGGAACTATCGTTCCTCAACGTTCTACCATGTCAGACAGGTCGGTTGAAGAGCGGTAAGACCGAAAGCAGCAATCCAAAGGTCCGAAGTCGTACTGCCGACTGTACAGAGGTGTGACGGCAGTAAGGTGTTTCCTTCAGACAACCAGCATAACAGCGATGCTGCCTTCCCACAAGGAGGGATGGGGTTAGAAAAGGTCGACCCTAAAAATGCACACCTCGCCTTATCCCACAGATTTCCGTCTCCGGCGGTAAGGTCCTTTGAATAACGGAGCTAACACGTCAAAAATCCCCCACAAAAAGGCCGTGCGTGACCGGCCTTGAGCAGTTGTCCCTTGGGCACTGTGGTCACGCTTCCAGGTCGTTAAGACCAACACTAATCCAACTTCCTTTTCAGGTCCCTCAAGAAATACCCTTCCACGGTGTGGGCATCCAGGAAGTGATATTAGCCCTCATACCCGTAACTGCACACGAGACCAAGTTGGTCACATTCAAGTCTTTCCTACGCCTGCTAATAACTCTCTTATCTCTTCGACTGACTGATTGTATGTACTCAGTCATATTTTGTTATTTTGACGTTATGTTGCAGTGTCCCTGATAGCGTTCTCAGTATAGATTACTCATCATAATTATTGTTTTGTATTGAATACTATTCATCCGAAAAATTTACTATAAATAATTAGTCATTGTTTTTCATCTTCAGGGAATTGTCTGATCTTGATCATGATGGACAATTAACATTGAGTGAATTTTGTATTGCAATGCATTTAGTTGTGTATCGATTAAATGGTGTTCCAATTCCTAATAATTTACCGACAGTTTTATTGGAATTAGTGGAAACTAATTGGTTATCTACAAAATTGTCATCAACATCACCAACTGTAAAAGCAAATACTACCACTACTTCTACTACTACTACTACCAACAGTAATTGTACTAATAATCACGAATTAACTAACTGTACATTGAATTCTACTTGTCAACAAAATCATATCAGTCCAGTAGGATATAAATCAATAGATATGCCTAATTCATGTCAACACTATGATAATCATAATTTATCATTATTCCTATCATCTTCACCGATTTCATCCGTGTCAACTTGTCAAGTTAAAACATTAACGTCATCATCAATTCATTATGTCAATACATCTCTAACTGAAATGATTCAGTCTACAAATTTTACAGAATTAAAACATCATCATCATGAACCGAATCAGCAACAACAAAGACGTTGGTCTTTATCTAGTCAAAGTGATGTTAGCAGTTTATTAGCATCAGAAGAAGGAATGACCTTATTTGAATCGAAATTAAATACAAATGCACAAGTAAATAAGTTTATAAACTAATAATAGTTCCTTTTCAATTTTATATATATGTAGTCGGAACTGGACAATATCCTCCAATTATAAAGGCTTAGATCTTTTAAAGATGATCATTACTACTAAATGGTAATTGGTATGAGTTGATATTAAGAGGGTGATTTACCAAAATAGTGTAGATATAAAGGGAAGTCCTACTCATTGCCTACTAACACCAGGGGTGTTGTTTACGAAACTGAGAGGACGAAAAGCGAATGTTCGGCTCTTTAACCAGAATGGTGGATAAGGAGGGTCCATCTAGGGGAGGTGGAAAATCCATTCCAAACCAATGGTGCACATGGGCTCCAGTATCCTGAGAGAACAAATGGCGTATGAACCAGTCATCGGTCACCGGCTACCATGGGAATGCATCTGCTCACGATTCTCTACTGCCTTGTGAATCAGACCTTTAGGTCAAAGGCTCCGGGTGTGGCTCCCTAAGAAAACCATCTGCTTCGGTCTGGGCACCCGGGCAGTATCCCAGCTCTTACATAAACCAAATGAGATTTGTGTGGCACATATATAGCTAGTGCTTCCTTGTACCAATATTTGTGTTTAAATAAATAAATAATGATCGTCATTTCATGATGTTTCTTTCATTGTTTTCGCTTCTTTTCCTCCATCAAGTTGTAGAAAGACCAGAGTTTACTTTTTATTTTGTTCCTTATCATCTAGAATGAAATCTTCATCTCTCATAGTTATCTTGTATTCAGACTGTAAAGTTATTGGTGTTTGGTAGTTTCCAACTATTGAGTCACAAGTTTGAACCCACTCTGCCTGATGTAATTTTACCAGTATCGCTAGCCCTCACATTAAGGAATTTTAGCTCGAATCCACCACTTATATAAACACATACTTGGTAACCAAGTTACCATAATTATATCACTCTTTATCCCCTTTCTCCGCCCCAAATAAAGGATAAAATAAATAAATAAACCAACTGATTCATCAATTACTTAGGTATGAATCTTACTTTAAATGTAAGGGCTAGTGATAATACCGGTTTTTCCAAACCGGAGTGCGTGAAACAGAGTTAGAATATGAAACTGAATGAATGAAAGTTGAACACCTCAACCACTAAGTCACTAGGTTTAATAAGTTTTTATTTCTTATTTTTCATCTTGAAAATTTTTTTCTCTCTGACTTTTACTTTCTGCCAGTTAAAACATCCTATCCCGTTAAGAGCTAAAACATTACCATCAAATGCTGTTCCTGAGATGGTGAATTCAATGATGAGTACAACTCAAGATTATTCTACCGTAGATCATCATCAAAATGATTTTTTGCATACATATCAATTTCCATTTAATAGTAATAATGATAATAAATTTTGTACTGCAATTAATAATCCAATGATTGAATCAACTCCTCGGTTACAACCACCGCCGATTACAATTCATTCATCTCCTATATTATTCAATAGTCAACATTCCGGTTCAATAACATCTCCGTCGTCATCAGTAATACAGAAAGCTCCACCTCCACCACCACCGCCTAGAGCTAATTTATTACTGGTCACTAATATTGATTCTGTTCATAATGATAATATGGGACAGAAAAGTGGTGTTTCACTAACTGAAGAGAAAGAGGTTAGTTGTACACACCATATTAGGCTTGTTATAAATTAACTTTTTTAGCGTTTTTTTGTGTCGATTAAGAACATATATATGTCTGATAGTTCCTTATCACTATCTTCGTCGTACTGTCATGTTACCTGATGTTGTAAAATGTAGGTCGGATAGAAGATAACGGTGACCGAAATATAACATGATATCACTCTATAAGTTCGTTGACATTTGGCCTGTTTAATGTCGGTAGGTGAGGACTACCTGATTGGGATCCTTGCGGTTATCATTATCTATGATTGGATAGATTAGATGACTTTTATCAAAGTCGATTACAATAAAACAAATACATTCACTGTTTAGTTTATTTTAAATATTGAGTTCCATTATTTCCTTCATACCATACCATTTTGTACCGTCATTTGGAGCCATATTGCCAATATCTAGAATTTCTCAATATTATTTGTTAACTGACTAGTAACCCTTTGTCATACTATCTCAGTTGAATATTTTTTGCATAAATATATGACTATTTCATTACCTTCACCCCTAGGAAAATAAGCAATTAACAGAGTCTAGTCGGTTAGCAGTTCTATTCTTTAGAATATATTCAAATTTTACTTGTCTTGATATTAACCCACTAAGTGAGTTAGATCAAAATTCACTTCATTGTTAGTACAGATCGTTTAATCCGGCTTAATTATTAATTCATTATTTTTTTTTCTATATGTATGTATCTTAGTAACAAAAATGTTTATATCTATTTCGTAGTGTTGATTGGCTAAAACTTTGAACCAATCGTAAAATTGAACTATAATCTAAGAATTTGCTTATCTCTGTTGATTGCGCTTGGTTTTGTAACTCAAACGGGTTCATTCCGCCACTGTTTTCCATCTCCAAAAGACTATCAACCACGGCGTATTTATCAGTTTAAAGTATGCTTAATAGTATTCACACTCAACTCTTATTTATAGGTTACTAGTATTTGTTTATAAATGTCCTGGATGCACTGCACGCGTGTATGTTACGATCACTGACAGAGTGAACGATGCTGACGTTAGTTAAAGATAGCAAATCGGTTGGTGAGGTCGTAAACCCCCTATCGGCTGAGGTATTCAGAACATGTATTACATATACGTCTAACCATTATCTACGCCCGACGTGCGATGTTTGTCGGTGTTGGAGTAGGCTAAAAGAATGCTAGACATCACCAAACCAAAGTCGAAGTCACTGACAATTGAACCGAGCCATGTATGAAGGTACAGACTACCTAGTTGGGAGACGTTGATTAACATGGTTTAGAATAAGTCTCAATTGAACGGTTTTTATTCCTCCTTTATCATCCTTGGAATCCTATAATTATTGTGTACTTTTTATTACATGAACCACTTTTTTTTCGGACTATATTGTCGTTGTGTTCGATTTCTTCCTACTATTACTGATACTCTTACCACTTCTATTACCATTACTACACAAGCATTTGTTTTGATGGTTTCATCTCGCTTTATTCATGTGATGTGGCAGCTTGAATCAATGTAAATGATTCTACATTTATTATGACTGACCGACCAGTTCAACTAAAAACCATCACCTAATTTTTCTTTCACTGTTATTCTTTTATGTACAGGACTTTGTTCCATCTCTTACAGTAGAATTCAACTCAGAAGAAATGAAGTAAGTTTTTTCTTGTACTTGAATTATGATGAGAATTTGATAATTACTATTACTGTATAATGTCTTGAAATCAGTTGACTATTATCACGTGCCAGGTCACCAATCAGAACCCCGGTGCTAGTTTGGTTCGTTATTTACTCTATAGCTTTAGTGTCTATGATTTAGCCGATTGCACGCCCGATCAGCACTATTGGCACGGAGCTGACAGCTAGGTTCTTATTGACCCACTATTCGCTAGCTCTTTTTTTATGCCCGGCCTTTAAATGTAGAATTAGCAACCTACTACTATTTATGATTCAAACAAAATTGGTTTATGTACAGACATACCGAACCTCATCAGATCATAAAATAAGAATACATGAAAAGGCCAAAACGTGGCTGTGAATGAAGGAAACTGTAAATAAATAGGCTGGCATCAAAATACGAATAGTAATTCGTATGACAGTAATGTATGAGTTAAACGAAAGCTATTTCAACTGCTTATGTTTCAAGATAGCCATCCTTTTTCAGTGTTCAATAAAAGTGCAACATCTAGCATTTTCTCGTTCATCTAGTGAATGAGTGTTGCATAGAAGAGTACAATTTTCACTGAGCACTTCATTTCAATCACCTGAGGTTATCTACATAACTCCACTTATGTGTATCTCAACTTGACGGAGGAAAAGAAGCGAAAACAATGAAAGAAACATCATGAAATGACGATCATTATTTATTTATTTAAACACATAAATATTGGTACCAGGAAGCATCAGATACATATGCGCCGCACAAATCTCATTTGATTTGTGTGAGGGCTGTGATACTGCCCAGGTGCCCAAACTGAAGCAGGTGGTTTTCTTAGGGGGCCACACCCGGAGCCTTTGACCTAAAGGTTTGATCCACAAGGCAGTGGAGCATCGTAAGGAAATGCAGTCCCATGGTAGCCGGTGATCAACGGTTGATTCGTACGCCATTTGTTCCCTCAGGATAGTGGAGCCCATGTGCACCATTGGTTTGGAATCAGGGTTTTCCAACTCCCCTAGGTGAACTTTTCGTGTCCACCAACCCGGTTATAGCGCCGAATATTCGCTTTTCGTCCTCTCAGTTTCGTAAACAACACCCCTGGTGTGAGAATTCAGTGAGTAGGACTTCCCTGGTTGAGGCTATATACGTGTGGTCATGTGAGAGCATTTGGAGAGGGAGAGCGGACTCTCCCAGGTCTCGGCCGTACCAGGGCATTTGGGGGCAATTCATCTCTATAAGGTATATGTTTTACCAAATTTTTGTATATTATTTTTCTCATCTTCATAGATTAACCGAATCTCAACAACTATACATCTCCCCATCAATTATTAATAATAATAATAATAATAGTGATGATAATAATATTAATAATGTGGATATATTAAAACATCAATGTGATTCTATTAGTCAAATTAATGAACAATTAACTACAACCTTAATAAAATTACAAAAAGATAGAATAGCATTGAAAATATTTCTGGAACGTTTAATGCCATTAGAAACTATTTAATTATTTTTATTTTCAATCTTGACAACAATAAAAAAAGGTTAACGAATAAGTGATTAATATGTTTACAAGTTATACAACCTTAATTGTCAGCTACATTGCTGACAATGTGATAACATATACAAATGTACGCATATATATATACTACTCAATAAGAAGGATCCATTCATCCCTGTTACCCTTTCCCTTTCAGTATTGCTTTATTTTTCTCTATATACACATTTATTATTGATCATGTATTCTATTATTTAACTTAATAATGATCAACTTTCAAGTGCCTAAAGTCGGTTACATAATCTTTTCTTACTCTTAAATGTGTTGATTGTGTAATAAATACTATTTCTCTTTCAATATACACACTTCGAACAAGTGTATTATTTACAATAATGATTAAGAAATTAATTCTTTAAAAGCATTTTTACCCTTTTATTTTGTTTCTCTTTTTTGGGTGTGCACCAGTTTGTTTCATGTTACTTATTACCCTGTTTGTTTGTGTATGTTTCGGCGTCAATTTATCCTTATCTGAGGTTGAGATTACATTTAATTTTAAATGAAAAATACAATTTATGCCTAATAATAGATCAACTCACCTTCTTATTGTTACCTATCTTTGCTTTTCATTATTAGGTATAATTAATTATTTATTCTGTTGCCGGTTTTTCTTCTCTTGACATAATTGATTGATTCTTCCACGTTATAATCTATTCTTCTTTTATTGTTGCTTTAATTATATTGTTTTTGTTTTATTCTTGTGAGGTCGAAAGACAACTTGGAAAAAAGGAACAATTATTTGTTTTTGTGCTAATGTATTATTGTATTGGTACTTGAACCAATGCACATACATATATGCGCCAAGTTTAAATTCATTGTCTATTCTATTAAGTGTATACCATTAACTGAGTGCTTTCGTGTGTAGTCTATTGTCTTGTCTATTTATTTATTTGATTTAAAAAAGGAATTTGTTATGTGTAACATTATTTCTTATTCCTGACGAATATGTATACTTGTTATTCATGTTTTACGTTGTGCGGTCATCCGGTCCCGATACTCGCGCTTCCCCATAATCGGACGCGACCTAGTAAGTGAGTGAAAAGATTAAAGGGTAATCAGGAAGCTGCAATAGGTAAGCCTAGTTCATATGTGCTCAACTCATTGGTATATACATAAATATCCCTCAATTTTTTAGGCCAGACCTGTACGAATAGTGTGATTGATTTCCGCCGACAACCGTCTTCTTTTAACTTCTCTCATTTACTATTTGGTCGTGATCTAGCATGCGTGCGAAAGCACATAATGTGTCCAGATTTTTCAAGCGTATCATAATTTTGAAGACTGTTATTGATAAAAATGTGGTAAAACCTTTTCTGCATTGACAAAAATGATGTATCATTTTGTGGATTCGACTTCCTTATATCAAGTATATACTAGATTTATTTTAGATAAAGTATTAAACATCAAACAATTGACCGTTAACAAGTAACCTACATTCAGTGCTATATTGAATAAGGTTATTGTCAGAATCGGTTAATTGGCAAGGTTTGCAACTACAAGACTGAGTAACGTTATCTCGAATGCAAGGACAACTATCAGTTTCCTAGAGCCTCCCGATAAAATTTCGTTTCTTTTTGAATGTTAAAAAGTACGGGATCGAGAAACGATCAGCCATGATCGATGTACAGACTAGCATATGTGTATGTTAAACCAAGTTCCCATATCACAATAGCAAGAAAAAATAGAACTAACTAGAAAAATAGCAAAGGAATCGAAATGTTTGTAGTAGCAGTAGTAATGAGAAAGACTTAATATGGTTCGCGAAGACAGCCGTTTCACCTTCGTATGTGACTCTTTAGCAGTAAGCGTCCACAACCCTTCAAGGGTTCGAACACAGAGCCTCCTGGAATTTTATTGGGAAGCCATAACCGGTGGAGTTCAAACGTACCGAGTGTGAGATAGTTGTTATCCGCCAAAAACAGTGAATGGTGGTCGCGCAATATCGTATAATGATTGAACTTATAAAAAACGCCATTGAATCCCAGTTCAATGGTCTACGGGCGATACCGGTCCTGAGTTCGATCCCCACTGACAAGTCTGTGTATGTTGAGAAGTTGCATACCGTACCGAAGCTGCTGTCTACCTTAGGTTTCCAACAAGCGTTATATATTTCCATACTGTATTTATTTTATTAATTTATTTAAACACATAAATATTGGTACAAAAGGGCACCAGACATATATGCGCCACACAAATCTCATTTGATTTGGGTAAGGGCTATGATACTGCCCAGGTGCCCAAACTGAAGCAGGTGGTTTTCTTAAGGGGCCACACATGGAGCCTTTGACCTAAAGGTCTGATCCACAAGGCAGTGGAGTATCGTGAGGAGATGCAGTCCCATGGTAACCGGTGACCAACGATTGATTCATACGCCATTTGTTCTTTCAGGATACTGGAGTCGATGTGCACTATTGGTTTAGAATCAGGGTTTTCCAACTCCCCTAGGTGGACCCTTCGTGTCCACCAATAGTGTAATAAGAAGACGAAGATTATCAGAACTATATATTTACCTATATTTTTATAATCACGTTTCTTTAAAAAAAGAAGCAAATATAGCTAGGAAAGTGATATTAGTAATTTTCGTCGAATAAAACAAAGTCAAAGGTTTTATAATACACTTAAAAAAATCATTTAAAAAAAGAGGACATGTTCATTTAAACAAAAGAAGGAAATCATAAGAAACATTGGATTGTCATCCATTGAAATATCATCGTTGTATTGAAGTACAATGCTCCAATTGTAGTTATTGACTTTGAACTCAATACAATAGTATTGTATTTATAATAACAAGTGTGTATGTATGCATATATATATATATATATATTACAGTTTAATTAAACGATCTCATATAGTATCATGTACAAAATATTTGTTGTATATTCTAATCATAATGATATATTTTATTGTGCAGTTATCAACTTTGATCTAAACCTTTAACAGCTAATGCACCAGCCCATTGTTCAGAACCACAAGCTTTTCTCAAACGTAATTTGACTTTATTATTTTGTATCTATTAAAATGGAAATAAGTATAGAGAGATGTATCATATTCAAATTAAATACAAATATATTATTGATATCATTAGGGGTAAATGCTAAGGAGCTTGTACTCTTCAGATAATAATGGATTATTAGGACAAGGAGAGGGATTTGTGATATCTGAGTAGCTTTTTGAGTAGTGGTAATAGTAATAAAGAGATAAAGCTTTGTATGTAGAAAGCAGGAATGACTTATGTTAATCTAGGTCACCTTCGGTGTCGTTGCAATAGTTGTCTGATCATAAAGCGTGGGACGATATGATTAGAGCATTTTAGCACTGTTGTGAAAAAAAGATGTCGAATGGCTTTATATTCAACTACCACTTTCTCCAAAAGAGTTGGTCACATGTGATAAGTAATTCAGAGGAGATAGTGAAGATGATAACTTTACAGGTGCAATCATCTTGAAATCCTTAATTCAGTAGTTTGTTTTTATTTCATTGAGATAATAAAGCGATCTAAGTTAGACCACCATTGAAAACCTGGAGGCACTGAACGGCTGTATCGTCCCAGTATGGAAATCCTTAGCAGTGCTCATCCGCGACCTCACAAATGAGAATGGTCTCAGGACCTTCGATCTCGCACGCGAACGCTTAAGCTTAAGACCACCGAGTGTGGTGTATGCTGCTTATACCGACAGATATAAGTAGTATGTGGCAGCAGTGGAATGTCTGCCAACAGATTGAATTGAAGAGAACAGGAAGCGAAACAAAGAGCAATTGTAATAACAAGAGAAATGGAAGGGTTATAAAGCATTTAAAGGGCAGATGATGGAAGATTTTCAAATAATGTATTCAATGCATGGCTTTCATATTTTACGAAAGCACTGAGTAATTTTTCATGAAACAACAAATTGCTTTTCTCTACCTGAGTTTATGTTCATCAAACAAGTAATAAAATTATGAATAGTAGTAGAGAGGAGAATAGGCATAAATTAAGAAAAGATATAAAACAATATAATATTTTAGAAGGGGTTTTGTGGAGATTTAGTATTTATTATAGTTGAAAGCGTGAGTCAATTGAAGCTAGACCACCATGGGAAACCTGGAAACACTGGACGACCGTTTCGTCCTATTATGGGACTCCTCAGCAGTGCGCATCCACGAACCCGAGATTCGAACCCAGGACCTACCAGTCTCGAGTCGAAGCCCGTAACCGATAGACCACTTAGCTGGCCAGTCAGTCAGCTACAACGTAGGACCAGGCACATTTATGCATCGGTCCAAGTTGCCAAACCTCGTTAGCACAACAAGATGAACACCGGATTCATAGAAGTAATTAATTTAGTAGTGGTAGTAGTATATAAATTATAGGTTGTATATAATGATATAGTATAGGAAGGAATAGAGATATGAAGCAATTTTAGTCTCAAGGTTTAAAGGAAGATAAAGAGTGTATACGCCTAAGCCATTGTGATCGATTCTGAGCCATGTCACCTAGAGTCTCCAACCATTGGTTACGATAGTCACGCGGACCCCAACCAGGTAGTCTGCATCTGCCAACATGGCTCAGACTAGAAGTCAGTGACTTCAAACACTGATGCCATGTTTTGGTTTGGCCGCCCCTAAATCTCTTCCAACAATCCCCTACACTAGTCATCATAGCGCGTCGTGGTAATCGGTGTTCAGACATACGTAACACATGGCCCAACCATCTCAGTCGATGAAGATTCATGACCTCATCAACTGATTTACCATCGTTCCCTAATACTCTGCGTCTAACCTCACTATTACTTACCCGGTGATCCCAGCAGATGCGAGCAATATTTCTAAGGCATCTGTGGTCAAATACTAGTAGCTTACGAGTATCTCCTACTCTTAATGGCCATGTTTCACAACCGTAAAGTAGAACAGAGCGAACTGATGCGCAGTATACTCGTCCCTTAATTGATTGACGGATATCTCGTCTTCGTCATAGGTGACGTAAGTTGGCAAAAGCCAAACGAGCTTTTGAATCCGTGCTGAGATTTCGTCAGACACCAACCCATTAGGGCTGATCAGACTTCCAAGGTAGGTGAAGTTGTCGACGCGTTTGACTACTTCACTCCCTATCCTTAGTTCAGGTGTTGACGCAGGCCAGTCCTGGAGTAACAATTTACATTTGAATGGGGAGAAACGCATCCCAAATATCCTGGCATTATTACTGAGTTCCAACAGAAGACTCTGCATTTTGCCAGCGTCTTCACCAAACAGGACTATGTCATCTGCGTATTCTAAGTCGCTTAGTGATCCCCCTGGTAGGAGATCAATTCCTGTAAATTCAGTCGAAGAGAGTGTTATTTCGAGCAACAGGTCTATAATGAAGTTAAACAAAAATGGGGATAGTGGACAGCCTTGACGGACACCACTTGAGGTTTTAAAACCATATGACAGTTCGCCATAAGCTCTCACTCGACTGGTAGTGTTCGAGTAAAGAGCCTTCACAAGGTTTATGTACTTCTGAGGTACACTTTTCAATGACAGACACTGCCATAGAGCCTCTCGGCCTACAGAGTCAAATGCTGCTTTTAAGTCAAGAAAAACTATCATTGTCGGACGCCGATAAGCGTGTCTGTGCTCTAAAACTTGACGAATGGTGAATATGTGGTCGATACAGCCATGACCAGGTCTGAAGCCAGCCTGATTTTCACTGAGCTGGCGTCCAAAGGTGTTAATGTCTAACTTCAACTGATCCAAGAAGTTGAGCAACCATTCACTAATTGTCTTCAGTGAGTTCCTATCTCACAACAGACGTGGTTTTGAACTCCACTGGTTAACACCACTATAGTTAATATAATATTTGTTGGAAAGACTCAGAATATTCCTCAAAAAAGCCCAAAGGGGTCCTGAAAACACTGGGAAACATTTTACCTAATCAGCATTGAATATAAGTTCCTCAGAAGCATATAGAAAGTCACGTGTCATATTTCTGACTAGATGATTACCTAACTTGTTACTATGTTTAGCAGGATTCCAAAAACCCAATGCTATCCGAAATGCTATAAATACCCTAAATTTTCTGTACATAAACTAACCATGGAGTAAAGCGTTCTTTCCATGGTTCGTGCCTTTTCTCTCGTGTTTAAGTTGTCGTGTAGATTTAGCCTAGGGTTATTAGAAGAGCTTAGGAAACCGATTCAAGCATTCAGTCAGAAGACTTATCAATATTTTAACACAATAAACCAGTATAGACATAAGAAGCTGTTCAAACTAATGAGTTGTCATTCTTCCAAGCACTAATTTTTTCAATCATAAATGCTTCGATTCTAGATTTGTTTTTAAAATTAATTAACTTCATCTATTAATCGCGTCTATTTACGTAATTTTATCAAATCTGTATAGTCTGTTGTGAATCTGACAAGTGAGAAGCTGAACAAGTTCCACTTTTGTGGTTGGCATATTTTCCTCTTCGTCTATCCTTTAGAGAAACAAGATATAATTAACACAGACCTCATCCATCAAATATACCTAATATTTAGCTATGGAAAGAGGTGTCATAACAGTATGACTAATCGTAAACAAATACGGATTAATATGAATGATCGCTGAATATTAACTTAAAATTTCAGATATATAGATCTTTGGATGTTTTACAAGTCAAATTCTTATAAAAAGGAGGTGATTTATTACAATTTTTCATACTTAAACAACGGATTCGGAATATATGGTAACTATCTATTCTCAGTTTTCAATAAAAGTGCAACATCTAGCATTTTCTCGTTCAACTAGTGGATAAGTGCTGCATAGAGAAGTAAAATTTTCACTGAGCACTTCGTTTCAATCACCTGAGGCTATCTATATATCTCCACTTATGTATATCTGAACTTGACAAAGGAAAAGAAGCACACATAATGAAAGTAACATCATGAAATGACGATCATTATTTATTTATTTAAACACATAAATATTGGTACAAAGGGGCACCAGATATATATGCGCCACACAAATCTCATTTGATTTCTGTGGGGGCTGTGATACTGCCGGGGGGAACACACCCGGAGCCTTTGACCTAAAAATCTGATCCACAAGGCATTGGGGCATCGTGAGGAGGTGCAGTCCCATGGTAGCCAGTGACCAACGATTGATTCATACGCCATTTGTTCCCTCAGGATAGTGGAGCCAATGTGCACCATCGACTTGGAATCAGGGTTTTGCAACTTCCCTGGGTGAACTTTCCGTGTCCACTAACCCGGTTAAAGCACCGGACACCAGCTTTTCATCCTCTCAACTTCACGAACAGCACCCGTAGTGTGAGAAGACAGTGAGTAAGACTTCCCTGGCAGATGCTATATACGCTTGGCCATGTGAGAGCATTTCGAGAGGCAGAGCGAACTTTGCCCACTCTTGGCCGTACCACGGCAAGTGTATACACTTTAAATGAATGAAAACATGCTAGGTATTGTATATATATTGAACATTCAAAGATGGATGCGCTACAAATTAATGGGCAAATATCCTAGTTTCAGAATTCTTTATTACATAATCAAACATAGAATATTGGACTAGAGCGAATATTACACTACATATTGCATTGATACATTAATTAAACTTAAAAAAAAACATTTTCTTTTTTACACTTCCACACATATATAAACTCACTTTATATGTACAAAATGTTGGCATAATTTTCGATGGAAATTGACGTACAGAATATTCATAAGTAGAATTAGGATTAGTTAATTCGCATAGTACAGTTAATGAACTAAATAATGTAAATACACAACAGAACACAAGAATAAAAAGGAAAAAACATGACTATTAAAGTCATACTCATTTAGTAAAACGATGTTATAATCATTATTAAAATCATAGGGATAATAATAATAGGACTTAAATGAGCAAGTAGTTTATATAGTTGAGATCATGAGTCAATTGAAGCTAGACCACCGTGGAAAACCTGGAAGCTGTAGACGGCTGTTTCGCTCTATTGTGGGACTCCTCAGCAGTGCGCATTGATGACCCAGCCTCGCGAGACTAGAACCCAAGACCTATGTATGTGTAGGGAATTATTAACAACGTGGTGAAGTACAATACCAATCTTATAGGCTGCTTAGCAATACCATGATTAAACAACACGACTGTTTACCGCACACCGGTTTTAAATAGTACCCGAATTGAGATAAATCCACTTACAAATTGCACGAATATCCAAAAACTCTCTCCATCAAAATTATTATAGGTTTACGTGAGACTGTTTGTGAAATATATCAATTTGAATCTGCTGTATTGAAAACATATGACATTATTATTACTATTATTATGATTATTATCCTTATTATTATTGTTTCAACACGTAAACATCGGTACAAAGGAAAAATAAATATATATTAGCCGAAAAAGTAGTTAATTAACTTGTGTGTGGACTGAGATAATATCTGGGTGCTTTTTCAGGAGACCAAAAGGTCTAGCCCACAAGGCAGTAGAGCAAAGTTAGGAGAAACGGTCACATGGTATCATATATCATTCCCCCCCGGGATCCTGGAAACCAGGTGCACCATTGGTTTGTAATCAAGGTTTTCCAACTCCTCTAGGTGGGTCATCTGTAACCATGGACCATGTTTAAGCGCCGGATATTCGGTTTCTATTCTCTCGACTTGATAAACAACACCTCTGAAGAGAGGAGGCAGTGAAGAGTTATATTTGTACCACATATAACAAAGAGATCATTTTCAAATGAAATAATGAAAAGTTACATTGAATTTCGATTTTGACATCACACAGTCAGTAATTCGCAATGTAGAACCTGTACTTATGTACATCGATTCAAGTTGCCATACCCTATTAGCACACTGAGATAAAACTGTCAGGCTGTTATAACTTGTGCCGGCAATTGTTATATCTTGTACCCGCCTATTAGAGAGTAGTGATTTATTGATCGGACCAATGACACACGAAACCCGTACGAGCAGTCTAGAGTACTTATCCGTCCTGCTTTCTGCCTAGCTCAGTCAGTTAAGTCCAGGACCCCAATAACAGCCTCTGCAATATGAATCATTATTCTCAAACATACTGAGTTTATATACCAATCAAACAGACCATATCGTACCATAAAATAGAAAATAACATTTGTACAGCATTCAGCTAAATGTGGCTGTGAATAGAGTGAACAGTAATTAATAGACTGAGTATAACTCAGGAATGGTAAGTCGTACAGTAATAGTCTATGGATCAAAATAAAGCTCATAATAAAAGAAACATGAATATGAATAGTTAAGTTACTTAACAATTATATATTGGAAAATACATATATCATATTGGTCCATAAATAGTCCTCAAAAGTTACTATTCATAATCCTCTTCGGAATATAACACAACCATAATCCTAGAATATTAGAGGTATTATTAGCGTCAGTGGTAATAGAAAAGATTTGGCATCGAAGATACAACTCAAAAAGAAAGCATAAATTAGCAGGATAAAAACCAAAAGTTATAAGGAATTAAGAATTCGGGGGAAGATAAAGAATGGATGCACCTACGCCATTGCAAACAATTTTGAGCCACACTATTCAAAGCCTCGAACCATTGTTTACGACAAACACGCAGATCCTATCTAGATAACGCGGCTAATTCCAATTTTCAATGACTTCACTAACTGATACCAGGTCCCAGTTTGGCTGACCCTAGATGTCTTCCAGCCCGATGCTTAGTGTGAGCGCTAGTGATACTAGTGGGTAGACTACAATTCGAACACCCATGGCCACCCAACACTTTTAACCATTAAAACTACTGATCTACGATTACAGTTATTGTGTTTATGGATAAAAAATATCATCAAATAATAATAATAATAATAATAATAAACTATGGATAAATAAGTGCACATACGCAAACATAAAGTAAATATTGAAGTGAATAATAAGCAGACGCTAACTTACTATTCACCAAGCTCCATTTTTAGTAATCCATTGCCTAATTGTTGACGAATACTTGCAGATGTTGTACTGAAAGAATCACTGTGAAAATTCCCTGAACGACCGGGTTTAATAAGTCCACAAAATCCTCGACTAGGCGCTTGTAAACCTTGCATAATCAATGTAACTTGTACGTCATTGGCATTTAATTCACTTGCTTCAATATATGGTTGTTTAGCCTTGGAAAACAGTAGTGAAAATTTAGAAGCATAAAACTACAATAAACACAGTCGAGAAAACTTTAGAGAAAGCTATAATCTTTTTTGAAGAACACCAAAAGAAAACATACTATAACACCACAAACAATTAGGCGACAAATCGTGAAATGGGGAAAAGTGAGGGACGGACAAATAAACACACAATGCAGGATCTGGCACAACAAATCAGTAATCAGGCAATAAAAAGTATGAAATCTCGTACTGAGTATAACATTTACAGGAAGGTACCAAGTAAATATATCTACGCCAATGTGATTGAGTTTTGTCTATTCGAACATACATCGTTTTTATTATCAGTATAAAAGAGATGAATAGGAATAACAAGTGTTCAGGTGGATGTTTCGGTAGTACTGTGTTCGGTGAGCTGTATAATTTAATTGCAGAGGTCTCATTGTTATTCCGGACAATATCGTCACCGCCTACTACATGTGGAAGTCAGCTTTTCAGTAATTCCATACCTATCATATCAACTCGTTCTGAGTGACCTTGTTTGTGATTGGCAATCAACGTGAATCTAAGAACAAATAAAGACAAACAATCATGAATAAGACCATCAGAATGCACTAACATAACATTTGTGGAACAACTGACAAGATTACTCCTAGATGAAATAGATGATGTTGTCGAGAGCGAAAATGAAACCTCTACAACTAAACTGTTTAGCTTCGAGAACACAATGCTGCCAATTAATATTTTTTGCTACGAAGGACCAAATCAGAAATGTAAGCAGAGGAAATCTAGACCATGAAAATTAGAAACTTCAAATCTAGTCATTGGGTAGATAAGAATAGAGTCACACCGATTAAAAGATCAGCAGTCAACTGAAACACTGATCAGTTACAATTATATGCTACTACTTTCAATCCATTTCGTTTAATGATGATAACTTACAGTGAAAATATCTAGAGGGAAAATAAATGTTTCACACAAAAATAATCCATTCACATGTTAAGATTAATAATTGTTGTTTATGAGATCAAATAGTTGGAGAAAACTAACCAAAAGATTAAGTAGACTGCAGTTCAACTCGGAAACCCGTCGATAAAAAGGTTGCTCTATAAACAACACGGGAGTACTTCAAAGTTTAACCATTTATGAAAAAAATAATCAACATGGGACACAATAATAATGCGAGAATCAAAAATGTATTAGTAAGGGTTTAAAATGAACATCCTGCATCACACTGCTAGCTACAATCCATATATCCTGATAAGATCTGTAATGATATGGCTATACTGAGGTAGTCTGCACAAGATGTATGTATGCGAACAAAAACTGATTAAAAACTCCGTACCAACGGAATAATTTGAACCGCTACAAATAATGGTATAAACATAGTACCCATTGAACAAGTTAGCGGGCATTTGGACTCAATACCTTAGCGGATAACACGTTAGTACTTGAAGTGAAATGTACTAGGTCCGAATTCCAGTGTGAACATTTAGTGAGACAAGGGTACATATTAGTGAGGTCTCCTATGTGGAACAAAACGCACATCCTGTATTTTATCGCTAGCCACGATCTATCTATTCCAAAAAAAACAAAATAATAAATCACTTTTTGAAATAATTTAAGAAAACTGCTCTCTAAGTAAAAAAGTTATTTTCATTTCAAAATTATTATTGGTAGGTACTGGGTTCGGATCTCGCGAGGCGGGATCGTGGATGCGCACTGCTCAGGAGTCCCACAATGAGGCGAAATGGCCGTCCAGTGCTTTCAGGTTTTCCATGGTGGTCTACCTTCAATTGACTCATGATTTTAGTATACATAAAAAATTACTAAAAATCTCCACAAAAAAAAACACCCATTAGTCAAATCAATCGCTCGTTCGAACCTTGCCCTGACTATATACAAAATGACTGACTACTCTTAGACGAATACATAGGTTCATATTTTTATAAATTAAATATATATAACAGTGGTTATATTCTTATTATGCATATAAAAGGAGAATCCTTGGCGGTTTGCTTTAATATCTAGGTTATCTGTTTCTTTCATCTAGATATATTTAAATAAACAACGTTTATGAGAAGTTCACAACCTTTCGCTGTACAAATTACAAAACAGTACAATCAGAGATATTATGGTGGCTGGCGATATACATTGGAAAGACTGAACATTATTCAAATATTGATTACCGAACTGTTAACATCTCACAAGCAATCACTTAATATTTATCGTCAAGATCGATCAAGAAATAAAAAAAAACGGGGACTTGTTGAAATACCTTGTCCATAGAATTCTATATTGTACCAAAAATATAAAATTGAATAAAGTCAATTAGTTATAAGACAGTCATTTAAATAGATCAACTTATAGATTAACTAATTGTAACATAATGAAATCGCTAGTTAAAATAGATCAACAAATTAGAATAACGTTTATAAATTAAGTGAAATACTGTTAAACTGATTTTTAGTATAGATGGACTAATAAAGGTAGACTAGCTTAACACAGTTTTGGATCTTGTTGATGAAGTTTTATGAAGATTAGGTTACTTTCTATATGATGCTTGTTACGGATTGACATCAAATGGGATACTTATATAAAATCAAGGGTGAATATAACAGTTGTTTCATCCTCACATGGGATACATCAGTAATGTGAGATTTAAAAGGCACTGAGTTAGATTCTTATTGGGATCATGTGTGTATGTGAGCTGATAAGGACAATGAAACAATGATGTCGAAACGTAAGACATAATTTTTGCAATTATTCATTGAAAAAACTAACAACACTTGATCTGGCATTCACTTAGTATTGCTTGCTTGAATCTTCCCATTGATGTTTAGGACTGTACCTGGTCAGACTCTAATTGGCATATGTGCATACTGTGGGTATTGCCTCGATATAACTTTAATTCACAAGCATTGTAAGCAAAGATGAATAGTGGCTAGAAGTGGAATCCAGGATGCGCATTTCGTCCTATTTCGGACTCGTCAGCTGGATGTACCTGCATCTCAGAGTTGATGTTCACTCTGAGACTCGAACCCAGTACCGTTCGCTTCAAACGCCATCGCGTTATCCACTCAGCTACTGAGTCCTGATAGCCACTCGAGGCACTACGGACAGTATGCACATATGCCAATTAGAGACTGACCAAGTGCAGTCCTAAACATCAATGGTAAGATTCAAACAAACAATACTAAGCGGATTTAAAATTCAGAACATTGCACAAGCAAGTGATTATCAGGACTCAGTAGCTGAGTGGATAACGCGATGGCGTTTGAAGCGAAAGGTACTAGGTTCGAGTCAAAGAATGAACATCAACTCTGAGATGCAGGTACATCCAGATGACAAGTCCCAAATAGGACGAAACGCGCATCCTGGATTCCACTGCTAGCCACTATTCATCTTCGCTTACTTGATCTGACAGTTTCAAACTCGTACACCAATCAACCTAAGATCAAACAGTAAAGACCAGAATTTATACATAGATATTCTACCAGTGAATCTATAGAGTCCAAACTAATTAACACTATATGAAATTGAATTTCTTCTAATCTTCATTTTAAGGGGGTGAATCAGAAAACTTACTTTCATTTGCATGAATCTATCTACCAGGTTATTCATCATATTTTGTACAATATAATTTTTTATTTTGAAGAATAAAATCTAACATAAAGTAGTTATTATTTATCAATCGGAAAATAAATAATTTTCATTTGCATTATAACAGATTAAGGATTCCGCAATGTCATACAACTATTATAACTCAATAAAGTGATTATGCATACAATTGTACTCAATCACGGAAAATAAATAAAATAGGCATAAAGAAGTTAAAATCTGAAGTTCATTGAGTTTTAAGTCAGATTTATTTTATTCGCTAAACAAACTCTCCTTTGATTAGATATAATCAAGATGATACCTGCCTGTTAAAAATGCAAAATAGAATCTAAATATCAAGATAAGCAGTCTCATCAACAGACTTATATTACAGTCAGATAGTGGCTAGTGGTAAAACCTAGGAAATGTGCTTCGTTCTATTTACGGCTCCTCACCTGAATGGATGTGTCTCAGTAATGATGCTCATACCGAGGTGTTAACCTAGTAACTTTTGGTTGAGCCCAGATAGTGGTTGACCTGTGAGACTGAGGTGTGGCACTACATATGCGGACAGATATAAATAGTACGTAGTAGGGATCGGAAATAGAATGCTTACCAGCAAAAATTGAAATGAGAAGGGAAGGAAAACGAAGAGCGATCAGAACGATAATATCTGAAGAATGATGAAGTGTGTCAGAGATAACTGAAGAAAGATATGCAAATGATGCATTCAATGTATGATTTTCATGTTTTACAAAGCCACAGATTGATTTTGCATAAAAAATAAGTTGGTTTTCCTTACCAATTCTTTGTTTACTAGACGACCAGTATGGATTTTATTAGTAGGGGTTTGTGATTTCCAGTTGATGATTTTAAGGCTTCAAGACATACACATAGAAAAAATATCAGACTCATTCATCAGATACTTGGTTATAAGTCACATCCCAATTATGTGAGCTAGTGATACTAACCAGTTGCCCGAACTGACGTAGGTGGAGCAGCGGGGTTCAAATATGAGAAGTTGAACATCCTAACCACTAAGCTACCACTCCACTTATATCACGACAGAAACTAATCAATAGTAGTCTTACACATCAAAAGCGGTAAAATGAAAGCTCTTACAAATCAAATCTCATCAACAGTTTTCTTGACCAATAACAATGACTTCATCTAACTTACTGATTACAAAAAGAAGACATCAGAAAATATCAAAGATTAGATAACATTCAAATAAAACAACTGAGAATGGGTGTGTGTGTGTATGTATGTGAAACAGACAATACCAGCAACGACAACGGACAAAGTTAATTATACAAACGAACTACACTCAAGAAGTCACGAAAATTTCGTTGCTTCTTTTCTCTATAAAAAACGAATAGCTGATTTTATTTTTCAAGTGTATTACTATTATTAAATGCAATAAATGTACAATTCTGAATTTTACACACACAAATACATTACAATGTTGATTGACTCTTATTCATCTTCTATTTCCTTTTAACATTATAAACATTCTTGTCTATCACAATCAGTCAGAGAGGAAGTATATCAATCATCATTAGTCGAGTAAAATCACTGTAACTATATCATACAGGACATTTTATATTTCAATATGAATTTTGCTTTTACGTATGTACATTAAATATTAAAGAATTTTATGTAATGAATTCTAGAGAGATTGTTAAATCCTGGAATATTTGTTTCAATTAGATTTGGATGTACACAAAGTTGATAATCAAGTTTAGTTGGTAATGTTTTATGATCATTCATGTTAGCAGTATATAATGAAGTATTTGCTAATGATAGGTTATTATTATTATTATTATTATTGTCAGGAATACCAGTTGACAGTAATAATTTCCATGGTTGTTTTGAATTTATAAGATCAGAAGAAATAAATAAACCACAGGGTTTAACTCTTCCATAAAATTTATTATCAATGTTTGTGATTGATTTTCCGTCATTATGATATACATGTGTAAACATGTCATTTGATACATTTTGTTGGTAAACATCTATTGAACCATTGATTTGAATTAGTCCGATATATTTGGAAGTATTAGAAATATTTTTAGTTGATGTTTCCGCATAATTATGAGTAAGGATTTGTATAATCTGTGTAAAAAAATAATGAGGTAGAAGAAGGAAAAAAACAGCAGAAATTGAATTTATGAAAACGAATATACCTAGAAGAAATTTCGACCCCGTCTATGATGATTCCTCACATAAAGCATAAGTTACCTGGTTCTGCCACATCTAAGTGTATCTACGAATTCAGCTGCTCCCGTGGAGAAAGCTGTATTGTGCGCACTATCAGACAACTGAGCCAACGAGTTAGTGATCACTTACCTTCGTGGTTAGAAAAGGGTACCATCAAAATAATACACAGCTTCTTTCTATCACACTTGATAAATAGCGGTCATGTAATAGACAGAAATAGACCATTTTAAGCGATTTATCGTATTCCTACTAGGTTCACTTATAGGGTTTGATAGCAGAGGCTATAGGAATTCGACCTAACAATCCAAGTCATTGTATTCATAAGAAATTTGTAACACCTTAATCTCTCCCTTGGCCTTAACGAATGATTTTATCTATTAATTTTATAGTTGAAATCATGAGTCAATTGAAGCTAGACCACGAATAAAAAAACCTGGAAGACCGTTTCGTCCTATTGTGGGATTCCTTAGCAGTGCACATCTCCACAAACAAACCCTTCTGACTTTATTTATTATTTTTTACACTCTTTGTTAACTTATTCTTCTTCACCCCCTCCCACGCATTTTCCCCGCAAGTATACGCTTCATTGTCCGATTTTCTGAACATTTCTCATTACATAATCTTAGTGATTTTATAAATGTTATCTCAGCATCTATGTTTTTTAGATCAGTGATCTAATCTCACTATGAAACATGGATAAAAACCTTTTTTATTCTTATCACAACTAGTGCACCTGTCATCAGACTACGAATTTGTTTTCTTTACTTACTACGTTTATTTATGTAGTCTATTTCCCTGTTATCACTGAATCACAAATTGAATTGATTAGTTTAATAATTATGTATATGCATATAAATATTACAGTACATTAAAGTAAAGCCTGATGAGGATCTAATGGAAAACATTACTGTTAGCTTATATATGTTGTTCTAATTCACTGTAGGTTTATACACGAAGGTGCGAGTCAATTTTTTGAATATTATATTTCTAATCATCGAAGTTAACAGTCAGTCAGTTACAAGCAACATATGACGTGGAACAGATTTACATTATTGCAAGCTAACAAACTATTACAGCACTGTGAAATAGGTCTATCAACACTAGTTCCAGAGTATTGAAAGTGATAATGTAGTGAACAGAGACTCAGGTACAGTAATCCAATATATTTCATTATATGTGAAAAAATTATATTTGAAATAGTCTCAGCGATTGAAATTTAAATAATTCCAACGTTTCGTCCAGCTAACTTGTCTGGACTTCTTCAGGGAAATAAAAAAAAACAACGTTGGAATTATTTAAATTTCAATCGCTGAGACTATTTCAAATATAATTTTTTCAAACTATTCGTTCTAATCTTAATCCAATATATTGTTTTATGCAAAATCACACAATGCCTTTGTAAAATATGAAAATCATCAGAGATTAAACACACCATTTGCACACATTCCTTCAGTAATTCTTTACATACTCCATCTTTCTTCCAATTCTGTTGTTACTCTGGCTGGTTTCCGTTTTCCTTCCTGTTCCCTTCATTTCAATCTTCTGCTGGTAAGCATGTAGTGCCGCGATTCGTTAACCGTTTACTTCGATAACCGTTATAATTCTAAACTTAACGGTGCGTAAAATCAGAAGACAAAGGATAGCAGCAACTACAGTTTATTGTCGAATGACTCAGGTTCGAAAGCTAACAACACCTGAGCGAATATGAACGAGCGAGTGAACAGGCAAACAAGCGAAGGAAACGAACGAGGAGCAAGCGAGCGAGCGAGCGAAATAGCAAGCAATTACATAGGCAATTTATAGTCAAATTTAATACGGGCACAGCAAAGCAAAACAAAGGCTGATAATAATATTTGCGTGCGTACATATATGGGTAGGAGTATGAGTCATCGAATGATATTTAAGCAGTCAACATTTCGGCTAGAGTGTCATGTGCTCTAGTGTTATTGCAGTGCAAAGAATATGCAAATTGTTACTATCCAAATGACAATGTCTGTTAAGTAAGTTATAAAAAAGGGCTTAACCAAAATTGGCTATAATCGAAATTGATTGTAGGATGGTTGCTATATTACTCCCCCCTGCAAACAAAGATATATGAAAAAATGTCTGTGTTTGCATAATGTACAGTAAATTGGATAGCGTAGTTACAATCATTTGAAGATATGGGCCTGTATAAAATTAGAATGAAGTTAGTGTGTATTTAGTTCGTGCCCGTCCGTTAGGCTATACAAAATAGCGGTAAGATATTGAAGGAATATGGTATCGCTTCGAAAAAAAAAACTGCACGTATGAGCATAAGGGTGTACATAAGCTGTGCCAAGTTTAATAGCGTATAGCATGAACTTAATAATCCATATGTATACAATGAAGAGGAAGAATTATAATTAATAATCAAAGTAGCAGAAAATTATCAGTAAAAGATTGTAGCGACATAACGTTGCGGCCATCTTACTCTGCGACCAGATTTTGTCGTTATCGGAGTCTCTTCGTTTTGGTGCGTTAGCGTCGTTGACTCCTGAGATTCGTGTTTCGTAGGTGTGATCGTCTTCGAGAGGCTTGTGCTTGTCGATTGAAAATCGCTATCGATGAAAGCTGGCTTCACACGATCGATACTGATTACGTCTGTCTTCCCAGCTTTTTCTACCGTGACTGTCTTATCTGTCTTCGTAATCACTTTAAATGGACCTTCATAGTTCGGCTGCAGAGGTGGTTGTACGTTGTCTGTTCTGATAAATACGTGCGTGCTATTATGTAGTTGCTGAGGTACGAATACTCGACGTTGTTGTAGTCTGGGAAGTGCTATTTTTAAATCGCTCATGTGTTTCTTCAGGCGTTGGACGTAGTTGGCTACATCAGTCGGAACACTTTTACCTGAAGCGAAAAATTCTCCGGGTAAACGTAAAGTAGTTCCATATACCAACTCGGCTGGACAACATCCCATATCCTGTTTAATTATTGTTCTTAAACCTAACATGACTAAAGGAAGCTTATTAGCCCAATCGTTATCGACAATGACAGATGTAAGGGATGCTTTCAACTGCCTATGTAGGCGTTCAACCATTCCGTTTGCCATTGGATGGTAGGATGTCGTTCGTATACGTTTAATTCCGAGGAGTTCTGTAAGCTGCTGGAAGAGTCGACTTTCGAATTGAGCTCCTCTATCGGTCGTGATAATTGCCGGTATACCATAGTGAGAAATCCAATTCTCGATTAGGGCTTTTGCTACAGATTCGGCTGAGGTGTCTTTGATTGGCACCGCTACAGGCCATCGGGTAAATCTATCGATGCATGTAAAAATATAGTTGTACCCGTTCGAAACTGGCAGTGGTCCCACGATATCGATGTGTATATGTTCGAATCGAGTGTCTGGCTGTGAAAACGAACCCATTGGCGAACTAGTATGACGATGTACTTTGGCTTTTTGACATTTCATGCATGCTTGCGTCCAATTTCGTATATCGCGATTCATTTTCGTCCATACGAAACGCTCACTGATTAATTTCATCGTGGCTTTTATTCCCGGGTGCGATAGGTTATGGATACTTTCGAATACTTTCCGTCGCAATGGTTTAGGAATGAATGGGCGAGGTCGGCCAGTTGACATGTCACATATTACTTTCGCGTTGCCGAACTGAATATCTTCGAATAATAATGACGTCGTGTCATCGAATCTTAGCTTGTTTAGTTCGATGTCTATCTCTTGTAACTTCGCGAGACCGTGATAATCAATTCCATTTGTAATAATCGCGTTTATCGTTGTTCTGGACAACGCATCTGCCACTTCGTTATTATTACCTTCAATATACTGTATGCTAGAAGTAAATTGGGAAATAAATTCTAATTGTCGAATTTCCCTCGGCGAATAGTTATCCTGCTTGGCGTTTAATGCTTTCGTGAGGGGTTTATGGTCTGTATACACTGTAAAAATGGTACCCTCTATCATGTGTCGGAAATGTTTGATTGCCAAGTAAATCGCTAATAGTTCTCTTCCGAACGTACTGTACCTCGTTTGTGTAGGGTTTAATCTCTTCGAGAAAAATGAAATCGGTTCCCATGTACCGTTTACTAACTGCTGCAGTACAGCTCCTACTGCTATGTTCGATGCGTCCGTCATGATGGCTAGTGGCGCTTCGCTCTTTCGTCGAACTAATATCATTTTCTCATGAAGTGCTCGCTTAGCGTTCTCAAAAGCCTGTATAGCCTCTGTCGATAGATGGAATGTTCGGGTATTTCCTCGCAAAGCGTCCGTTAATGGCTGTAGTATTGCTGCGCAGTTTGGAATAAATCGCCTATAGTAGTTTATTAGTCCCAGGAATCGTCGTAACTTTTTTTGTGACTCGGGCAACGGATAATTGCGAATAGCAGCAACTTCCGCTGGAACTGGCATGATACCTCGAGAATTTATCATATGACCTAGGAATTGCAATGATTTCTTTCCAAATTCACATTTCTCCACGTTAATAGTGACACCATATTCTTGAAGTCTCGTGAATAACTGTCGTAGATGTTGTAGATGTTCTTCGACGGTAGCGCTAGCTACTAATATATCGTCGATATATGCGTATACCCCTGTCAAACCTCTAACAACCTGATCAATAAATCGCTGAAAGGTTTGAGCTGCATTAGTTAATCCAAATGGCATTCGTAAAAACTCAAATAAACCAAATGGAGTGATTACGGCCGTTTTCGGTATGTCTTCTGGGGCCACTGGAATGTGGTAGTACGCCCGAACAAGATCAATTTTCGAAAAAATCGTAGCACCTTCCATTTCGGTAGTGATGTCGTGAATATGTGGCACTGGGTATCTATCTGCTATCGTTTGCTTGTTAAGGGCTCTATAATCTCCACATGGTCTAATTTCTCCATTCTTTTTGGGAACCATATGTAACGGAGATGCCCAGGGACTATTAGATGGCCTTATGATACCAAGTTTCATTAGTTTTTCGAATTCTCGTTTCGCAATGTTTAACCTTTTTGGGTCCAACCTTCGCGCTCTTACTCTAGTCGGTGGACCTTTCGTGACGATATGGTGCTGTACTGTATGTTTAAGATCTTTGTTGTCGTATGATGACCTCGTTAAGTCGGCGAACTTATTTAGAAGTGACTTATATTGCTCGTTCCTATCTTTCGACACTACTAAATTCATAGATACATGATCAGTGGTCACTCCTCTTATGACTACTGAGCGTTCTCCATTCACTAGTTGGTTTCGTCGAGAATCCACTAATAGGTCAAAATTCTTTAAGAAATCGATACCAATTATGGGTACGGACACATCAGCGATCACAAATTCCCAGCGAAGTGAAATATTACGGCCGAAATTCAAGGTTAGTTTTCGCTTGCCATATGTCTTTATATCGGATCTATTCGCTGCTTTAAGAGTTAGCGCAGTATCGATATTTTGTTTTTCGTTGCTCAATGGAGGGACGACGCTTATCTCTGCTCCCGTGTCTACTAAAAACTGCGCGCCCGTTACTCTGTCCTGAACATAGAATAAACGATTGCTCGTGGGAGCTGCGTTGATTTTCGTAGTCGTTACTGAGAATCGTTGGGATCGTTTAAATTTGCATGGAGACCTGCATTTTCGAGCTCTGTACCCAAATGTTTGATGGTACCAGCATATAGCAGGATCTGGTAGTCCCTTAGAAAATGATCGGTTTCTATCTCTTGATCTGCTGCGCGACCAACTTCTTTTCCTGTCGTTGTGATTTAGACTCGTTAATTTGTGGCATAGCGCATTAATTTCCTTTTGCAAGGCCTCGATTCTTTCGTCAACTGTGAAGTTGAGCGTTTGTGAAGTCGCATTTCTCATTCTCTCGTAAATCTTATCGGCTATTTTAGCGATATTGTCTATGTCTACATCGCTATCTCCAACAGCGAGGATCTGCTGTACGTTCGGTGGGAGTCGTCGCAACCATAAGTGGTAAAATATATTTTTATCCACATTTCTGTCTCCAATTACGTTGCTCATATACGTTTTTAACTGCGAAGGCGTTCTATCTCCGATTTGAACTTCACTGAGCAACTGCTCGACAGCTTGCCGGTCGTTTAACGAGAGAGCTTTTATTACTGCCTGTTTCAATACATCGTACGGATTTACCGCATCCGGCTTAGTTAGGACCTCTCGTACCTTGTCTGCTACTTCATCTGGAAGTAGTGAGCTTGCGTAGCCGAACTTATGTCGCTGTAAAAGAATACGATTGGCTACGAAGTAATTTTCAAGTCTAATAAACCAGAGTTGAGGATCAGTAACATTAAAAGAGGGAATAGTAACATTAATAACTCCCACGGATGGTGACTGTGAAAGATCGATTGTTTCGTTATTTAAAGACATTACTAATAATAATAATAATAATAATAATAATAATAAATTAAATAGTATGCGAATATAACGTTATTGTCACTAAGAGAAATGAATCGATGAAAAAAATGATAATAACAAAAGGTACAATATATAAAATGGAACAGACTTACTAAATTGCACCAATATATCAATTGTTCGTGAATAATCGTTATTTATTATGAATATTATCGTTAAGTTCAATAATGCTTATGGGATGATGAACGTGCGATTAAAATTGTGATATAATAAATCCACAATTATGATTATAATCCAGATAATAATTCGAATAGAAACAGAGTACGTTGAATTTTCGAAATGAAATTATCTCGTCGAAAATTGTTTTGTGTTCGCTCGTCGAGGCATCCAATTCTGTAGTGTCGTGTTCGTATGGCGAGGCAACCAATTATATTGCGTCGTGCTCGTTCAGCGAGATATCCAATTCTATTGCGTCGTGCTTGTTCGGCGAGGTATCCAATTCTATTGCGTCGTGCTTGTTCGGCGAGGCCTCCAATTCTGTAGTGCCGCGATTCGTTAACCGTTTACTTCGATAACCGTTATAATTCTAAACTTAACGGTGCGTAAAATCAGAAGACAAAGGATAGCAGCAACTACAGTTTATTGTCGAATGACTCAGGTTCGAAAGCTAACAACACCTGAGCGAATATGAACGAGCGAGTGAACAGGCAAACAAGCGAAGGAAACGAACGAGGAGCAAGCGAGCGAGCGAGCGAAATAGCAAGCAATTACATAGGCAATTTATAGTCAAATTTAATACGGGCACAGCAAAGCAAAACAAAGGCTGATAATAATATTTGCGTGCGTACATATATGGGTAGGAGTATGAGTCATCGAATGATATTTAAGCAGTCAACATTTCGGCTAGAGTGTCATGTGCTCTAGTGTTATTGCAGTGCAAAGAATATGCAAATTGTTACTATCCAAATGACAATGTCTGTTAAGTAAGTTATAAAAAAGGGCTTAACCAAAATTGGCTATAATCGAAATTGATTGTAGGATGGTTGCTATAAGCATTCCACTTCATATTCCTACTACATACTACTTATATCTGTCCATATATCTAGCGAACTCCGCAATAATAGTATCAACGATATTAAAAAAATATTAAGCATGAATGGTGATATGGTTCAACAAGAGTGAACTAATGGATGCGCACTGCTGAGGAGTCTCATACTAGGACGAAACGGCCGTTCAGTGCTTCCAGGTTTTTCATGGTGGTTTAGCTTCAATTGACTCATGAACTCAACTATTAAAAATGAAATAATTTCAAAACTCAAAATCTAAGGGGAAACAAAGAGTATATGAATCGGCATCATTGTGACTGATTCTGAGTCATGTCACCTGATGCCTTCAACTACTGACTGCAATTAATAAGTGGACCCCAAACCAACTTCATGGACTGATCCTATATTTTGATTTAGTCACCTCAAGTTTTCTTTCTAAGCGCTTATATACATCACTGAAACATTCGCCACAAAGATGGATAGTGGTTGGGCATGCGTAACACACATCCTATTGAGGTTATATGTTTGAGTCCCAAAACATTTCTGGTTCAAACAACTGGATAGTTTTTCATAGATTGGTAGTATATAATTTGAGATTTAGTTTGATAAGCGTATATTTTTCCGCACAAAGTGAGCTAACTGGAGTTCAAGAATCAAACTGGCATATATTTTACTTACGTAATTGACTAATAACATAACCATAAAAGACTTAAAGGTATCGAATTCAATCCGACAACTAATGAGGATTGTAAACTATCTGAGAATTCCAATATTCCTACTCCAAAGTTATTCAATATCTTCCACTGTGTTAAGGGGCGAACCCGACTCACCATCCATTGGTTGCAATTTCTAATTTGTCTTAATTTATGATACACAGCGATGATTTTTATTTATTTATTTAAACACATAAATATTGGTACAAGGAAGCACCAGATAAATATGCGCCGCACAAATCTCATTCCATTTGTGTGAGGGCTGTGATACTGCCCAGGTGCCCAGACTGAAGCAGGTGGTTTTCTTAGGAGCCCACACCCGGAGCCTTTGACCGAAAGATCTGATCCACAAGGCAGTGGAGCATCGTGAGCAGATGCAGTCCCATGGTAGCCGGTGATCAAAGGTTGATTCGTACGCCATTTGTTTCTTCAGGATACTGGAGCCCATGTGCACCACTGGTTTGGAATCAAGGTTTTCCAACTCCCCTAGGTGGACTTTACGTGTCCACCAACCCGGTTAAAGCGCCGGACATTCGCTTTTCGTCCTCTCACTTTCGTACACAACACCCCCGCCACGAGAAGGCAGTGAGTAGGACTTCCCTGGCAGAGGCTATATATTCGCTGGCCATATGAGAGTATTTCGAGAGGGAGAGGCGACTCTCCCCACTCTCGGCCGTACCAGGGCATTTGGGGGCACAGTGATGATTACCCTAAATGATACCTGTTTAATTAGCCATAAGCACTCAACATTTTACCGCTGGTGAAGTAATAGGTGCATATAGTTGATGAGTTTCGGATTACAGCGAAATTAGTGTTTAGTGAATGATCCCTGGAATTCAATAGTTCTTCAACTAAAGCTATTCTGTGATAAAAATCAACTTCAAATAGAAAAATTTAGAATGAAATAGAGATTTATTAAACATGCATACCTGTTTACATCTATGTGAGGACGATTTGAAGGTTTCATTTGTATCTGTAACATCTACATTTGATAGTTCCATTTTAGGATTGCGAATATCATAAACGTATAAATGACCTTCGTAAGTTCCTAATAGCAAATGATGTGGTGAAAGCCAACTGAGTGCTCTTTAAAATAATAAAACACATATATGATTGTGAATAAAAATGATTTAAGGCACAAAGAAATAAGTCTAAAAGATCAAGTACATTTAACAAATACAATCTCGAAAGACTAAGACCAGTATTATTATTAATAATGGTTTGAAATAACCTGTTGGTGATATTCATGAATGAAATTTGGTCTGTCTCTGTTGGATTACTTAGATAACGCTACTATATTGTATGTTTTTATCGAATAGATAGATTCTGGTCAGTAGTAAAATTTAGGACGCTCGTTTTGTCTTGTCTGAGATTCACTTGCTGTGTAAGGCTGCATTCTACTATTGATGTTCACTTCGACACTCGAACCTAAAGCCCTCAAATTAAAACAAATGTGTTGTTCACTGAGCTTCTAAGACCAGATAGACGGTTCTAATTTTTATTTGTTACTAAAAGTTTGAACTATGTCGTTGTTGATATTCAGGACTGACATTTGACCAGTTTATGTTCGTAGGTTTTCAATGGTAGTCTAACAAAAGTCAGACAGTGATTTGAAACTTCAGAGTTCTGAGGGAGCTGATGCTCTCAGTGGAATTAGAATCAATTTCTCTCACCTTTATAGTCCAAGGCGTTACTACTGATTCCCAACTGACTTTCTGAAAGATAGAAATACCCAAAATGATCAACCACTGAGTAGTGGTCGATTTTGTGTTTGTCTAGTCATTCGTGCTATCCAAAATCTATCGATTCATTTTTAATGCGGCCATTAATCTGAGTGACGATGTCGTTTGTACTATCTTTCGATGTGAGACGGTTGAAAGTAGTTAGAAAGAAACTCTCCAGGATGAAATCGCAAGAAACTTGAGGATATGATTTTATGTAGACTGTATCATATGATACTTAGAACAATGTATCATCTTGGATCTTTCGATCAAAATAATGCTGTAAGAATACCAACTTTTCTCCACACTGACCATAATTAAAGTAAGATAAAAATAACAACAGAGACATACATACATTACGACTCACGTTGGTAAATCATGTTTAATATTTGAACAATCACTTGATTGAATTACAAGTGGATTAGATACATCATTGATACGAATATCCCATAAACAAATTTTTCGTTTCAAATCTAATGGATTTAAAGTTGATAATAAAAAGTTTTCACAATTATTTTGATCATTTATTATATCATTAGTATTATTAGAAGATAGTAAAGAAATATCTGGAGTGAAAGCGGAACCATTAACAGGCCATGTTGTAGAATTGATAGACCATGATTTAATAGGCATTAAAGATGGACAATCCCATAACTAATTTGAAATAAATAAAGCAACAATGAAAATTGAATAATTTAATATTGAACCAAGATTAAGAATGAGACGTTCTGTGTTCTGTGTAAGCAAAGTGAAGATTAAATAGCAATTAAGTCCTTAGAATAACATTCGTGTAATTCTCCATTGTACGATCAATCGTTGGTCACCGGCTACCATGAGACTGCATCTCCCCACGATGATCCACTGCCTTGTGGATCAGATCTTTAGGTCAAAGGCTCCGCGTGTGGGCCCTTAAGAAAACCACCTGCTTCGGTTTGGGCACCCGGGAAGTATCATAGCCCTCACACAAATCAAATGAAATTTTTGTGGCGCATATGCATCTGGTGCTTCAATTGTAAGATGTGAACATGTTCAACTAAGAATTAGATCTGCTAGCTTGTTTAATTTGAAACGAGTGAAATGATGTATTTGAACTTAAAAGGTTATATGTTAAGTATGTTTAAATCATTATTATGACATATCTTTCTAAACAACAAATGAGCTCGCTTAAGACTATCATAATAACAAAATACTTTGCTGAAAACTGTGCTTATGGTTTGTCAAACTCACATATAATTACTTATTGTGTGATGTGTTTTTTTAAGAGTTCCCAGAACTCGCTTATAGACATACAAACAGATAGAAACATAGATATCAATATATATCCGGATAAAGATATGGGTTAGCCAAAGTTTCCATATCTGAATAACATGATAAGATGAAAAGAGCATAAGATATCGAAATAATGTAGTATAGATGATAAAAAGAAAGACTGAACCTTAGGAATATGATTTGAAAACACAGGATGGAAAAGCATGTGGAAAAGGATACTGGGATTCAAGATCGAAGTTAAAATAAAGAATGAATCCATCTGCTTCATTGTGAACGATTCTGAAACAATTTATCCAAAGTCTCGAATAACTACCGACAGCGGTTGTTTTTTATTTTCACTAACTTCAAAATAAAGCTTTAATGATACTACTTTCTTCCTGGTTCTTCAAAGTTCAAGATTTCCAGAATAATGGAAATCGTTATATCACATACTAAATTACTAGAACAAACTTGCCCTGTTAAAACACACAATCAACAATAACAATTTCATTTACCGTGTTTTAAAAGATAATAGTATTTCATCTCGACCATTGTATAACAGAACTTAGTTGATTGTATACTACAGTCAATTTATTTACTCATGAATTAAATCAGCGAAACCCTGAAAGTAGTTTTAAAGTGAGAAAACTTTCTATCAGAAACTTTTGGAGTTGGATAAGCATTACTAGTACTTTACCTAAACTCATTTACTAAATACAAGTTTATGAATACAGTTAACTGGATAATGACGCACAATACCTCCCTTCTCCACCTTGCCAAAATCAAATTAAATAAGACAATGTTCAATCCTGTAACCTTTTTGGACCACGTGCACTTTTGACTATCACATAATTTGTTCAGGCCCAAAGAGAAAATACATACATTGATACATTTTAGACCAATTAGCATGGATGAATAAATCAAAAAGTGAGGAAATTCTTATATAAAATCAAATATTTTTACAAAAATATACCGTTATTATTTTAGTTCAGTCAGTCAGTCAGCTACAACGTAGGACCAGGCACGTTTATGCATCGGTCCAAGTTGTCATACCTCGTTAGCACAACAAGATGAACACCGAATTCATAGAAGTACTTAATTTAGTAGTGGTAGTATATAAAAGATAGGTTGTATATAAGGATATAGTACAGGAAGAAAGACAGATATGAAGCAATTTTGATCTCAAGGAAGATAAAGAGTGCATACACCTAAGCCATTGTGATCGATTCTGAGCCATGTCACCTAGAGTCTCCAACCATTGGTTACGATAGTCATGTGGATCCCAACCAGGTAGTCTGTATCTACCAACATGGCTCAGACTAGAAGTTAGTGACTTCAAACACTGATGCCATGTTTTGGTTTGGCCACTCCTAACTCTCTTCCAACCATCGCCAATACTAGCCAGCATAGCGCGTCGTGGTAATCGGTGTTCAGATATACGTAACACATGGCCCAACCATCTCAGTCAATGAAGATTCATGACCTCATCAACTGATTTACCATCATTCCCTAATACTCTGCGTCTAACCTCACTATTACTTACCCGGTGATCCCAGCAGATGCGAACAAAATTTCTAAGGCATCTGTGGTCAAATACTAGTAGCTTACGAGTATCTCCTACTCTTAATGGTCATGTTTCACAGCCGTAAAGTAGAATAGAACGAACAGCTGCTCAGTATACTCGTCCCTTAATTGATTGACGGATATCTCGTCTTCGTCATAGGTGACGTAAGTTGGCAAAAGCCAAACGAGCTTTTGAATCCGTGCTGAGATTTCGTCAGACACCAACCCATTAGGGCTGATCAGACTTCCAAGGTAGGTGAAGTTGTCGACGCGTTTGACTACTTCACTCCCTATCCTTAGTTTACATGTTGACGCAGGCCAGTCCTGAAGTAACAATTTACATTTAGAGGGGGAGAAACACATCCCAAACATCCTGGCATTATTACTCAGTTCTAACAGAAGACTCTGCATTTTGTCAGCGTCTTCACCAAACAGGACTATATCGTCTGCGTATTCTAAGTCGATAAGTAGACCTCCTGGCAGATCAATTCCTGAAAATTCAGTCGACGAGTGTTATTTCTAGCAATATGTCTATAATGAAGTTAAACAAAAATGGGGATAGTGGACAGCCTTGACGGACACCACTTGAGGTTTTAAAACCATATGACAGTTCGCCATAAGCTCTCACTCGACTGGTAGTGTTCGAGTAAAGAGCCTTCACAAGGTTTATGTACTTCTGAGGTACACTTTTCAATGACAGACACTGCCATAGAGCCTCTCGGCCTACAGAGTCAAATGCTGCTTTTAAGTCAAGAAAAACTGTCATTGTCGGACAAAACTTTACACATACCTCTTTTGTTAAACTGAAATGAAATATAGCATAACTTAAACTGATACAAATTTATACTAGATTTTAATACTGTTTAATGATTGAGTAATAATTTTCTTAAATTCAAAGTAGAGCTATGTAAATAGAGGTTTACGTTCTAAAAGTTTATGAAATTCATGTACAAAATAAACATAGATAAGAATAACAACTTCATTTATGTTTCAAGTTTACTTTTTTTTAGATAATTTGGTTGCTGGGTTAGTGAGTGAGTGAGTGTAATCTAAAAGTCACGTAAGTAAAATAGCCAAATATTTGATTCATACATTAATAATAGAAATATATATCAACAGTACCATTTTCTTAATCACACTAAGTTCACTTTCATTTTGTATTTTGTATATTGTAAGAATTACACCTATATACATATACATATATATGTATGTGTACTAAGTAATTGTTTAGTTTAACCCGTATTTTAACAAAGCAAACACGTAAAACTTGACAAAAACACAATCAATAACACATTCATATTATTCTAAGAAGAGAGATAGTGAAAATTATAAACAGCAAATATATAATTTTATTGCTTCGATTCATTGAAAAGTTAAGGTATAGAAAGTTAATGTTAGATAAGATGATAAAATGTTTTACCAGTTTTCATGAGCTGCAGTTAAAAATAAGCCTATCTTCCTTAATATCATTATTATTTATTTAAATAGAAATATTGGTACAAGGGGACACCAGATATATATGCGCAACAAAAATCTCATTCAATTTATATGAGGGCTGTGATACTGCCCGGATGCTCAAACTGAAACAGGTGGTTTTCTTAGGGGGTCACATCCGGAGCCTTTGACCTAAAGGTCTGATCCACAAGGCAGTGAAGTATCGTAAGGAGATGCATTCCCATGGTAGCCGCTGACCAACGATTGATTCATACGCCATTTGTTTCTTCAGGATACTGGAGCCCATGTGCACCATTGGTTTGGAATCAGGGTTTTCCAACTCCCCTAGGTGGACCCTCCATATCCACTTACCCGCCAAAGCGCTAGATATTCGCTTTTCGTCCTCTCACTTTCGTAAACAACACCCCCGCCACGAGAAGGCAGTGAGTAGGATATCCCTGTCAGAGGCTATATATAGAGTAGACTGTATTAAGGCAGATAATGACAAGAAAACTGTCAACACCAACAATAACCAATCAAGATCAACAGAACAAGTTGTAACCCAAGTGTAAAGAAAACCTTATAGCGCACTTCTAAATGAAGATTGTACTGATAACTACGTTATCTAGAAATATAGAAAAAGCTTTACAATTAAACCACCTAGCTCAGAGAATGTAGCTACATCAAAAATCATCTTCCAGAGGAACACATCTTGTTGATCATATCTTACACGCGAATAGAATATTTTACATCTAGTAAATATTTTTAAAAGATAATTAATATGTATCGACTTACTTTTACACATCCAGCTACATCTAATGTTATGATATGAGGATTCGTAGATCCTGAGGTCTGAGATGCTATTACTTTATCCAAAGGCCAATCATGGTATGTAGCAGAATTGATCGTTAATGGCTATTGCGAAATAGATAGCAATGTAAAGTACAAAGGAATTACGATTAAAGGACAACTAATAATTGCAATTTTAAAGCTTTTTTATAGAAAACATACAATAAAATTAGTCAGAAGTAATTTTTCCTATAAGGACAATAGAAAATTAACTAAACTACTCACCTTCTTATCTAACATAAGAGTTTCAAGTAATAACTAACTAGATTGATTTCATGGAAGATATTACACACGAACTGACTATAACTTGCAGACCAATAAAATTTTGCGTTGATTACCTTTGAACATTTTTATCTAGCATTCTCATAAATATAATAGAGACAAAATATTATTCTTTAAACTTTTATTAGTCAACGAGTATAAGTTTTTCGATTTCATGACCTAACCCCTCCTCAAGTGATGGATTGTTGACTGATGAAGGTCTATTGGTTCTTGTTAACTTATAGTATTTATAAAGCAAAACCACACTTTTGGTTAAGATTAGTAAAATAACTGTAATTAATGGTTGGTCGGTGATATGGCCTAAAATTAGTCATAGTAGTGCAGATGTGCCAACGTCTTATCTTTACTAGTCCGGAGGACTAGCTCAGTGGTTAAGGTGTTCAATTTACAATCTCACTAGTTCACAAGTTCAACTCCACCACATCCAGCTCGATCTAGGCAAATGGTTAGTATCATAAGCGCCCAAACTTAGAGCGAAGTTCAAACCCAAATCGATGAATTCGGCAAATGAGTTAATAAATAGACTAATCAGTAACTATGTATTAACCAATGTCGTAACGTTAGCGCAGACAGAACTGAATGGAAGAAATTTCAGATGCTATTACTATTTCAAAAAAACATGGAATCTTCAAATTTATTTAACTCATAAACATAAGATTATTTTACATTTCCTCACCCCTATTTTTATTTGGATTTTTAGCTCCCCTTTTATCTGTTTTATTAACATTGTTTGTATTACTGCGATTATTTGTATTTCTTCTACTTTTTATGAGATGCAGTAGGTCGAAGGAACACAATTCCGCAAAGTCTATATTTGTTTGTCATGTATTTTCAATGTTGAATATTGTCAACGGATCAAATGAAGTCATTTTCATAACTAACTAACTTGGATCTATGGTACAACTATCAAACAAGTTAAATGTTTACTCGACAAAAAAACATGACAATTTACTCATATTGTACGAACAATGTAATAATCTACCTTATATAGGTAGCATGTATTCTACTTTACTTAAAATAAACTTTGAATCGAATCAAATAATTCTCCAGGTAATTAGGTATGAGCCACATTTTGTGTAAGGGCCAGTGAAACAACACGGTTATCCAGATAGGTGGAGTGGGGTTCAAACCTTGAACTTAGTGGTTAACTGCAGAGCCACTACCTTACTTTTCTTCATTCAACAGTTTGATGAGAGAAAAATATTTCGACTTGGTATATATATATATATATATATATATATATATATATATGTATGATTATCGAAAATATAGATACCTGCATTTGTGACTGATGAGAATTAGCTGACACCTCACGTAGTGTAACCAACTGAATAGAACCATCATCTAAACCAATTACAACAGCGTCTGTTAATTCACTGCAACTTAAATTCAAGGCTGCTATTGATGCGACAGATGAGTCGAAAGACGTCTCTGTAACTACTTGCTGAGAGATATCATCAACCACAGCCGATTCATCTTCATATGCGATTCGACCAAAATAGTTTTTTACATTCTTCAGGTTGTAAACGACCAAGCCACCACCCCACAGATCCCCTATGGCGGGCAAAAAACAATTACAGTATGTTAGTGCTAATTAACATTATAATCAAGGAATTATATCCGTTCTCATATGACATGATATACGTACTATTCAATTTATTTATCTTTTCGGACTTTATATCTACATAGCTTAACGGTGAGACTATAACTTATGGACGACTTAGAAGAGTTTCTCATTATGTCCTCATTTTAACAGTATAAAAAGCAAATACTCATGGTTTTTAATAGTGCTTTTGATGAATTATTCTGAGCTATAATTGAGAAAGAAATATCCGATAAGATTAACTAAGTAAATTGCAAGCTAATTACAAGAGGGACGATATATTATTTTGACAATTCACAGCTTATTAAGATACTTTGTTCACAAAGTGAACGGGTGGTCTCTAGAAGTAAATTCCAACAAAAGTGTAGTGATGCAACTAAATAACTACGATGATTCGTATTACTACACAATATGTGGATTTGTGTTACCCAAAGTAAGAAACTATAAAGATTTAGAAGTCATACTAAGCAATGATCTCAAAACGACAAGCCACTGTGAGGCTGCTGCTACAAAAGACTATAGGGTATGATGGTCTATTCGTAGATCTTTCAGGTATCTGGATGAGGAAATGTTAAGATTATTATACCCAACTTTCGTACGACCACATTTGAAATATGGGATTCAAGCAGCGAATCCTTGTTTCAAATATGAAGCGGATATGCTGGAACGAGTCCAACGCCGCGGGACAAAAATGGTAAAAGGTCTGTCTGGCCTATCTTATGAAGACAGACTGAGACAACTCAACTTATTTCCGTTATCTTACCGGCGAATACGGGGTGATCTAATATTGGCATATTGTATCCTGAACAATGACCTTGGTACTAACATATCCTATCTTTTCCTTCCATCTAGGAATGAACATTTGACAGGACATTCAAAGAAAGTTCAAAAAACCGAGATCAAATCGTCTTCGTCTGGAGTTTCGTTTCTCGCACCGAGTAGTTAATTACTGGAATTCTCTACCAGGACACGTAATATCAGCACCTTCTGTTGATATATTCAAGACGAGACCGGACCTCCAGTGTAACAAACTGCAGGGATTAAAATAGGTCAATAGACCTCTTATCCTTATTACTGAAGACAAGTGATTTTGATGAGACTAATTCTGGTATCAGTAAAACAGTTGACAACAAAATAACAGGCATTGAGATAGATGATATTTCGCTATTTCTTGGTACCAGAAGTATGTTCACTTAGTAATTGACGTTTGCTATGGATTTTATTGCGAAAAGCTGTCTATAAAACCTTATTCTATAAATATGTAGTTCACTGCAAAAACAGATTACGGTGAAACTTTTCAAACACAATAGACTATCTTAATACTGAGAAAGGAAATTCAATTGACTTCAACTGATAGAAAAGGTGCTTTTATATTCTGATTTTCCGTATTTTATTAATCTTCGGCCTCCTTTTACTAGGAATACTTAACAAACACAAACGAAGAAAATTATACATTAGGATCAGCTTACCAACTAAAGCTAACGATTAAAAGATACAAGATGAATTGCAAAAAATAAGCCGAAATACATCTAATTACATCAAGAAACAATTACGATGGAAGACCGGTTTACAAAAAAATTAAACACTACAGAAGTTATTCTTGCATCTTGGAAGGTGCTATTATTCACCTGATATGGAGGAGGATCCTATAAATAATTTTCGATTATTTACTCCTAGCGCTGAAACTACAGACGCGTATCTAGCGTGTGAGAATCCAGAACTCAAATTAATATCATCGATGTTAATTTCGTGCATCGTAGCGCACCAATATGAAAGCACCGCAGTCTTTGACCTTGAATTACAGTACTCTATTCCCAATAACTATAATAATGGTGAGCTGTTTTACCTGTGTTGAAATGAGATGGAAGAGTCACTTGTAAAATATGATAGTTCTGGAACACGGACACATATGACATTGATTCACAAATTTGTTACTTATCGTCGGTACTCCAGAGTACCTTTGTTTTTCCATTGTGTCTGTTAGTACTTTGGTCCTAACTGTTTATAGTTTTTTTTTCTACTTGTAGTCAACATTCACTTTCGCATCCTGAAATGACTGGAAGATGCAACAAAAGCATTTGCCACCGCCCAGGATGTCGATATCCTGTTGATAGCTGCATGCAGTGCGATGAGTGCAAAGGTTGGTACCACGATGTTTGCACGAAACTAACACCTGCAGCTTTCAAGCGGTTCAGTAAAAATGGGTGCGTATGGCTATGTCAATAGTGCTGTTTGGATGCAAATAGCCTGTTAACCGAGGCCATCTCAATAGTAAATGCCGCAAAAAAGTGTCTCGGCAAGCGCGGTCGGGATACATCAGTCAGAACTCAATCTGTCGACACGCAGATTGACACAAGGCAGGCCCAAGTGAGTCCAAAAACTGCCGACCCACACTCTACTAAGGAGGAAGAGCATCCTCCAAAGAGGACTGTTGCAACCAGAAACTCGCGCAGAAAAGTCTCTTCTGTCCCTCGTATCAAAAATGGTACCCAGAAGGGAACTTCAGGAAGCCGAAACCGCAAGGCTCGATCGGTTTCCAGCGCGAAAGATGACCCAATCTCCCAAGTCGTCCTGAATCTTCCGGAATCCCACAGTACGCCTGACGCGACTGTGGTTACCACTCCAAAGAACGTTGGCGATTGGGTACGGGTCGTAAGAAAAAAACGCCAAAATGACGTAAAAGGAAATCATACCCCCACCAAAAGGGTCGACAAGCCGAGGTCTGATCACAGCGACAGATCAGTCATTCTCCATAGAGTCAAGGAGAGTGACAGCTTAGAACTGAAAGCTCGTTTTGAGCATGACATTGTGTTGATAAAACAACTACTCAACCAAGTTATGCCCAAAAACATCCCCGTAGTCACCTTGCTAAAGGTGTATAGACTAGGAAATCTAGTGCATCTGAAACCAAATCAGTCTAGACTACTCAAAGTCGTCTTCAAATCTCCAAGCGAACGCGACTTAATCTTATAAAATGGACACAAATTAAAGGGTTCAGGAGTTTTTCTCCGTAAGGACTTACCGTTGGCGGACCGTGTTAAAAGACGGGAAGCCGAAAAGGAACTACAGCTCAGATTAGACGCTGGCGAAAAAGACCTGAAAATTGTAAATTTTCGGGTTGTGAGGCTTCGACAGAGGATGATGCCGAAGCCACTCTGGGTGAAGCACGAGGCCACCTAAATAGGCTTCGGATCTGTTATACCAACGCCCGGAGCTTACTAAATAAGCTACCGGAACTAGGTGCACAGATTGACTCAACTAGGCCAGACATAATTGCAGTCACAGAAACATGGCTGACGCCGTCTATAGATAGTAGGGAACTTAATTTCGAGGGTTTTACATTAATCAGGGCCGATAGAATACAAGGAGGGGTGGTAGCCCTATTCATTTGGAATGCTATTCCATTCACCATTATCGACAGTGTATCCCATGAGAGTGGGACGTATGAATCAATTTGCTGCCGCCTGAAATGCAGGGGACAACAGTTGCTACTTAGTTTGATCTATCGCAGTCCAAGCTGTGAGGCAAACGAGGTCCTGCTAAGCAGTCTCAACACTTTATCACGAAGTGATCGATGTCTAATCCTAGGGGACTTGAATGCACCCATGGTGGACTGGGGAAATCTGCAGACTGAATCGTCAGCAAACTCCTTCGAACAGGAACTAGTTGATGCGGTAATCACATGTGCCCTAGTGCAACACGTGAAGGAAGCAACTAGGTACGACCCGGGTTCTGCATCATCCTTACTTTATCTTATATTGACTCATTATGAGGATGATGTTGCAAACCGGGATTACATGCCACCCCTAGGCAAAAGTGATCATGCAGTTTTAAGCTTTGACTTCCATATAACTGTCGATCACGAGTACGCTTCAGCTCAATCCAGACCTAACGTCTGGAAAGCAAACATAGCAGACATCATGAAATCAGCATCATTAGTAGATTGGAAATTAGACCCAGAGTCATCAATCGAAACGGCTTGGGACGTATTCCGGAATTTATTCTTAAAAGTTACCACCCCCCACATCCCTTGGACTACACCTAAGAGACCGAGAAACTCCCCACCGTGGTTCAGTAGGGAGGTTCGCATCCTTCTCCGTAAAAGAAGGAAAATGTGGGACAGATTTAGGTTACTGGGGACTGACGAGGCAAAATCTCAGTATCAAAAGGCTCGAAATACCTGTGCCTCGACCCTCCGTAAGGCCAGAAAGCTGTACTAAGAGAAAATCGTTAGGGAATCCATAGAATGCCCTAAACGCTTGTATTCGTATATAAACCAAAGGACAAAAAGAAGAAGAAATTTTCCTTCACTATGGGGAGACAGTACTGCCTCATCACTAGTGGAGGACGACTTTGGCAAAGCTCAAGTATTCTCTAAATACTTTAGCAATGTATACACCATAGAAACACCCTTCTCACCAGTCCATGAAAATCCCCCCACACACGCACTGGACAGAGTAACCATTAAAGAACTCGATGTCTTTGGTCTGCTAGTTAAGCTTGACATTGGTAAATCCACTGGACCCGATGAACTGCATCCTAGGTTATTAAAGGAATTGGCTAACTTTGTTGCGAACCCTTTAAGTGTATGTTTTAATCTATCCGTAAACCAGGGTCGTCTACCAAAAGACTGGAAGAACGCCATAGTAAGTCCAGTCTTCAAAACAGGTACAAAACATAAGCCTGAGAATTACCGACCAATTAGCCTAACTAGTGTGGCTGTTAAAATCTTAGAAAAGATTATTCGGAAGGAGCTGTTTAAGTATCTCGATGAAAACCGGATCCTCTCCGAAAAGCAGCATGGTTTTAGAACAGGTTACTCTGTTACATAAGCTAAGGAATGTCGGGATTGGAGGCAATCTATTGATGTGGATAAAAGACTTCCTAGTTGGGCGTCAACAAAGAGTAAGGGTGAACTCCAAGTTGTCTAGCTAGGAAACTGTGCTTAGTGGATCCCCCAGAGTACAGTTTTGGGGCCAGTGTTATTCTTCCTGTACTTAAATGATCTCCCTCGTCTACTATCGTCATCGGTCTTACTCTATGCTGATGATGTCAAGATATGGAGAGCGATACAAAGCAAGGGCGATAGCTTAGAACTTCAAAATGACCTGGAGAGATTATCTGAATGGTCCCAAACCTGGCAATTGCCGATGAACACTTCCAAGTGTATTGTGATGCATATTGGCCACTAGGGTACAGATACATACACGATGAATAACACTGAGTTACCTATTGTTCAGGCACACAACGACTTAGGCGTCATCGTCAGTCAAGACTTAAAGACTACTGCACACTGCCGTGCAATAGCCGCCAAAGGTTTTAGGACTTTATGGTCCATACGCAGGGCTTTTAGGCATCTTGACGCTAAAACGTTTCTGACTTTGTATACAGTGTTCACACGCCCTAAACTTGAGTACTGTATACAAGCAGCTAACCCCTGCCTAAAAAAAGACAGTGAACTCTTGGAAAGAGTTCAGAGAACAGCAACTAGGCTGATTCCCGGAATAGCGAAGCTCCCGTATGGTACTAGACTGACCAAGCTAAACCTATTCCCGCTGTCATATAGAAGAATCAGAGGTGACTTGATTATAGTTTTCAAATTGCTTAATGACAAATTTGCACCTGATATGCCCTCATTTTTCTTGTCTCCCAAAACAGAAAATCTACGAGGACACTCCAAAAAAGTTCACAAGCCCAGATCGAATTACTTGTCAGCTGACTACCGACTTTCCCATCGAATAATCAACGAGTGGAATTCATTACCTCAGCACGTGGTTGAGGCTCCATCCGTCGACTCCTTCAAAAGAAAGTTAGATCAGCTGGGAGACCATCATTGCCAGGACTAACACAGGCCATCAAGCCTCCTGTCCTTTCCAAACTGAAACTGAAACTATGCTGTAGCCGTATTTTACGCCTGCAAACTTGTCAATTTGAAGTACACCAACTCTGCGCTTGGACAAACCCTAGTTGAGGCCATTGTTTGTTTAATTTACCGGCTATATATTTAAGAGGTTAGAAAACAATAACCAGCCAGAGCCTCTGTAAGATCATTGTCATTGTCGGTTTGATCATTAGGAATAAACGACCGGAATACATCGGCTTTCCTTCATCAATAAGAGACCGCTTGATGAACATATCCTTTTAAGGTTGGATAGAAATAACTCAAACGACCTGCTCTTAAATTGATCCTCATCCTTTCTCATGTCCTTCCTTCAGTTATTTCTACCGTTATTGTTGGACCTCAGAATTGAGTGTTCAGCCAATTCGCGGGTTATATCGTCATATATAACCGAGGTAAATTATGTAAACAAAGTGAACTCAGCCATTGAAAAGCTTTATTCTTCAACAGCCAGTTCAGGAGAACAACAAGTCAACCATCGAACTTGAAGTAAATGAGCCCAACTGACCAGAGACAACAAGCAATGGACGGCTCAGTCCCTAGTGAATCACTACTACGACATTTTAGTCAGCCATGATACAATTATGAGGGTAATACGGTTTTTATTTTCGGAGTTCAAAATAGATTCAAGCATTACTGTAACAACCTATATGTATGATTGTTACCATTTCCTTTACATGTCACCGATACGATTCTTTTCATACTTGCTTTGTCACATGGTAGTTAAAACTGCTCTACCTATCTCATATATAGCAGGCAACTTCTATATTTCACGTTTTAAATAACTTCGTTTTCCTCTTCATTTACTAATATCATATTTATTTTCGTTCTCTAGGTAATTCATGCCTCCATAACTCATTAGTAGCCCGTGAAAGTTGGTGTGGCAAAGTAAAAGTCGCACTCATACGAGTGAAAAGATTGTGAAGCTCGAAACAAGTATCAACCAATATCGAAGTCAGAATCCTCAATACGAGCACCAAGACAATTCTACTACACAGAGCTGAAAATTGGGGTACTACCACAACCATTATCAGAAAAGTACAAGTATTTATAAATAGTTGTCTACGCAAGATACTCAACATCCATTGGCCATATGCCATCAGTAACAGCCTTCTGTGGGAGAGGACAAACAATCTGCCGGCTGAAGAGGAAAATAGGAAAAGACGTTGGAAGTGGATAGGACATGAATTGAGGGAGTCATCAGACTGAATCACCAGGCGAGCCGTAACTTGAAATCCTGATGGGAAGCGGAAAAGAGGAAGTTAAAAAAACACGCTGCTCCGAGAATCGAAAGCAACTATGAAAAGGATGAATAACAACTGGAAAGAACTGGGAAGGATTGTCCAGGTCAAAGTTGAATGGAGGGTGCTAGTGGGTAATCTATGCTCCTCCCCGAGGGGTAACAGGCGTAATGAAGTAAATAAATAAGAAAAGTTGGTATGTTCTAAAGCATCAAAATTTACCTATAGATATATCCTACGCTCACTTCAGCAAATTTTTGACAAAGTTACTCACAAGCGTTTGCTAAACGAGTTGAGTAATGTCGGGATTGGAGGCAATAAGGGACTTTCGAGTTGGGCGTTGGCTTATAGTAGGGGTGAACTCAAAGTCGTCTAACTGAGGAACTGTGCCTAGCGTGGTGCCTCTGTGTACACTGTTTGGGTCTAGTTGTATTATCCATATTACAGGTTTTGTGTGTGAAAATTCCTTCATGCATACATTTGCGACTTGTTCTTATTGGTTTCTTCAGTTGCACACTTTGTTAGTCCTTTGGTGCCATTTCAGATGGTAATATTTTATTTTACTATACTTTTCTCCTTTTTCTTCGCCTTCATTGAGTTTCTATGCTTTTTCCTGGACTGCATTTATATTGTTTTAGTTGATACTTAGTCTTGACGGTAGTTAAATTGATTTGCCCCCACCCTTTGATTGTGTTGCGCGAGTTGGCTGAGATTGTGTATTTTGGTTGTGAATTGAAGCACTTTTCCAGAATTGCAAACACTTAGTGTTATAAAGCAGCAAACTATTATCTTTTGAACGGAATTTTACTTCATCTATCCGGGAAGGATAGAATAACATTTATTTTGGTTGAATAACTGAGTGGCATTATTTGTTTAGGTAATAATGTACCTTTGTATTTATAATGAAGTTCGGGGCCGTTATTTACACAATCACCTTGTGTTGATTTCAACTGGGCAATAGAACGTAAGTAGACTACCTAAACAGTTATTCTTCAGTCCAAACCTAAGTTTGGATCTTACACTGTTATTCCTCGTGTATGTAAATGACATTCCTCGTCTATCAACATCATCGGTCTTTCTATATGCTGACGATGTCAAGACATGGGAAACGACAAAGTGCAAAGGTGATAGTTAAGAGCTTCAAAACGACATGTGGAAATTATCTGGCTGGTCTAAAAGTCAGACGAGAAGAGGGAGGAAAGATATATTTGATACGTTATCAATATATTGAGAAGCGTTTGATCTAATCTGGCTAGTGAACATAGGAGCAGTGTCCCACGCTGGGTCGAAACGTGATCTGGTACGGATGCACGACCGATAGCCTTCAGCTAAACAAGTCCGCTTAAACAAATGTGGTCAGCATCCAATGTCGAGCACTTAAAGAGCCATTGATTTTGTGGAATTACTTACAGCTACAGTACCGAGACCGATCTGATGGCCAATATAGCAAAACCTCGGTATGTTGTTCGACTGACTAAACTATACCTATTTCCATTGTCATATAGAAGAAACAGAGCCGACTTAATCACAGTTTGTTTACCCTTCGGTGATAAATTTGTTTTTCACATGTCTTGACTTTTCTTACCTTCCCAGACAGTAAACTTATGAAGCCATTCTAAAAAAGTTCACAAGCTCAGACCAAATTACTTGTCAGTTAATCACTTTTTCACTGAATCATAGGCTCATAGGATTCATTCGTTGAAGCATATCTGTCGACGCATTCAAAAGAACGTTGGGTCAACTGAAAGATCACGACTACCAGGACTAACATAGACCTCCTAGCCTCCTATTCTTTGCAAAGTGAAAATGAGACCAATTGTAACTATTCGTTTCGTCTTAAAGAACATAAATATTCAATGATTTTTGTGAAGACAAAATAAAACCATATTGTTTTCTTTATTTGTGACACTTTATATGCACCCACATTTGTATTAAATATCTTTTGTTTCTCTGAACCATTTTCTTAAACGAACATAACTTTTTGGCAGTTTTAAGACTCAAGCTACCGTTGTTATTCAGATAAGCGCTATCTCCATCGTTCTTCTAGTCTCAGAGTAAACATGAACTCTGAGATGCAGACACACCCAGCTGACGAGTCCCAAATGGGACGAAAGGCGCGTCCTGGATTCTACTGCTTGTCACCATCCATTTTTGCTTATACTGCTTATGAATTAAAGCTGCATCAAGGCAATACACTGAATATGCACATGTGCCAACAAGAGGCTGATCAATTGCAGTCCTAAATGTCAAGGGGAAGATTCAAGCAAACAAGAGCAAGTGAATTTTAACTATTTGTTTAAAAATTGTGCTTTGTTTTCTTTTTAAAAATACTAATTATGATAATTTTCCATTGTTCATATAGTTGTTTTGTATTTGACCTTCCATGGATCCAAAATGGATTTATTAATAATAAACGACTCTCAGTGGATTTACACATACCTACAACTAGACCTACTTCTCTTTCTTTCTCTCTCCCTCTCTCTTTATTGATTAATTTGATCACTTCTTCGCTTCTGACTTTTAATTTCGCTGGGTGGGCACGTTGGAATTGTAGAAGGTGTTACTGATTAAGGTGTTATCAAACTCCAAATACTTGTGATATATTTAATACGGAAATTTATATACATATCCGTTTGTTTAATTAACATCGCTTGTTGATCTGTTCTATTGTAATAGAAATTTTGAGGATGATTAGAAGGTTTTGAATCTTTCTTTAAATAACCTTGAGATAAATTAGCATTGTATTATTCATTAAAAAAATGTATGTATTAGATTAGCCTTCAATGGATATTTCAACACTACTTATAAAACCGAAACACCAATGCAAACTGGGTATTACTAGTCAGATCTTTCATTCTAGTTTGGAATTTTCAGATAATAAGCATTCACGACTACTGTTAAGAATTAACCCACTGATCATTATGCTTTATATCGAACTTAATACCGTTTAGTCAATTAGCAACAACTCAGTAGTCAATATTGATCAATTATACTAAATTTCTGATAGGACTTGACCATCACTTACTGACATTGGTAAGCAATCAACTGACTTATTATGTAGTGATTTCCAAACACAGTATTTATGTGTTATTTCATCCTGATATAGAACTCCTCCACAATGAGCAGCACAAAATTTACCAATGATCAGACACATGACCTTTTGGTCTCATAGTAATAGTTTCAACATGGAAACTGTCAAGATGACAAATAAAAATCGTTTCCAATTCCAACTTAAATCAAATAATTATATTAGGCAAGTCACGTGAAGGAAATGAAATCTCCCGAAAAGAACCAACATCAAACTGTAAAATATATTTTGGTCCCATAATGTCACCTCAATTTAACATAACGTTTACAATGGATAATAAAAATATTTTTTAAAAAGTGAAACACACGAAAATCTGTTCATGGTGATTTATACCATTTACCAATATTACTTTTAAAATAGTAACGCACTGATTACTTTAAAATAAGCATCTCAATGCACATAATAATCCGATAGCGGACCTATATAACCCAAACGTATCATGTGACATCTGGAATAATAGCAAAAGATGATATTCAGTTATATAAATAAAGTCAGAATCACTCATTATGATTTTATGGATGCATTTAAATATGAATTCCATTTTGAACTGCTATCATCAATAGAGTCAATGGAGGGGGCTATTAGACGGTTGTATCGTTTTTGTATGGAAGTCCTTTAGATTTCACATGCATGACTGAACATAGTATGAAACTCAAGACATTCAAGTCTTTTTAAAGGCACTAAACGTTTCAGCCATTGAATTCAATGATAAATATTTCTAAATCAGGCCAATAATTACTGAAACACGACAATTATCCAATACTATGAATGATAAGTGTATCATCTCTGGCGTCGCTGAATATCCTCAAGTGTAGTTTCTTAAAAAATCTTATGAGACCCTTGTGAAATTTCACCACCAGTGACCAAACAGCTGTTAATTAATTAAATGGCTTAAAAATATTTGTTAAATTTGAGAATATATATGTGTAAACAATAGTATCCAACCTATTTAACTGATTTTATTAATCAATCATATGTTTTTATTTCGTCTGTTTGGAATTATTGATAAAGAACTTCAAAACGGTGTGTACTCATGGTCACACACATGGCACTCGAACCCAGAACCTTCGATTTCGCGCGTGAACGCCTAACTTCTAGACCACTGATCCGGCATCCAACGGTGTTGATATGTAATCTCAATCAATCCATCATCTTACTCAACTCTTCATCGATTATCTGGATAATGATATATAGAGCCATTCAGAAGTAGTGAAAGGTAAGGTGACAGCATTCAGAACTCAGCCAAAGGTCAAGTGTTCTTCATTGGAGTCAATGGATCAATTTCATTAAGATAAAGTGATATAAATATGAATTAGTATGTGTGCATTTCATCCGGTAGCCCAATATACTTTCTCGTTCACTCTTGTGTTCTCGCTCAAGTAGTCAATTGGGGTATTGTGAGTAGCGAACCGTGTATCATTATCAAACTTTAGGCACAGAACGTCACAACAGATAAATGTCTCACTAGTGACTACTCACTGGTGACTAGCTTCAAGATGGATTTCCTGGAGTTCGAATGAGAAGCGGTAACCAGTGGAGTTCAATCGGTGTCAAGTGTGAGACAGTTATCCATCCCAGACAATCGATGAAGAGTTGAACAAGATGATGGATTGATTGAGATTACATATCAACACCGTTGGATGCCGAATCAGTGGTCTAGAGGTTAAGCGTTCACACACGAGGACTTTCTAGAATAATAATTATCAACCGATAGTAATAAAGCTTTGGTTATCATGACTTTAACATCAAAAGAGTTCTATATATTCCACATAAAAAAACAGGATTTGTATGAGGGCAAGTGATGTGACTCTGATGACTATAACAAAAGTATCTGGAGCTGATTTCAGTCGCCAAACGCAAAACGTGACAGCTACAAGCTTTACCTATTAAAATGGCGTTTTAAGTCCTCTAGACTCATTCATATCATTCACAAAGCTCGCGGTAAGATGGTTAACTGTGGCTATCAAGGTTTACGTATTCAAGAATCATTTGAAATGAAGCCAAATGAATTTTCAAATGGTTTTTAACTTACAAGACCTTCACAAGGCATCTAAAACAAAAATGACAATTACCATTTTATGCTTTTATTAAGTAAATATCAAAATAAAATGTGATGATTTATTTTATGACTGATTATGTGAGTTTGGGTTGGAGAACGCTGGTCGGCGGTGGCCTATTATTCATTGGGGTAACAGTTATATGAGTTTTCAACTAACGTGATATTATGGTCATTTGATATAATTCACATGTAATAATTACTCATTTTATAGGAGAATTGGTATCCTCTAACACTTGTTGAGTGTCTTCATTCTCAATCTCTCGAATATGAACGCTTCGCCATAATTTTTATTGAATGGTCATTTGGATTTTGAGCTATGATTATAAATTACGTGAATCTCTCGAGAAAATCGATCATTTATTTAGAGAAACATAAGTAGTCTCAGTTATATTCATAGGTACATATAATGTAAAATCCATAACATGTTCTCTCTCAAATAGTTTGCATTCATTCCTAAAACATCTCATCTAAATGTTCAATTTGAAGTATTGTATCCCTTGTTGAAAACGTTAAAGATATTATCTTATGAATGGATTCCAGCTAATATCTCAACAAAGTGCAACAATGTTAGATCATTTAGACTAGTGGTCCAATTACAACCTATTGGGCAAACGTCAATCTGCACTTAAAGGACTGAACGTATGTGACACTAGTCTTTACACAACGACCAATCAATTATAAATGTCTCATTCCTAAAGAAGGTCAGACCCTATCACAATAACTTGATCGTAACATCTCATGTGGGTAATACGAGTTAGAATCGTACACAGAGTCAATTTCTTACAGTTAAGAGGTACGTCTTGTTTATGAATATTAATTAATATGAAGCTTAAGTTCATCGTTCCATGACTTCTAATTCCAACCACTAAACACGATATGAAGTATTTTGATTTTCTATAAACTTCTAATCAGTGTATGCTTGAAATTTCCACTGACATTTGATATGCATGCCAATATACTTTTTAATATGTATACGTCCAGCACTACTTTTGTTGATTTACCTTATATTAGAGCTTTATGGACTCAACTATATTAAAACACAGAAGAGAATGACAAACTTTTATATCCTTATTATAATTTAGCTTGTTACCGATCATCCCCATTTCCCCAATAGTTAAAATATTTAAGTGGTATACTGTATACCAACTACACTCTCATTTTAAACTCTCAGTAAGTTAGTAAATAAATTATTATATAAACGTACCTGAAGTAAAATCGTAACTTCCTAACCATAAAAGTTATGAATGAATGATTTTAATATTATGCACTTCAGGTAACAAACTGAAAAGTCTGTTACTAAATTTGTAGGAAACCAATGATAAATTCTAATACTCTAAAGCTTCTAATATGTGGTAAATAAATCATCAGAAATAAATGAACGTCAAATATCATACTACTCAATTATTGTAGTAATATAACACAAAAAAGGAGCAAATTCATTATTATCAGAAGGGGTTTTGTGGAGATTTCAGTATTTTCATAGTTGAAATCATGAGTCAATTGAAACTAGACAACTATGGAAAACTTGGAAGCACTGGACGGCCTTTTCGCATTATTGTGGGGCTCCTTAGAAGTGTGCATATACGATCCCGCCTTGCGACATTCCAACCCAAGATCTACCAGTCTTACGCCAGAACACTTAACCTCTAGACCACGGAGCCGGTATCCAACGGTGTTAATGTCTAACTTTCATCAATCCACGAAGTTTGAGCAACTGTTCACCAATTGTCTTCAGTGAGTTGTTACCTCACAATAGACGTGGCGCGAGCCTGGTAGGTCCTGGATTCGAATCTCGAGAGGTGAGATCGTGGATGAGCACTTTTGAGGAGTCCCACAATAATACGAAACGGCCGACCAGTGCTTCCAAGTTTTCCATGGTTGTCCAGCTTCAGTTGACTCATGATTTCAACTAAGAAAATTCACCATTCTTTATTGATGGTACTGTGTCTAGTTAAGTCTATCGATGAGTCGACTAAAAATGTACTGACGTTTTAACATTGAAGAAAAATTAAGTTTTCCGTGATTACAGTAATAAATGAATGAGTTCTTTTTTAGAAAAGTTATTTGGGTTTTTAAGGAATGAATTTCTCACAAGTTTTTCAATTCCTACTAAAGTAGGAAAAGTAGTGTTTTAAAGTGTTCTCTATGGGTATTGATTGTTATAGTGCCGACGTTGAATTCTAACTGAATATAACCTATCTTAAACCAATAATCAGTTGACTATTCGCAAACAATATTTCCAAGTATTCAGTTCAAGTATTGTTAGTTTGGAAACAGTTAATTTGTACTTGACCACCAGCTTACTGTAAAGGTTAGCTGATAAACACTGCAAATTAAAACGATATTGTCACTTACTCAGTTAATGTCCTGTAATGCAAAGTGTTAAACAAATCAGGAAAATACTGATGAATATCATAAATTCTAATCATTTATTTAATCAGACATATGAACCGGTCATCAAATAACATTGTAATGCCTCAGTATTTGCTTATGGAGATTGTTGAATTTCATTGAAATAAAGAACCGATCCAAGTTAAATCATCATCGAATGGAGATTGTTGAAAATCGATATTTATTGATTTAAGTGAACTAGTAAATTGGAAGAAAATCAATTACTAATCGATCGATAAAGTTAGTATTCCGTAAGTCCTAAAATGTTCAATATATTTTCCTCAAGATAAGATCTCATACTTGATACAGACATATATCCTACTTACTTTTGATATGGTTTATACATACTTATGATTACTGGTAACGGATATTCAGTAGTGCAATTATCAATAACGAAGAAACAAAACATTTTACAAATATTAAAAACAATATTTAAAACTATTGAAATGATTGGTACTAGGTTCTGGTTTCAATGTGGTTATTCTGTTGATGAATTCTTAATTAAGAAAAGTAGGCATCGTGGATTCTAACCAAAAATATAGTAACTCACATTTCATGCTCTAATGAAAATCATTTATGCGCTATATGTTAACAAAATGTTTAGATGACTAGACATTTATGAGCAATGGTCATCATATTGTCACATATAATCCCAACGTAAGGCTTCAATCAATAATAGAAAGAAAACCTCTGAATTTATATTTCGCGCAAGTTGCCACTCGTCATCAAAACTTACCTACAGTTTAGAAGGAACTGGCTCTTCTCAAAGGATATGAATTCACATCATTCATTGTTACAGTAAGAAAAGTTTTCTGTGTATGACATGGGTCTCTACTCTATAAGAAGCATTTATAACTTCAAATTTGCAGGAACACCTTGCTAACGAGTATCGATTAACACGAAACGTTTACTCATTGTTTCATGTTGACTATTTCCAGTCAACATATTGCAAAACGATACAGATTCACTTGAAATAATGATCATATTGTTACTTGGTTCATGGAGTTCTATCACCAATAAACGACTAGACAAATATAAAGTAGGTTTCTACTCAGTGATTAATCAATTACGATCAGGTGTTTTTATAACTTTTTAAAACAATGACACATGAAACTCAATTTATAGATGAGAAGAAATTGGGAAAAATTTACAACTTGAAGTTTATTACCTTTCACACGTGGTCATTTCGTTAATATGTTAGATTATTTTAACAAATTTTGATTGAAACATCCAAACTAATCTTTATTTAGATCTGACACTGAGTAGTATACACATCACTCCAAGGACCTATTTGGTTCAATGTAGGAGATGTCTATTAACATGAACACATTCCCATCCATTATATCAAATGGTAGAATAGATTAAAAAAATATAATATTCAGTTATTTACTGGACAAAATGACATACTTGGATGCAGTACTTCCAAGGAAATAACATTTAACAAATAATAATAAAATCAGAAGGCGTGTTTGTGCATATTATAGTAATTTTAATAGTTTGGATCATGAATCCCTCAAAGCTAGACCACCATGGAAAACCTGGAAGCACTGGAAGGCCGTTTCGTCCCATTGTAGGCTTCAAGAGGTAGTTCTTGGAGTTCTGGTGATAAGCAATCACCAGTGGAGTTCAACTAGGTCTGTTGTGAGATAGTGACTCACTGAAGACAATTAGTGAACGGTTCCTCAAACTTCGTGGATTGGTTGAAGTTAGACATTAACACCATTGGATGCCGGCCGGCTCAGTGGTCTAGTGGTTAAGTGCTGAAGTGCGAGATTGATAGATCCTGGGTTCGGATCTCGCGAGCCGGGGTCGTGGATATGCACTGCTGAAGAGTCGCGAAATGGGACGAAACGGCCGTCCAGTACTTTTAGGTTTTCCATAGTGGTCTAGCTTCAATTGACTCATGTTTTCAACCATATAAAAGTCAGTTTGTCATCAAATAAACATGATAATACTTTCCTAATCCTGTTAGAATCTAGAGTGTTTAGATTTGTTTCTTGTAATAATCTAATAAACGCCTAATATAAAACAACCTACCACTAGGTAAAAGAAACAATACCATGCATAACTGATGATTATCTTCATGTGAACATAGACTTAAAACAACATCGACTTTTAAGTAATATAATGTTAGATATCTTTACTTCTTCAGTTAATGTATCATTCATGTAATATTGAAACAATGAGGTGTCAAACGATTGTCAAAATAACAAAAAAATGTAATTGACAATTACAACATATAAAATGGGCGTTTCTGTTATACAGATTATTGTCTGTTTTTTTTCTAAACACATCAAAGATGTAGCGGTAGTATTATGGTGTGGTATACTTATATCCACATAAGTAGTATATGATGATGGTCGGACATAGGATGTATTTTGACAGAAGATCGATAAGGAACAAACAAGAATGAAGCTCAATCGGTATGAAAATGCATCACCAATGAAATCAGAGAATACGGACTAATATTTACAGAAGGAACAGTTAAGATTGAGACAATTGATTTTTATTTTGCAAATTAACTGTTCACTATATGGTTATCCGAATTTAGTGAGATAGTCGGTAATTTGTTCTTAGATACATTCGATTGTCCAAACTCATGTTCTTGTTCACTACAGTATTACTGTGAATTTTACTTGAAAGGAAAATAAAAACACTCGTTGTTCATGAAACAACAGATATTCATAGAAGAAGGATCTGTGAAGATCTACATTGTATATCAGTTGTGAAGCAGTAACTCAGCAATGATATTGGAAAATGGTTGTGCATTTTTATCGAATAATTGAATTTAGAAATGTTAACCCCTGGATGTTGACATAATGGTCTAAATGTTAAAAGTACCTGGAGTAAGATATAAGAACCCTGAGTAAAAACTCTAGTCTACTTCCTTAATTACTCTTGATATCTACGTAGAGGGGCATAGACCACCCACCAGAATTCCTCATGGAACTCTACTCTATTTATAGGTAAAACACCAATCTAAGATGAAATAACCTTTCAATGCTTATTGACTTTTAATTGTTATCTAACTAAGGTTGATTCATGATGTAAACTATTAGATTCAACAATGATCACTGCAAATATCTATACTAATAGCTATTTTTATAAGTTTGTTTTATTAAAACCAATTGTAAATAATTTAAAAGATTTCAGTAATGAAAAGTGTACAATCTTTACAAATGTTTAGTGCTCACTGACTGCTGCAGCTAAAACAAAAATTTAAATGATCTTTTTCGACTAATTCACATCCAACACTAAGAAGGAAGAATGTATTTGTAAAATCTCAGCGACTGAACTTGAAGTTAATCCAACGTTTTGTACTCAACAGTCTGATCCAAGCTTTTTCAAGGAAATATAATCGACCATCACGATTATTGAATATAAAGAGATACATGTTTCTTCGGTTAACTGTATACTAAATAAAGTCACTTAGTATTGTTTGTTTGAATCTTCCCACTGATGTTTTGGACTGCAACTGGTCAGTCTCTAATTGACATATGTGCATACTGTGCATATCGCTTCGATATAGCAATGATTAGCAAGCATTGTAAGCAAAGTGGCTATCCAGCTATAGTCACTATTCATCTTTGTATACTAAATAGATCATTTGATGGTATTAACAATGTTTAAGATAGGTATGTTCTTCTCCATGTATGAGACATATGGTATGTAACGAAAAGTGTGTTAAGATAACAGATTGTATGTATTCGGTAGTGGGTCTAAGGTATGAGAAGTTTCATTCACTATTTATCGCTTCTGATTTTTGTCAAGCAACTTATACAAATTATGAGATGAATGGAATTTTTGAAAAGAATGAATTTTGTTTGACTTCATAATGCTAATTTAAGTAGTACATTATATTGGATGATCCATAACTGTACTGTACCATGAAAACTATCAGTCTATTCAGATTCAACATAAAATCAAAGTTTCAGCAAACACCAACGTTCAAGAACTATGATATGGTAATTCACTGCAAATGAACAAAACTACATAAACATCTGTCTAAAATCAAATAGTTATAGGGCCAAAAACGTTCTCGTATCAATAAAGTGTGTTAAGCTTATCATGAAAGTTTTACAGTAACGGAGTTTCATATCAGCTTATGAGCATCACTGCTAAGCAATTGAATTTGGAAGCCTAAACCATCAAACACTAACTCAGTGATCTAAAGGTTACATACTTAACACAAGACCTGAAGGTAATTGGTTCGATTTTCAATAGGGCTTTACATGAGCATTACATAGGAGTCTCATACTAGGATGAAACAGAAATACATTGTTTCTTGATTTTCAAAATTCAGCAAACTAAGATCAGTTCTTAGTATGGACTATCAAGTTTTCTTTGAATAATAAAGTAGCTGTTCATCTTTTCAAATACTATACCGAAAACGTATAAAGCATGCTTCTCAAATATATGTTTTATTCCAATTCAAAATAAAACAACATTTCAATACCAAGAATTCTATCAAAAAAGCATAAAGATGATAATATTTTAGACAGTAGTTATTCTCCAGATGTATTTCCATGACTGCTACATTATAAATTGAATTCCAATTCTTCGGTTTACTATGTACTATCTGAGATATTGTCATCTGTACAGTTATTAATCACAAGAGGCCCAGTCAAAATAGTCTTGTCATTTCATGCAGGTAATTTTTAAAAAAATATTTCTCGGTACTTTTGTTATAGTGAGTTATCCCCCATGATAGAAACAATTCAGAATGTATTTAACATTCAATCATGACCTAGTTAGTTTTAATGAATTTTACCAACTTAAGGCTGTTCACTAAGCAACTATTTGACTTTCTTTTTTGTCTAATCAATACCCAGTCCACCAGTCTCACTCTTATCCATATCTTAATGAGATAAAATATACTAAACTAATTTGACCAAGTAAATTCCTTTTTTTACAATGATGTGTTCTGTTTGTACATAATACATGAGAACAGCTTTTAAGGGAGCATGTTACCAATAACCTGAAAGTCTGTTATATTAAATAGGATGAGTTTACCCATCACATTTTCAATGTTCAAGTAATATGCCATATACAGAAATCCAAAAAGTTTCATTTTATTTATTTGATGTGTGCTACATATTTAAGTGTAGTTTTCATCAAAAACTTCACTTTAGAATCTAACATTCAATGTATGACGGAGCTGGAGTAAGTTGAATAAAAATCTATAATCACTGTTGCTATATTCAATGTATTCGTAGTTACTATTCAGCATATTGATCTGGGTAACATTGATATGACCATAGCAACTAATCGTTGATAACTCATAGCACTTGAAATGAAATCTCGACATCTTCCATAAAATTAATATTACATTGTATTAACGTTGAGAATGTGACGGATAACCCCAAGATGTTGGTAAAATAACAAAATACCATAGTAATTACATATAGTTACTTACCGTCAATCGAAATGATTACTGTGAAAATGAAAGTGATACAGCATAATATGCGAACACGTTGATACATCTCTGTTACAAGTGAAACATATATGATAATGGCTATCACATAAATTTATAATACTCCACACCCTAAACAAAAGTGTGTGTTTTTCCAGGCTACAGAAAACACCAATAATGACAGATTATACAATAGTTTCTAGGTAAGAAATAAAAAAATAATGTTATTTATGATTGACCGACATGTTAAATTCCGTATTCATGAAGTAACTGTTGATATTTTCATTGTTTACATAACTCACTTTACCTTGACTTAACCGACATTTAAAATCACAACGTACTAGATAATTCTTTTGTTTTATCATAAGGCTCCTCAACAAGGTGGAGGATGTGAAAACCTTTACATATCAGGGCAGCATAATTGATAAACACAGTGGATCTGATGCAGACGTGAGAGCGAGGATGGGCAAAGCAAGAACAGCATATATATACAACTGAAGAACATCTGGAACTCAAAACAATTGTCAATCAACACCAAAATCAGAATTTTCAATACAAATGTCAAGACAGTTCTACTTTATGGGGCGGGGACGTGGAGAACTGCGAAAGCCATTATCCAGAAGATACAGGTGTTTATTAACAGTTATCTATGCAGGATACTTCAGATCCGTTGGCCAGACACTATCAGCAACTAGTTATTGCAGGAGACAACAAACCAGATTCCAGCGGAGGAAGAAATCAGGAAGAAGCGCTGGAAGTGGATAGGACACACTTTGAGGAAATCACGCAACTGCGTCATAAGACAAGCCCTCACATGGAATCCTGAAGGTCAAAGGAGAAGAGGAAGACCAAATGACACATTACATCGAGAAGCGGAGACAGACATGAGAAGAATGAACAAATGTTGGATAGAATTAGAAAGGAAGGCCCAGGATAGAGTGGGTTGGAGAAAGCTGGTCGGCAGCCTATGCTCCACTGGGAGTAACAGGCGTAAGTAAGTAGGTCCTCAATAGGGTACATTCATGAAACCAACAGGAGTCGAACCCAGGGTCTGTGAGTTTTTTGACCTTTAGAATACTGAGCAGGAATCCATTAATTTACATATGATAATCTGCTCAAACCTTCTATACTAAGGATACGCTTTACACAATAGCCATAAGAGATTCACTGAAACAATAAAAACTCAGTTAGTAGATGTACCTGATAGTTATCTTCAGATTTTATATTCTCTTCGTGATAGTACTTAGATGACAGTATATACCTAAAAAGATAATCCCTATGCTAAGTATTGTTCAGTCCTTTTTTGTTTCATTCATTTTTCATTAAATTATTTGTATGTTTCCCTCAAACATTTCTGATCAGACAAACGTTTGTTTCTTTCTGGTCGTGGTTTCACATGAAAGAAATATTAGTTTTATTTATATCTGAATGAGAAACGTAATTTCTTTGACGGGACTACAGTGACTAGATAAAGATCTATAGTAACTGTTGCTTATTTTCTGGAGATCTTAATACAATTTCGCCTTCGTGAGAAATTTGTCTAGTTACATCTGTGAGAAAAACTGCAAGTCATTAAATCCTTTACTACTATTTATGTGACTACATAAAAAATTGGTGAAAGACGTTCACAGTAATTCTATGTTCATTCTCAACTGAATCTAGATGTATTCGTCTTATAAACAATTGATGTTTACATACTCGCATATTTCAGTAACGGGTTATAGTTTCAATGCAAAGTATCTTCGTCCCAAAATCTGTAATTAGTGTGATTCAAAGTAATATTATACAAAAGATTAGATTTGTGTGTTTACAATCAGTAATGGAATGAATGAGGATCATTTAGGTACTGTGATAGTATAACTGCTGGAAATGGTATTGCAGAAATTTCTACAATAAAGCATATACGCTGGCAATTTCTAAATTATTTGATAATCATTTTACAATTATGGTAGTGTGTTATGTCTACAGAATGCTTGATGGGCTTGATACATGGTATTAGGAAGCTGTGAGTTGGAGGACATAAGTAGAAATGAAAAGATGATTGGTGAGGAATTATTTAACCTGTGAAATAAAACAAGGATACGTGAGTCCACTCATTTTTATATGATTTACTGACAGTCATATTTGTATCAATTAAAATGAGTGATAGTTAACATAAATTATTCAATAACTTACTATGTGAACACATTCAAAATTTCATGCGATTAATTATTTATTTACTCAAGATGCGATCAAATGTTACGGACGATTGGATGAGATCAATTCCATGTGTCGCTCAAGCACCAATCCTTTAAGTCATTCCTCATCATGTCGAAAAATAAACTAATTTCATCTATTGGCAAATAGTCGATGATTCAAGGTAGCTTCTGCAATTAAATTTTTCTAATTAAATGATCGGATTAAAACTGATTTCTTCAGTACACAGCGGGAGTTCTGGCATATGTCATAATTTTTAATATCAAACTACGTGAAACAATTCACTGGTATACTAAGCAAAGCTGGATAGTGGCTGGCAGTAGACTCCTCAGCTAGATATACCTACACTTCAAAGTTGATGTTCACTCAACAACTCGAACCCCAGTATCGTTTAAGTCAAACGACATCGCGTAATCCACTTAGCTACTGAATCTTGATAGCCACCTGCTTGTGCAACGGTGTGAAGTTTAAATTCACTTGTGAATTAACGCAATATCACGGCAATACTCACAGTATGCACATATGCCAGTAAGAGACTGATCAATTGCAGTCCTGAACATCAATGAGAAGATTCAAACAAACAATACCAAGTGACTTTGATTCATTGGTATATTTTCTACTTTACATCCCCAGCTGCCTCAATTTGGAGGATCAGTGAAAACTAAAAAGAACGTTACAAGCGTACATACTTTATATCGGAAACATTTAAAATAAGTTAACATGTGGAGATAGAATAATATTTAAATGCGATACTATGATTAGATTGTTAGCTCCTGAGAAGAATCCACGAAATAAATGAATTCATATTATTCTGGCACAATATTTATAAATAGGAGAAATTGTTTAAAAACTAGAAAAGACTGAACAGCTGTTACATCCTATTATGGAACTTCGTAACAGTAAACATCTATGACCTCACCAGCTGATATCACAATGTTGTTGTCTGACTTTTAATACGCATAAAATGATTTGGAATTTCTCCAATTCGATAAAGTTAGTGTAAAGTTATTATAATAATCTCCAGAGTATTCCTCGAAGAATATCTTTAAAAATCAACTGAGCACAACAACGCATAATATAACATCCAAATATAATCTATTAATAACGACAACAACAACAAAATTTCAAGTTATAGTTTATATCGGGAATACTGATAAAATCATTAAGAGGTGAGTTTTCGTATTTTGGAAACTTTTATGTTCATGTTCCAAGTAATTAGGAGTTTCACTTACATATTAATTGTTCTAACTATTATTTCTGGAGACTTTGCTGAGTATGTATTCCTATCAAAAAGATTTCATGACATCAGTAATTGTAGGAGTAAGGCCATAATTTTTGGACGACATTTGAGCGACGCTAAAGTAATTTTGAGAGTGTTCACCTACTTACTATCGCTAAATGAGGGTTACAAAGCAGTATGAGGAATAAGGATTATGATTTACACTTGATGATTAAAATTGGGATTTTCATCATGAACTGATATCAGTTAAAATGCCGAAAAGTTATTTAGCCAGTTGGATGAATGAATCTCCCGCCAAAATTAATGACCTTTTATTCTAAATCTGATTGGTCATTCCATAACTAGTAGTGTCGCGATTATGAGTTCCACGTTCCGAAATCTTTCCGTTGGCGGAACCTGGCAAACTTTACTGCTGAAATAATGGATTCACCTTGAGTCAACTTTTTATCTTCTATAAAATTATACGGCAAAATAAATAGAAATAGATTTGTTTCCTTCAATGGAGAAAATAAGACACGAAATCTGATCACGAATCGTGATTGTGAATCACATAAATATGGTGTTTTTAGATATCGTATTAATATGTTCTCGGATCGTGTTGTGTGGTGTTCAATTTAGATATTGGTACACAAGCTTCATGTTGACTAATCTAATTGGCTACTTGAATGAGAAGATAAATTGTAAGAAGAAAGCTTCATTGACTTAACTGAGATTGAAGGTTGTTTACTACGTTAAGATTACAAACTAATTGGTAGGCTGTGAATATTAATTGACCAAGGTGATTGCAACATTGTTATATGCCGAAGAGAATTATGAATGGTAACTTTTGGGAACTATTTATGAACCAATATAATCCGTGTATTTCCTATTGTATGATTGTTAATTAAGTTAAATATTCATATTCATGTTCCTTTTATTATAAGCTTTGTTTTGACCTATGAACTATTACTATACTATTTACTGTTCATGAGTTATGCTCAGTCTAATAATTACTGTCCTCCCTATTTGCAGTCACATTTGGTTGAATCTTGTACAAATGTTGTTTCTAATTTTATGGTATGATGTGGTCAGTTTGATTGGTATATAAACCCAGTATATTTGATAATGATGATTCATTTTGCAGAGGCTGTTATTCGTGTTCCGAACTAAACTCACTGGGCTAGCAAGAAAGCAGGACCGGTAAGTACTCTAGACTGCTCGTACCGGTTTCGTCATTGGTCCGAACGATAAATCGCTGCTCTTCAATTGGCAGGAATCATCACGTCATATATTAACTGAGCACTCTGGCCACAGGAAATAACAAACATGCGTTTAATTCTCAACGTCATAACAAGAAACGTTTTTATTTAGGCTACGTTTATTCCAAAAAATATTTTAGAGTTACTGAATTAAATAAAAAATAATCCAAACTTGAAATTTTCTAATTCAGTTGCAAACGTTAGAAACTTTCCGTTTTTGGAATTAGTCTCATTTGGTAGATATGTACCTTGAACGAACTGCATCGGCATTCTCATCAGCAACAAGAATTTGAGATCAGAATTATATCGTCACTAGCAGTGAAATTCAGAAGGTGCGTTTTATCTTATTTGTAACTCATCAGCTGGATTCACCTACACGTCAGTGCTGATATGAATACTGACAATCAAGCCTCTTAACGTTTTTGAATTATTGAGCCCAAATAGTCCCTAACTCATGCAAGTATGTCCTGATGAAAAATACCAAATGGAATGAATTCCACAGCTAATCACATCACCCAATATGCCATAACTTTCGACTAAAGGCTATTTTAAGTTGATCCGTAAGGGATGCACTTATGGTAATAGAGACTCATCAATTACATTTTCAAACATAATCAAGAGATAACAACAAACTCTCACTATAAGTGATTGCTTCATTTCAAGATTAAACGTCTGTTAAGAGATGTATATTTTTCAAAACAATCATTTCGTTCATTCCAAAATATGAATCCATGACGCACTATTACTAACCATCACTTTATTTTTGTTCATAAAGCCAAGAAAAATGTTCAAACAACTAACTAATTAACTCCAAAGACTTTCTTTTTACTCAAAAATATAAACAAATCATTAGTTGGATATTAACACCGTTGGATGCCAGCTCAGTGGTTGTAGAGGTTAAGCGCTCGTACGCGAAACTGGATTCAAATTTCACCAGACGATATCGTGAATGCTCACTGCTGAGAAGTCGCACAATAGGATGAAACGGCCGTCCAGTGTTTTCAGGTTTTCCATGGTGATCTAGCTTCAATTGACTCATGATCTCAACTGTTAAAATAATTATAATTAATTAAATGATAAAGAACATGTTAATTGCTTAGACGGTTACGAAATTATCTTACTCATAACGGTAAATGAAATTTTTTTTCTCTAGTTCGCAAGTTATTTGATTTGACCATTTGATCCCCTTATCGCTCATACACTTGATGACCATATCTTCGGTATACTATAATCTAAGTTATACTTAAATATAGAGTTTCTTTCTCTTTACATTTTGCTTTCTTTTTGTTTTAGTGACTAATTATTGAAGTATTATATCAGTTATACAGTCTATTCAAGTTTATTTTCCTTGTTATTTTTATATAACAGATTTCCAGTTATTCATAAATAAACATTACAGATAAATTCACTTAGTATTGTTTGTTTGAATCTTCACATTGATGTTTAGGACTGCCATTGATCAGTCTCTAATTGGAATATGTGTTTACTGTGCATATTGCCTCGATATTGCCTTAATTCACAAGCATTATAAGCAAAGATGGATAGTGGGTAGCAATGGAATCTAGGATGCGCGTTTCGTTCTATTTAGGACTCATCAGCTGGATATACCTGCATCTCAGAGTTGATGTTTACTCTGAGACTCGAACCCAGTACCGTTCGCTTCAAACGAAATCGCGTTATGCACTAAGCCACTGAGTTTTGATCGCGATCGGTACTAGGTTGGAGACATGGAGTGAACATCAACTCTAAGATACAGTACATTGAGCTGACGATTCCCAAATAGGACGAAAAGAGCATCCTAGATTCCACTGCTAGCCACTATACATCTTTGCTTATAAACATTACATTTAGTTCAACCGGAAAAGCTTAATTCATAATTGTACATTTATAAAACAACAGGTTGACTCTTTTAAAAAAAACTTTTTATTTTAATTTAACAAAAGGTTTGACAGTAGTATCACTAAAAAGTTCGATTCACTAGACTTTTCATCAAAGCCATCAACTTCATAATGATGATAATTTAGAATAGGCATTAAATGTTTTTCTTTTCAGTTTATACGGTTGTTACGATATTCAATATCCAACAAACAACATCTAAATAAATAATAAGAAAAACAAATTCGGTCAGTGACAATTGGACAACACAATTATTAAGTGGTAGTTGTATTAATCTATACATACAAACTTAACCGTACCTCATACAATCATCTATTCACTTTCTCATCTGATTCCATTATCTGATTAATATGATTGTAATAAAGTACTTCTATGTGACTACTTATTTCAACTCTTGATGATTTTACACCTTTTACAATCGTCTTAGAATAGTGTTAGAATCGAATAGCCATATTAAGTTACATAAGATAATTACTGATAAGATTTAGATAAGATCTTGTAGCTGTAAATAAATTCCCAAAATCAATAGCTCTGTAAGTGGATGCTGACTATACTATTTTTAGTGGACTAATTTAGTTAAAGGCTCTTGGTCATGCATCTGTACCAGATCACGTTTTAGAACGGCGTGAGCAAAATCTTCTGCAATCATTAGCTAGGTTAGATCAGTCACTTCTCGATATATTGATAACCTGTCAAATATATCTTCCAACCTCCTCACTTCTGACTTTTGATTTAACTGGGTGGGCGCGATTCGATTATAGGTGTTACTGATAAAGTGTTTTTAAACTACAATACTGGTGGTATCTTCAATCTAGTTACAAACTGGTTAAGAGATGAGATAGATTTATGTAAAATAGATTCCACGGGATAATATCTTATGTTATGTTAAAACTAATATTTTACATTTTGGTGTGTGTGTTCAACTCATTTATTTGTTTACAACTGATTGATCACATAATATTCGTCTTTTTCCGTTGTACTATTTAAACTTGGACTAGTTTTGATTCGGTTAGGTATCCTCTGAATAAGTGGCTTACACTGAGTCACGAAACGTCAGAAAATCTCATTTTTCTGCTCATTGGGATATTACAAATATATTATTTATTTATATTTAGACGAAAGTTCTTTTATATAAAGTTTCAAGTTACGTTTAGTAAGTCCTTAAAATCAACATTAACACAGCTTCGGACTTATTGAACATTTATTTTAAATATGAACGTCAAAACAGTTCTACTGTACGGAGCTGAAACGTGGACAACTACTACATCCTTCGTCAAGAACGTACATGTATTTATAAACAGTTGTCTATGCAAAATAATCAACATTCACTGGCCGGATACTATCCACAACAGCGTTCTATGAAAGAAAACGAACCAGCTTCCAGCTGAAGAGGAAATTGGGAAAAGATGTTGGACGTGGATAGGACAAAAATTGAGGAAATCACCAAACTGCATCTCGAGGCATGCCCTAACTTGGAATCCTGAAGGGAATTGGAAAAGAGAAAGGCCAAAGAACACATGAAGCCAGGAAATAGAAGCCGATATGAAAAGGATGGATGTGAACTGGAAAGGATTGCCCAGGACTTGGTTTGATGGAGGGTTCTGGTGTGCGGCTTATGCTTCTCCACGAAGGGTAACAGATGTAAGTAAGTAAGGATGTAATGCAAGTTTTATAAATCTTCCTCATCGTTGGTTATATTGTTTACTGTACTTCCTTGATGGTATCGATGTATTGGTAAATTTTCTGCATTACTCTTGTAAAGTTATATAAACTACGAAATTTTTGAAATAATATTTAACTTACAGAAATTCCAATACGAGTCTAATACAAATGTGACATTTACATCAATAGTGAATAATTCCAGGCAAATAGAAATTCTTATAATATTATTAGGGACATAATATCGTTCGGAATAAGTGGAGTTAATATTATCATTAATTTCCTAACTTAAGAATATAACCATCGGATAATGATGTATCCGCAAATAATTTAACATGAAACAAAACTGAATAATTCGAGCTTTACTAAAAAGTAAACAAGCAAATTTAACTTAGTATCATTGATGAATATAGGTTACATTAGTGGATTACCATATAGTGAGCAATGTCATAATTTTCTATTTTTTAGTACAGTTAAATGAATTCCTTAGATCTAGTTGAGTTAAGTAACTCTGAAATCGCCTGCATTATATTTTAATTTATTATACTTCGATATTGTCGATAGGAAAGTCTAGATATTTCTAGTTGAGATTTATCAAGAAGTTGGGGAATGCGGATTCGAATATCACAGGCAGTATTAGTTCTCGCTAAGTTGTAGGCACATTTTCACTAACAGGAAACCTAAATCAGTGGTTTTCCTTCATTTCTTAACAATGTCATCAGTGCATGAAACGTTTATCAACGCATTTTGTATGTTCACATATCTGGTATTGATCTAATGATATAAATTGAGTTTTTATCGTTTATAGGATTGCAACATTTATTACAAGTGGTTTTCAGCTTTCTATAGATGTTATGTTTCCATAGAGAGAGAAAGAACAACAAAATATTTGGATAACTGATACCACATTAAAACACGACAACAGTCAAGAGGAATATATTTTTATTGCAAAGAGTTGCAAAGTATTTATATTATACATTACACACAGCCTTCAGTCTTCCATTTGCGTCTTTCAGTCTTCTGTCATCTGAACTGTTTTCTCTTCTGGTCTCCAAATGTTCTGCTAACGCCTCGCTTTTGATGAACTGGCACTCTTCACTCCATCTGACAAGTGTCGCAACTTCAAAGTCTTGTCCTGCTACTCACTATGTACAATCTAGTGAGTAACGTCCAATATACTATGTGTGTGCATAAAAATTGATAAGACATTCCGAAACTAACAACAGTTCTAATCCGTTCGTACTATTTTGATCAACATCTCGGTTTAGTACCGTTAATAGAAATATAAATTATAGTCGAAACTCACTGTAACCATATCCGAAATCTTCTACATTCCCAAAATAACACATACACATTTTTCTTAAAAACGTATTCGAATGTATAATGGTAGCTACTCAACAAAATACTTTTTGCATAGTACGCAACAAAAATGGAAACCTTGAAATTTAATCGACATAATGACTTCCTTATTCAAAACATTCAAACAGTTTACTTGAACATTCAGGTTACCAATGTTTATAAAGTGAATCCTTATAAAATCGGAATTTCATTTTAACTGTGCATATATTTTGTTTTGAGAATTCTTCAATGTAATCAAGCATATGATAGTGAGTAAAGCGAGTATTACTACTGTGTACAATGTGCTCTTGTAGTATACAGTGTATTTGTAGATATATTATAAGATGAATGTAGTGTTGACACAATACGAAAGACAGGTTGTGTATTAAGCCTAAATATTAATGCATTAGTATAATCTGTTCATCTGTTAAATGCAAATAAATGATACATTGTTCAAACTCAAGCTATTCTTCGATATAGAAGAATGATAAGTTTAAATGATTATATTTAGAGATGGTTGGGAAGATTTATTGATCAGGTGAATGAGTTAGGTGGAGTATTGTCCTCTGAGCTGGATAGTTTGGTCGTGGAACTTTCATTGATCTTCTGAACAACATTATTAGCACGAAATTCCGTTTAAATGATTATATTTAAGAGGGTTCATTTTATTGTTATTCACAATATTTGACAGATTCGGTGACACATTCAAACCATTCAGTTTTTATTGGTCGTAATGTATCAGCGTGGGATTGTGGAAATTGTTCAGTTTAGATTGGTATCACGAATGGATCAATAATAGACTACTATCAATAACCGGAAAGCAATGGACGACCGTTTCGTTCTCGTATGAGATTCCTCAGCAGTGTGCAATATCGTGGATTGATTGAAGTTAGAAATCGATACCATTAAATGCCAGATCAGCAGTATAGAGGTCAAGCGTTCGAACGCAAAACCGTTGACCCTGGGTTCAAGTCCCGTGTGCGTGGTCATGGATGCGCACTTCTGAGTAGTAAAGTATTTGGATATAGCAAAGAGTTCATAATTCAAAATATATATTATATTACAATAAATATCCGCTTTCTATACTATTGAGTATACATATTAACAGTGATTAACTGTAATTGCTATCTATCCACAAATGTTTTCCATTGATTTTACCAGTGAAATCTTTTGTTTAGCATATATGATATATATTTGATATATTAATCTCAAGTAGGATATTTTTCATCTATCTTAAAGGATAGACAATCAGGATACTGTACCATATATTCATAGTGTTGATGAAGAAAACTTCCAGAGTAATGAGAATATCAAAATGTATTGAAGTCAAATAGATCAGTACATAGTACGGTTTACACTGATATGATTATCTATTAAAACGAATTGAAAACTGGAGAAAACTGAAGGGACACCAGATACACGTGCGCCACACAAATCTCATTTGATTTTTGTGAGGGTTGTGATGCTGCTCGGGTACCCAAACCGAAGCAGGTGGTTTTCTTAGGGAGACACACCCGGAGCCTTTGACCTAAAGGTCTAATCCACAAGGCGGTGAAGCAATGTCAGGAGATGCAGTCCAATGGTAGCCCGTGAACAACGATTGAATCATACGCCGTTTGTTCCCTCAGGATACTGGGGCTCATGTGCATCATTGGTTTAGAATCAGGGTTTTCCAACATCCCTACATGGATCCTCCATATTCACTATCCCGGTTAAAGAAACGGACATTTGCTTTTCTTTCTCTCAATTTCGTAAACAACACCCCTAGTGCGAGAAGGCAGTGAGTAGAACTTTCCTGGCATAGGCTGTATACGCACGGCCATGTGAGAGTATTTCGAGAGGGAGTATGGACCCTCCCCACTCTTGGAAGGGGGCACTTATATAATCAAAAAGTATATAACACAACAGCATTATTTATAATAAGTAAAATGTAGGTGTGTTACACATGTATAAATATTATTACGTACTGCCAACGTGTTTTCGTACTAAGAAATAAAACATTCAAAATACAATAAAACTAAAGTTAAAGAAAAGACTGAACATACATCAAATATAAACTAACAATAAGTTTACAGGTTTCCGACGAAATAAAGACCTGAACATATCTTTTCTAACTACAATGAATAAGGTTAAACTAATGATAATGTTAAATGAAGATTGATCTACCTTCACAGTCAATTTCATTCAAAATAATCCACAAGATTACGTATACTAGTTACAAGAGAAGTACATACGATAGGCTTCAGGAATTTGTCAATCCAAACCTAGTCTTTATATTCATAAAACTCATATACAGTCATTTATTTTACTATCTGGCAATGAAAGCATTCAAACATCTCAATGCAGTATGAGATTATTTTGTAATTCATGAATCTATGTCAATATACAATGAATTGAATTGAATTCACTCATCACTCGATCAAATGAATTGGTAGTGATCACATTCTTCAAATATCGACAATCTATTTCATCAAGATTATCGCAAAATGCTCAAAGTATTAAACAGTATCCGGTAGGAAGAAAAATTATACCTGGATATTTCATAAATCATACGGTTATGACATAAACCATTGAATCTATGTGAGTTACAGCTAGACAGATTCACTTATTCAAACTATTTTTGATACTGAATAAGTCAGTGATAAAGTTTCAGGTTACGAAATTGATGGATCCAGGTTCAGCTCCAATGAACAGAGTCAGTTTTTTAAAGACTATATGTATGCTTTATTGACATATGTCAAATAACAGACGATTTACATCTAAGCATTTAAGTCAACCGTTACAACCACCTAACAATTTGAAGAAACATTTCTATCCGAATATACACATTTGGTAACTCCGTGATTTGTTTTAATGAAATGAAATTAATCAGTATAATAACGTAATCACCTTATTTAAAAGTGAATAATTAACTCTATACTATTGAGTTATCGATAATAAATACCAGTTCCGTTGAGATCATGAACTGATCAATGTTAGATCACCATTGATAATAAGTAATCTCCACAACCCTATACTGCTTGCATAATTGTTCCATCATCATTAATAATAATAATAATCCTATGTCACTATCGCTCATGTTAGTAGTTAGTACATAGAATAAAATCATATTTTATCAATACGTTAACATACTCCCAGGCAGATCTGTAAAATACAGAATGAAATAATGAAATGAAGACGAATACACTGAAATATAATCACATACATTACGCCTTATGCCTCGTTTAATAAGATAGTTAATTACAATGTGATAAAGTCTAATGAATGCTTGTGTGAAACGATTGACTACCTAGCCACGACGATTGATTTCTATCTAATTATTAAGGGTACTTAGATGACAGTTAAATAAGAAAAAAACAGTAGATTAATAAACAAAGAGTACTCCTTTGATGTGTAAAAGAAAGGCATACTGTTTCATTAATCAATTCTGTTTTTAGGTGGATTCATTTGCAAAGTTATACAAAGTTGTACAAATCATAATCATAAATGATAAAATGTTTGTTAAAAACAATAATCTGATGAATACAATGAAGAAACATCAAAAAGAGATGTTATTTTCATTATGAAACTAAGAATGTCGTTATCAGAAGGGAGTTTGTGAAGATTTTAGTACTTCTACAGTTGAAATCATGAATCATTTGAAGCTAGACCACTATGGAAAACCTGGAAACACTGGACGGCCGATTCGTCCTATTGTGCGACTCCTCAGCAATGAGCATCCACGATCCCGTCTAGTGAGAATCGAACCCAGGATCTATCATTCTCGCACGCGAACGCTTAACCTCTAGACCACTGAGTCGGTATCGAATGGTGTTAATGTCTAACTTTAACTGATCCACGAAATTGAGTGACACATCCACCATTGTCTTCAGTAAGTTACTATCTCACCTGATTGAACTCCACTGGTCACTGCTTCTCATTAGAACCCCGAAAATTCCTCTTGAAGCCTACAATAGGGCGAAACGGCCGTCCAGTGCTTCCAGGTTTTCCATGGTGGTCTAGCTTCAATTGACTCATGATTTCAACTATGAAAATAATGAATTAACCAATGGAAATATCAATGTTTTATTGATATCGATAAATGTTACTTACGTTGAATAAGCAGCTTAACAACAAGGAATTATAAATCAAACGTTATTTAACATATCTTAAATGTAATAATATTACAACAACTAACGAACATAACTAGCTATTAATCTACTGAAACAGTAAGTAATCACATTGAATTCATTTAGATCTACTATGAATTAAAAGAATTTTCAGTAAACAAGATCCTATTTCCATTAATTCCTTGAAAAAGCTTGAACAAGATTGCCAGGTGAAACGTTGGATTTACTTCAAATTCATTCGCTGAGATTTTACAAATATATTCTTATTCATATTTAATGTCTTACATCAACTCGGCGCCCCAAATACTGTGAAACTATTCGCTCTAATTTTAGACGAAAGTTCTTATATATTTCCATGCTTATTAATAAAATGGTCAATAAATGAGATTTAAGAAAATTATCATTTTGAAATATACGAAATAATATTTTGATGGAGTTTTGTTCTTTGAGCAGGATGATTTGATCGTGAGGCGTTCATTGTCCTTCTGAATGACATCATCAGCACAAACTTCGGATAGAGGTCAATAATGATAATTTGCAACGAATGAGTAGATAATCATTTTCAGATCAATTAAATGAGTGTATACGCTATAGAAAAATAATTGCAAAAGAATCCGTTTTACAAGTCAGTGGCTATTTGGACTAAATAGTTAAGTGGACAATGTTGTAGACATTTGAGATGAGAGATACTGGATTAGAGTTCTGATTTGTCCATCAACACTGGGTTACATCTACATTCATACAGAATAAGGCACATGTCCTAGACTCAATTGTAACTCATTATCCAACTTTGTTTATAAAACGTTTGTTACGTAATAACAATATTGATGTGACTCGCACAGGATACGTATTATACGTATACTAAACGTATACCAAATAAGAAACTAATCAGTTTCAGTCCATAATCCCTTCAGGAAGATGCCGATATTCAATAAAAATGCATTTTAAAAAATATTATTGTTTAAAAATTGTAACTACAGTGAAATCTGTATTACATCATTACATTTAAATGACATGTAATTAGTTAAAGATACCCATTAATATTGATGTTTTAATATAACCTTTCTTTCAATGTTAAGATTCTAGTCTCATCCATTAATCTACTGGATAAATCTTTTATTAACAAATAATCACTAAGTGAACATGGATAACCGAAATGAAACTATGTAATGACTGATGTTGCAGATTATCTGAAGTAGGTAAAGCTTATAGTTGTTAATTAATTACGTAATTCTGTAACCGAGTTTACTAGTTTACATTATATAGTTTCATTAAAAAAGTTGATATCCCTTTCGTATTCGTAATGAAAATGATTAAATTCTAAACTATTCTAAATGAATACGGAAGAGAATTTTGGAAACAATATAGTAGAGAATCACTTCCAAACCTCCCCAATACTAGACAGTATTGCGTGTCGTGGTAATCGGTGTTTAGGCATACGTAACTCGTGGCACAACCTTCACAGTTGATGAAGATTCACAACTTCATCAACTGGTTTACCATCATTCTCTAATACCCTGTGTCTAACCTGACTATTACCTGTCCGGTGTATAACGATTGAGAAACACTAGAAAAGATTGTTCAGGACAGAATTCGATGGAGAATGCTGATGGACGACCTATGCTCCTTTACCGGGGGTAAATGGCATAAGTAAGTATTATTTTATGGACAATCTTTGAGCGACGCTAAAGTGACCTTGAGAGTATTCACCTAGTAGGTGAACACTAGGATTAAATGAGGGCTATAAACCAGAATGAGTAATTAGGATTAAGATTTACACTTGATGATTAAAGTTAGGAATTAGATTTAGAGTTTTTGTTACGAATTAACATCATCTAAAATGCCGAAATGTTATTTAACCAAATGGATGAATGAATTTCGTTCCAAAACTCAAGATCTGTCATACTTAATCTGAATACTTCTTTCATAAATCATAGTATCGCCACAATCTTTTGTTCCAATCTAGATAGTATGGATTTGTTTTGTTAATTTTATCTAGTTTAAACGATTCAATAAATTTTAATAATATGCATCGTATACAAGCGACCACATACCTGATGTTTCTATCATAGTTACCAAGATGAAATATATCAAATATATTAAAATTATTCCTTTAAAATTTGATTTATGCCGTACAATTTTTAATCAGGTTAATATATCTAAATGATAATGAAGATATAGGATCTTTATTATTATTATAAGATGATACAGTTTTTCGTCTTTCTATTATCTTGTACATATATTGAGTGGTAGAAAAAGTATATTTTATATAGTTGAAATCATGAGTCATTTGAAGCTAGACCATCATGGAAAACCTGGAAGTACTGGTTGGCCGTTTCGTCTTATTGTGTGACTCCTCAGCAGCGCACATCCATGATCCCGCCTCGAAAGATTCGAACTCAGGATCTATCAGTCTCGCAAGCGAGCACTTAACCTCTAGAACCACAGAGCTAGCATCCAATGGTGTTAATGTCTAACTTCCACAGATCCAACAGTTCACCAATGACTTCAATGAGTTGATGTCTCCCAACAGACCTGGTTGAACTCTACTGGTTACTGCTTCTCACTAGAATTCCAAGAAATATCTCATGGAGCCAGTCACCGGTGAGTATATCTCTATATGATCCAAGATATTGGATTTTTTTGTATGTTTGTACATTAATGAGAATGTTGATAGATAAAGACTCCCTTAATGTTTGTTACAATGTTTCAACAAACAATTTTTTTATTTCAATGTTTTGTCAAACTCTACATTCAGTTTCTTTCAGTCATGGTAAACTTTTCTCACACAATATTTATTTAAACACGCAAATACTGGTACAAGGAGGTGCCAAAGGTATATACGCTAGATAATAACAATGAGGCCAGCAGCATTTATCGTTGATATTTATGAAGGCTGGGATACTGACCGGGTTTCCAGACAAAAGTAGAAAGTTTTCTTAGGGGGCCACACCTCGAGCCTTTCACCTAAAGGTCTAATCCACAAGGCAGTGGACCAACGTTAGGAGGCACAGTCTCATTGTAGCCGGTGACCAGCAGTTGGCTCATACGCCATATGTCTCTTCAGGTTACTAGACCCCATGTAAACCATTGATTTGAAATCAGGGTTTTCCAACTCACTTAAGTGGATCATCCATATCCACCAACCTGTTGAAGCACCAGACATTTTTGTTTGTGGTACCACTGATAAATTCTTTCTCCATATTCTCTCTTCTTATATGAGGCTTACCCTACTGACTATTCTTACTTGAGAATACTATCAAGTCTCAACATGGGTTTTCTAATTCTAGAAACTTGTTCCCATTTACTTTACTGTTCATCTGTCTTTTTACAGTATTCTGTCTTGTTGACCTATCAACAACCAACTGTATGAATCCTTTTCATGATTACTAACACAGTGAGACAATCAGATATAGGCCAGCTAAAAGTGAGGGATATTAGTGGCTACTAACTATTAGTCAAGATTTGACTTGAACTTCCAAGGAAACAGATATGTCACCGACTAAAAATATGGGTTCATTTTCTGAGGGACGTATATCTTTATTTATGGACTGGTCAGATATTTTCGTATTTGCTTAGATAATAATGCTTCCTACTTACTCTTAGTCTTCATACTCAGGTAGCTGGTTTGTATACTCATAGAGTTTACGTGATATATCATTAACAGACTCGAACGACCACACAATATGACGATTTATTTTCAAAAATCCATTTCCATTGATCTAAACTGATCAGAACCTTCCTGTGAATATGAAATGATGTATTTATATTATTATTGAGTAAGAAGCTATAACTGCCCTCGATTTCTTGATGTTCAGCATCAATTATCAAGGTATTTCCAATGGTGTTTTGTGCAGGATTTAAAACAAAGCCATATTGTAACATAAAGAGGTTTTGTTGACTGTCAAGCTTTTCAGATAACAACTAACCCCTTGTCATACCAAAATATCTACAGTGATTTATGTCATATTGTTATTACACTGAATTGGCAATTAGTTGAATCTTTCGCTTAAAGCATGTGGTTGCTGAATACTGTTCTACGATTATTTGATTTCTTTTACTGAAACATTTTAAAAATAAAGAATTACTGTGTAGTGTTTGCTACTGATGTCAAAAGATATAAGTAGTATTTATCATCAGTCGAAAGTAGAGTGTCTGGCAGTAGAAAGTTAAGAAGTTGAAGAAAAGAGAACGAGAACATAAAGTGATTGGTGTAGGAAAGGAAAATCAGTCAAGTCTGATACAATCGATTGACATTTTGCAAATGAATAATTTACTGTATGGTTCTCAGCAAATGTAACAGCAGCCTCTGCATCGATAGACCTCCACATTCACAAAGGAAAAAGCAAGATTCTCAAATACAACACGGAGAGCACCAACCCAATCACACTTGATGGCGAAACTCTGGAAGAAACATTCACATACCTGGGAAGCATCGTTGATAAACAAGGAGGATCGGATGCAGATGTAAAGGCGAGGATTGACAAAGCAAGGACAGCAATTCTACAGTTGAAGAACATATGGAACTTCAAACCACTGTCAACTTATTCCAAAAGGAGAGTCTTTAGTACGAACGTCAAGATAGTTCTACGGTATGGAGCTGAAAGGTGGAGAACTACTACATCCATCGTCAAGAATGTACAAGTATTTATAAACAGTTGTCTACGCAAAATACTCAACAGCCGAATACTATCAGCAACAGCGTTCTATGGGAGAGGACAAACCAGCTTCCAGTTGAAAAGGAAATTAGGAAAAGACGTTGGAAATGGATAAGACATACATTAAGGAAATCACTAAACTGCATCACGAGGCAAGCCTTAACTTGGAATGGTGAAGGGGAGTGGAAAAGAGGAAGGCCAAATAATACATTACTCCGGGAAATAGAAGCAGATATGAAAAGGATGAATAGCGACTAATAAGAACTAGAAAGATTTGCCCAGGACAGAGTTGGATGGAGAATGCTGGTGTGCGGCCTATGTTCATCCATGAGGGGTAACAGGCGTATGTAAGTCTCAGATTTTACTAAGAGGTTCTGTAAGCTTGTATTCAAATATTTTCGAATGGACCCATTTATGTTCTCCTTCACTACAACTTTATGAATTTATTTAGAAATTTAGAATCACTAAGTATAAAAATAAATGAAAATCTAATATTCAATTATCAATTGCACACCACAACAGACCTGTTGTTGTTTCTAATTTCATTAAAAACAATACAAATTAAACAAAGATTTGATTTTACATGTATATGATCTATACAATCAAAGTGTAAAGAGAATTATTCAGATTAGTTTTAATGGATAAAGATAAAAGAACAGCCAATCTGATTTCATTTGTAAGTCTATGAACTTCAGTCGGTCTAATTTTTAGTGTTCTTTCAACAAAGTTCATTTTTACGAAATAGATTTGCTAACCTTATCCTAACCCTTCTTCTCTATTTGGGTTTAAAAGCGTTAGAAAATCTAAAAGGGCTTCAGGTGTAGTTGATTTTATTCAACTATTAGTTTCATAGAAGCAATATGAAAGTTGCAGAAAACATCGAAGATACCAGGAGATACCTATTCGAAGGATATTGGATAGTGTTGAATAAGGAATGGAATGATGTATTGTTAAGTTCTACAAAATAAGGTTATTATAATTCAAATTAACGTGTTTATTAGATAGTAATAATAATAAAATTTCTTTATATAGTTAAGATCATGAGTCATTTGAAGCTAGACCACCATGGAGAACCTGGAAGCACTGGACAGACACGAGGCGGGATCGTGGATGCGCACTGCTGAGAAGTCCCACAATAAGACGAAACGGCCGTTCAGTGCTTCCAGGTTTTCCATGATGGTCTAGCTTCAATTGACTGATGATCTTAACTACGTAATAATATTTCTGTTTTCGTCTCTTTTACAAACAAAAGTTTGACACCATCATAAACAATTCTTTTTCAAGTCTTGCTTCATCATTACAGATTAAGATAAGTTGGCTTATTTATGTAACTTAGCAACATTTTCTCGTTTAGGTAAAATATAATTTTACTTGTGTCGTTATTATCTTTCATTCCATCTGATCCCATGGAACAAGGAATTTTTACTTTGGGTAAACTTTGCTTTCCAATACTTATCCGATAATGTATACTAGAATGGTTTTACAAGAATGCTATAAAAACCATTAGAAGTCCAATTTCCAAACATTTAAGCTACTTTGATCCTTTAAATGACGTAAAAACTCATTTTAAGGTTATTTAAAGATAACATCATAGCCCACTAAGATTTATTTCTTCTTAACTCCTTAAAATAAAACATGCTTTGATCAACCACAAGAGGTAGCTAGAAATGAGTATGAGAAAGAAACATGTCCGGTCTATGTCTTAACTTTGATCTTAACACAATACCTTTACCACTATTAATTTAACTTGTAACGATTTGATCTATCCCGTTGTTAGTAGTTTAATTGAAGTTTGAACAGTCTTAGTTGACACATGTGCATCATGACCATACCTGTGAATTCATACCAACTAGACAAGCAAGCAACTATCAGGACTCAATAGCTTAATGTATAACGAGTTGATGTTCGAGACAAAATTCATTGGGTTTAAATTCAGAAGTGAACATCAACTCCTAGATTAATTACATTCAAATGAAAAGTTTCAAATAGGACTATATGGACATTTTTGGTTAGACCACAATCCACATTCCATCTATTCTTTATAAATTTTATTATTCTTACTATTGTCATTCGTTTTGAATGTTTCAGCTAGAAACATTTGAAATAATTTTCTTATAGTATAATATTCAGTTAACCATTGAACACAAGAACGTACCTGTTGTCGTTGTTGTTGTTGTTGTTGTAGTTGTTGTTGTTGATCCTAGTATTTTCCAGAAAATTTAAGAAAATACCATTACTATAAATAGTTAGTTTGTCCATATGAAATTTCTTAAGTCTTCGTTACAGAAATCTAATTTTACAATGAATCTCATCAGATATCGGAAATCAAGTTTAGTGATGATGAGAAATATGAAAATTGGGTATTATTTATAGTAATTTATTTAGTGTTACATCACAAGTTGATCTAAAAATTATCAAGATTTAGTGAATAATGAGATTATATCAGTATAAGGTTGTGGAGATTGTCAAGTTCCGGTTGAGATTGTGAGTCTATCTATATTACACTACAATTGAAGACCTAGTAGCACTGAATTATTGTTTCGTTCTAGTATGTGATTCAGAAGTGCATATCCATGACCCTGTATATGGGATTCGAACTCAGGACCCTCAGTGTCGCAAGCGAATGTTTAACCTTTAGACTCTTGTGCCGGAATCGAACGGTGTTATTTTCTAACTTCAACCAATCCACGATATTGTGCGAACATCTTCCATTGTCTTCGGAGAGTAACTGCCACGTACCCAACACAGATTAGTTCGACTGGTCACGGAGATTAAAGTCTTATTTAGATCTGGTAATTGTCTCAGTAAAATCTAAAATGTATATAGATAAAATAACGAAAATCACTCACAAAATGGCGTTGTATATGATAAACTTAAACTAGTTGATGCATGAGATCTTCGTTCATAAACTCATTTCTAAAACAACCAATAAGATTTCTTTTCTAAATTCCTTGAAAAGAATTATTTTTTGTGAGAGACCAGGGATGCTTAATATAAAGTAAACCTCCGTAACAGCACTTGAGCAAAATATCATGTCCACAATAAAAAACCCTTCCTATAAACCTCATATTTGGTATACTCTAATTTCCAACTACTCTCTTTAACTATCGGCATTAATTTACCATTTATAACAACATTCTGTTTTCATATACTATCAGTTTCTCTCTTAAAATATTCTCTTATCAAACGATCGACAGAATCCTTAAATATTGACTTATTGTAATGAAATTACTTCTATGTCATCTGTATGCTTGATCAAATTCGTTCTCTGCAAACGATTTAAACAAATTACGTACACTAACTATTCGAATTATGATCACTTTTCATTTGATAATCAGTAGCATGTTTATGAAACAAATGAATGCATACAACTCCACTATGACTGCTTTCTTCGGTTTATTTAAATTTAGTAGAATTGGGGTTCATGGAGATTGTGGTAATTTTAAATTGTTGAATTCATGAGTTGATTTAAGCTAGACTACTAATGAAAACCTGGAAGCATTGGACGGTCGTTTCGTCTTCAGTGCTCTAGAGGTTAAGTGTTCGAGCATGAGTTCAAAAGTCTTGAATTTAAGTTCCATATTCTGGGTCATGGATGCGTACTGCTGAGGAGTCTCATACCTGAATGAATCAGCCGTCCAGTGCTTTGAGGCTTTGCATGGAGGTCTAGATTAAATCTACTCGTGAATTCAACCATTAAATTTTATAACTAAAAGAAATAAATAATTGTATGAAACGTTTTTTTTAAATATTTACGTTACTAAGTTCAAAATATTTTTAAGATCTACTAATAAACTCGTAACTGAACATCATGAACATACCTGTAGTTGATGCTAATATAATCAAAATAAAGGCAAATTATAATAACACTAGTGATATTTCATCTTTTTAAATTCAATTTTCATATTCTCATATCTATGACCTTTTATTCTTTTAACAAACAACCAGTACTATCGTACATAGTAGACTAAAATCAGTAGGAAGCTTACACTGGTTTATGTTTCATACTAACTAACTATTAAATAATAAAAGGTATCTACAATATTGTGAGAACTAATACTCTCTGTCATTTTCGAACACTTATCACCCAGTAAGCGAAGATGGATAGTAACTAACAGTGGAATCCAGGATGTGCATTTCGTTTTATTTGAGACTCTTCAGCTGGATATACCTGCATCTCAGAGTTGATGTTCACTATGAGACTCAAACCCTGTACCATTCGCTTCAAACGCCATCGCATTATCAACATAGCTACTGAGTCTTGATAGACACCAGGATGCACATATACCAATAAGAGACTGATCAATTGCAGTCCTAAGTAACAATGAGAAGATACAAGTGAACAACAACAAATGAATATAACTTTACTCCATTGCACAAACAAGTGGCTATCAGGACTCAGTAGCTATGTGGATAACGCGATGGCATTTGAAGCAAATGGTACTGGGTTCGAGTCTCAGAGTGAACATCAACTCTGAGATTCAGGTACATTAAGCTGAGGAGACTCAAATAGGACGAAATGCGCATCCTGGATTCCACTGCCAATCACTATCCATCTTTGCTCAAAATGCTTATGAATTAAGTCAATGTCGAGACAATCTTCACAGGATGAATAGAAGCCAACAAGAGGCTGATCGATTGTAGTCCTAAACATCAATGGGAAGATTCAAGTAAACAATACAAAGCGAATGATATAACTGTTTGAAAATTCCAGAATATTTTCATTAAATAATGTAGATCAAAATGAAAACTTGATATTTGATCTAATCACTGTACACAATTACAAGCCTACTACTCATTTTAATGTCATCGAAGTACTACCAATGAAGTTATATTTCAAGTGTATTAAATGATTAGAATTCGATATGCTTCTGTATTCCATACTTTTCTTACATAGAAATAATTTGTTATAAACACGAATACAATATGCCATATTCCGGGCTACCTGTTTTTGCCATCTAGATATTTCAACATGTTATCTGTCTTCAGTTTGTTTCAACAGATGCTTATTTCATACATCCTGTTGCATAATCTATTCAGACGTGTTTGTGAAAAGTTGACGACATTTCGCTGTACAGAGACATAGTGGTTGCTGGCCATGTACACTGAAAACAATGTACACTATTGAAATATCGATCTCTGAACTGCTCAAATCTAATTGGTGATCACTGAATATTTATCGTTAGGTTAGATCAAGAAATAAGAAGCGGAAACTTATTGAAGTACTTTGTTCTGAGGATTCTATATTATATCAAAAATATAATATTCAGTAAAGCGAATAAAATTTTCACAAGGGGGTTTTCATGGAGATTTCAGTAATTTTATATCGTTAAGATCATGAGTCAATTGAAGCTAGATCACCATGGAAAACCTGGAAGCACTGGATGGCCGTTTCGTCCTATTATGATACTCCTCAGCAGTGCGCATCCACGATCCCACACTCACGAGATTCGAACCCAAGACCTACCAGTTTCGCGCCAGAGCACTTAACTAATAGGCATTACACCGCTAGATGCTGACTCAGGAGTCCCACATTAAGACGAAACGGCCGTCCAGTGCTTCCAGGTTTTCCACGGTGGTCTAGCTTCAACTGACTCGTGATCTTAACTATATAAAACTAATACAATTTATTGTTATTATTATGAAGGACAAAGTTATGAAACGTAAACGTCGGTAACATACGTGTTTTTGGTGTGACTACTTAACAGTTTAAACACATAATTATTATTAAAAGAAGTTTATATATTGGTAGTTATATCTTAACAATTACAGCTGAAGAATACATTTTTTGTTATAACTTGTGGCTTTGTGCCCTATTAACATAAAACGTAGTGACACTACCGTCATTTAGATAACAATGATTTATCGACCGGACCAATAACGTGTAAATGCGTACGAGCAGTCTAAAGTCCTTATCGGTCCTTCTTCCTGCCTAGCCTTGCCTGTTAAGTCCAAAACACTAATCTCAGCCTCTGCGATTTATTCCAAAAATACTGGGTTCATATACTAAACCAAACCAACCATACTGCATCACAAAATAGAAAACAACATTTGTACAAGACTCAGCCAATAGTGAGTGTGGATGTGAGAGACTCTAATAACTAGACTGGGAATAACTCAAGAATGGTAAATCATAATATCCTATGGATCGAAATAAAGCTTTTAATAAGAGAAACATGAATATATATGTAGTTTAGTTACTGAACAATTACACAATAAAAATATATGTATGATATTGGTCCATAAATGGTTCCCAAAAGTTATCATTCATAATTCTTGTTGGGACATATCATTTTTAACCTTTTCTTATATATTTTATTCAATTGTATTAATGTACTCCTGATGTACTCTTAAGCAGTCAGTATAATTTAGAGTTCGGTGAAACGTTGTTCTAGGCAAACGGGAATGTCTAAATATGAACAGGAAATAGTTATACGGATGTATTGGATGATAACACTTTAGAATGTGTACACGAATTCTTTGGACACTATCATAAATGTATATGAGACACAAATACGGTGTTCATTATAATCCATGATTAATGTTCTGTTGTTTACATGAAACATTTACAAATGGGAAATGTATTAATAATCTAATAATTAATCAGTAAATAGGGAGACATACGTCCTGAGGTTTCTGTATCGAAGAAAACAAAATACATTAATTTCATTATTATAATATAAAGTCTAAGTCTTTCAAAATAAAGGAACAGAATTATATATTATGCTATTTTCATTGTTTATATCACTGACTGGTCCTAGTTAAGCAGTCAATGATAATCAGGAGGCTTTTGACAGCTGTTTCTTCATGGTGTAGGACTCCTTAGAAGTAGTCATCTATGACATCATCACAGATAGAACCTATAGTCTGCAGGTCTTGCTATGAGCACTGAATCTCAAGACCACTGAGTCAGCATCCAATTGTGTATATGTCTAGATCGAATCAGTTCACGATATTGCGCGACCATCATCCACTGATGAAGGTGAATATCTGTCGCACATTCCACTAGTCACCTCTATACACTAGAACTCCTGGAAATACGATTAGAAGTTAATTACTAGTGAGCAGATGATTATAATTAGTATAAGATATTTTGTGGATCTTGTAGCATTTACATAGTTTACATCACGGATCTTAATTAGACAACCAATGTATGAATATGTCTAAATTGTCGCTTTGTTAAGACCCTAAAGTAATTTTATGAGTATGGAAGGGAATTCGTTAAGTTTCCTTGTATAGTGTTCATATACACCGAAAAGCAAGATGACTATGTACATCTGAATAATATGTAAATTTTGACTATTAGCATACATTTAAGTGAATGATGTGGTCTTCATATTCCTTGAATGAGAATTTTTTCTTTTTCAATAGACCCAAGTAATCATCAAATAACAAAGCCCATCAGATGATTAGTTTCATTAGCAAAATATATGGAATGTAAAAGTACAGTCTGTTCAATAGTTATGAGAAATGAGGTTTACTTTTATTCGATGCAAAAGTTGATGTAAATCAATCTTCTCTTCCTTGAAATATTCCTCATTAATGATAAAACAGTCCTTCCAGTACCTAAAAAGTTAGACTGTTAACCGAATCATCATTTTTCTGACAGCTTCTGGTCAACTATCAGCAAACTTGGGACGATTTTTGCAAATAATTTTCTCATTCTTATTTGTTTTACTAGAATAATATACACGAATGATCTTACTGAATACAGTTCATAAGTAATCATTCGGAGAAAGAATTAATCATCTAAAAACAGAAGAGACTCAACATGTTTGATCTCTTCATTATTACACGAAGTTAACGGACGTCTTAACCTTTAGTCACTGGTATAGTCTACAAGTCTACACGATTTAGTCTAACCTTCGGATAAACAAATTACTTTAACCCTTCAAGTTATTCTGTCATCTTGTCAACTACTCACGTGTAACCTTGACTATGTCATGTATATTTTTTCATGATAATGTGTCTCTATCGACTTTCTGTATTTCTTGCAATAAATTATATTAACTGAATTATCTTATTATTCGGTGTGTCGTCATACCCCAATGTTTCATACAATCTCTCCATCCTCTGTTGCTTGTCTACCGTTTAATATTAGCACGTCTGAAATGTACGGATCCTAAATATAATTTGTATTCGACTTTTGATATACATTTGTTCTAAACCTGTTAAGCTGACAGGAAATCCACAAAGTTAGGTAGGGTATGTATTGTATTATCATAACTTTTTGATCACACTGGGGCTGAACAGGTATGCAACTCTCATTCATATATCAGTATAGGGATTTGCGGAGATTTTAGTATTTTCACTGTAGAAATCACAAGTCGATCTAAGCTAAACCATCACTGAAAACCTGGAAGGAGTCTCATACTCAGACGAAATGGACGTCCCAATAGTCATATCACGTCATACGTTAACAGGACATCCACTCCACCACAAGTCATAACATAACCAGTGTTAACACTCTACTAACTAACATTCAGTATGCCAGTCCCGAGAGCTTTTTTTAATTAGTTTATATTTTGTTTTTAGATAGTACTCAATTTATGTCTGAATAAATTATTATTACCTTATTCGTGATTCGTTATTAAGATGTTTATAAAGTGTACTAAGTAACAAAATACAATCACTGGTAATTTACAGTGGCTTCCGGTTAGTAATGAGAACTAAAAAGGAAGGCCCAGGACAGAGTGGGTTGGAGAATGCTGGTCGGCTGCCTATGCTCCATTAGGATTAACAGGCTTAATTAAGTAAGTAAATAAGTATGGTTAGTAATGATGACTTTTGTTTGATCAGTATCATCATTTTTCACCATTGAAAGGATGATATGATGTCACACACCATTTTTCTCATTGGTAGAATATAACCGTTTTGTAAACCCCATTCTCTCCATCATATACATCAATGAATGATATTTGGCTGAAATGGTAAAGTGTAAGGAGCCTATGAAAATTTTCGAGTTTCATAGTTTACGTCACAAAATGATTATAGTCTGAGAACCACTGAATTGTATGTAACACTGAACAGTTGTTTCGTCCTAGCATGGATCCCCTAAATAGTGTGCATCCACAACCCTACCCAGGATCTAATCCATAATCTTCAAGTCTTCTGTTAAGCACTCAAACTATAGACGGTTAAGTCAGAACAGAATAGTTTACATACCTCACTTCAATCAGTTTCATAATAAAATGAACCAGCTGTTCAGTGCTTTATAGTTTACAATAGTTCGTTTGTGATTTATACTAAGAAGCTGAATGTTTCTTAGTTATAAAATACTTACTTACTTAATAACGCCTGTTACTCCCAATGGAGCATAGGCCGCCGACCAGCATTCTCCAACCCATTCTGTCCTGGGCCTTCCTTTCTAGTTCTATCCATTTTTGTTACAGGAGGAGTTTATAAAATACTTAATATATCGAAAATCAACTATTCAACCGATCACTTACGACTTGAACCAACTGATAATGTAAATAATAGATTAATTACATAATAATGTAAATAGTGTAGTTCGATAAGTTATATAATGTTAATTGTAATGATTAAGAGTCATCAACCGAAAAAGTAATTTTTCAAACTGTGCTTCAAATAAATTCAACTTAGTATTGTTTAGGAAGATTCAAAGAAACAATACTAAGTTGAATTTAAACTTCACCCCATTGCACAAGCAAGTGGCTATCAGGACTCAGTATCCGAGCGGATAACGCAATGACATTTGAAGCGAAAGGTACCGGGTTCGAGTCCCAGAGTGAGCATCAGCTCTGAGATGCAGGTACATCAAGTTGACGAGTCTCAAATAGGACGAAACGTGCATCCTGGATTCCACTGCTAGTCACTATCGATCTTTGCTTACCATGTGGTTCAAACAGATGAACTCTTTAGGAGGAATAAACATGTAAAGGACAGGTAGGTATTAATTCGATAAGTCGTTTAATATGGTTTCTACGGAGATAAAAAAACGTTTTCATTGATAATCGATCGTTGCTTTTACATCAATACATATTACCTTATTTGTAAGTATTCCAGTCTTCTCGTTACTGATGTTAAAGATTTAGATTTTAATCAGTTTCTTTAGGTAGATATTCATCCTGAGCTGGTCATCTTAATATTTCTACTGAGTTATAAGTACTTTAATCGAAGATGAATAGTAGTCACCAGTAAAACCTAAGACAAACGATACATTCTATTTGGAATTTGTCAGCTGAATGTACCCGAAACTTTGAATCACGCTCAGCCAATTAGTCTCAATTAGGAAAAAAACACGTTCTGGAGTCCACTGATAGACAGTGTCTATATTTACCTAAATTAATGTTGAACTTTATGTCACATATTTACCATTACTAGATTAAAGACAGTAAGTACAAGAAGTATAACAGATCTCATTTCATTTCTCTGAGTTCTCATTAGCCGTTGCTTACAGATGGTACTATTATTATATCATAATTATTCACTGAAGTTAACATACATGGTTACAATTGACGTTGGTGAGAAGTAAACACGTATAATAATGGTGAAGCAAAGACTCAAATAGATTTGGTACGATTTTAAAACATTGTCTCATATGAATACAGTATGTAGGAGAAAATTCTAGAGCATAAAGTTGGCAACTAACGATCATCGAACTAAAAATTAGTTGATTAATTAATGAAAAAGCTGGTTAAGCTCAATTCATACAATTTCAAACCACCCCTATGCTTGCTTCATCATTTTCTGAGTACAAAACTCTCAGATGCTTTTGTTTCTTCATCTAACGAATTTTTTAAAAATGGTCTTGTGGTGTGTGTGCTACTGATGTCAATAGATATAAGTAGTGTGTATCATCAACTGAAAGTGGAATGCCTGAAGGCAGAAAGGTTAAGAAAACCGAAGAAAATAAAACGAGAACAAAGAATGATTGGTGTGGAAATGAAGGAACAGGCAAGTTTCCAACCATTGATTGACATTTTGCAAATGAAGCATTTACTATATGGTTCTCGGATTTTACTAAGAAATTCTATAATTTTGTCTTCTACTTTATTATTATTATTATTTCAACACATAAATATTGGGACAAAGGGGCACCGAATACATATGCGCCTCACAAATCTCATTTGATTTGTGTAAAGGTTGTGATACTGCCCGGGTGCCCAAACCGAAGCAGGTGGTTTTCTTGGGGGACCATACCCCGAGCCTTCAACCTAAAAGTCTGATCCACAAGACAGTGGAGCATCGTGAGGAGAGGCATTCCCGTGGTAGCCGGTGACCAACAATTAGTTCACACACCATTTGTTCCCTCAAAATACTGGAGCCCATGTGCACCATTGGTTTAGGAATGAGGGTTTTCCAACTCCCCTAGATGGACTTTCCGTGTCCACCAACCCGGTTGAAGCGCCAGACATTCAATTTTCATTCTCTCAATTTTGTAGACAACACCAATGCCACGAGAAATTAGTTAGTAGGACTTCCCTGGCAGAGGCTATATACGCGTGGCCATGTGAGAGCATTTGGAGAGGGCGAGCGAACTCTCCCCACTCTCGGCCGTACCAGGGCATTTGTGTTCACTACAGTATGTCCAAATTAGATAAGTTGTCAAGAACTGTAAATTACCATTACATGCATTTCTATGGTTACAATAACTTATAATTTTAAATTATATAAAAAGCATGTAAACATGAACCACTAAACAATTTACATATAACTTACATTTATCTGTAAACAATGTATTTAAGAGTATTAGATTGACATTAAATGATTTCATTGTAAAGAGATGAATCAAGTTTATGATTTCATTCTCATTTGAAAGGAGATATGACATTTGAATTGATCATTTCTACTTATTTACGATTCAGGTTCTAAGAGTTTTTCATCCTTTCATATTTGCAATGCTGACAATAAGTTTTCACTACATAACTGACGAATTTCATTCATAAAACAACCCAAATACATTACAGTTTCATGAAATCTTTACAAAAACTAACAGTCACCTTATACAAGAACTTTCGTCTAAATTAGAGGGAATAGTTTTACAGTATTTGAGCGCCGAGTTGATGTAAGACATTAAATAGGAATAATATGTATTTGCAAAATTTCGGTGAATGAATTTGAAGTAAATCCAATGTTTCGCCTAGAAATCCTTGAAAAAGCTTGGACCAGATTGCCAGGCGAAATGTTGGATTTAATTCAAAATCATTCACTGAGATTTTCTAAATACATATTATTCCTATTTAAATGTCATCTTGTCTATTATGTGAATAACTGGCACAATATTATTGAGCAGGCCAGTATTTAAATGAGGGTTGACAACAAAATTAAAGATTATTATAAGACGTACAAAGCCAAAAAGATGTATTCATTATATAGAATCTAACTAAATGAAATCAAATATTAAACAGTATTTGAGAACTAGGAATTGTAAAGGGAAAGTTGTTCATCAACAAAGATGATGTATCGAAAAAAAGGTTGCGAAGAAGATGGCTAACTCATTTATCAATCCCTTCATGTATTGTAATCGTTAAGAATATTGCATAATGTAATAATTTTTAAAATTTGTATAAGAAATCATTCCTTAAAAAGGATTTCAAGACGTCCATATCAATATTTTAAATCATAGGCACAAAGTTGAATACAGTACTCTAATAGTCTCATTGTTAGTAGTTAATAGTCGAGAGCAACTCCAAATTTCATATAAATACACATTCACTAATCACTGTCCTATTGTCGATTTGATTGATCATAACACTTCTGCATTCACTTTGTTGTCTAGATTATCCAGTGGTGAGTGAAAAATTACTGGACGGTGGTGAATACTTTCACGTTATTACTGTTATTCCTGAGATTTGCTCAGCTGTTTTTACGTTACACTTACAATTGCCAAAAGATATATCACTAGGTAGTTTTAATTGTAATGTTATTAAAAACAAACGTATATAATTTACTCACATGAAGCTAAATATAAGAACAGGAATATTAAAACCAATTAATCACAAATCGATTAGTTACAACTGACATATATAAACTGTGTGTATGATTTCCTTGACATTATTTGGTTGATTCTGTAGGTTGTTAAATGAAAAGTTAGAGCTGATAGCGATAAGTAATGGGTTCGACTCTCAATGGCAATATCATCATCATTAGAAAAATAGAGCATATTAAAAAGATGTTAAGATAAGTGAAGCTAATTATCATCATTTCTCACATTGGATACCAAAATAATGATGTTCATAATTTTGGAAGGTGTTTTCACTTTATCAACTCAAAATATACTCCTACAGTTCGGAGTTTCCTTAGATAATAAATCATATTTTCAGGAGGCGTTTTATGGAGATTTCAGTATTTTCCATCGTTGAAATCATGAGTTAATTAAAGTTAGACCACTATGGAAAACCTGGAAGCACTGGATGGCCATTTCATCCTATCGTGGGACTCCTCAACAGTGCGCATCCACGATCCTGCCTCGCAAGATTCGAACTCAGGACCTACCAGTCTCATATTTTCCTAATATATTGCAATGACTTACCACAAAGACAATCAAAGAAGAATAGTAATAATGATTGGAAGAAAAAGTATAGTTGATTGTGTTTGGAGGTACAGAAACAATAGACTTTTAAAATGAATCACCTAAAGAAGAATAAACGTTTCATATCATCCTATACCGTGATCTGATTCTATTACGTGATTAAGTGCAATCAGCTAGTTAGTATCCATTTAAACGAACATGATCAGAATGAATATCAAACGATATAAATGGACTTATTCCATTAATTCTATACACGATTACTTACCTTTAATTGATGTAATCCTTGTTTGAATAATGCAAACTACATACCACGATAAAAACATGACTTGAAACATCTTTATGAAACAAAAGTCATATTCATACAGTTTTATAATAAGGTCACACCCTAAATAAAAGTGTAATGTCTTTATTACAATACTCTACAATCTAAAATATGCTCAGCTAAGGATTTCTGAGTAAGTTTGCTTCTTTCCTTACATTTCACTACTACGCCCAGTAAAATTATATCTATAAACAAGATAAATAATCTTTACTCGTTTTCTATTGTGAAATTCAAAGTTGAATGACAAGTATAAAACAGATGAGAGAGTTTAAATCGACAAACGTTTATATAATTGCAGTCTACCGCTTTTGATTTTGCGTGTAAACTAACTCTTTATTTCAAAGTCTATTAGTTATTTAGAATCGCGAAGTCCTGTCTAATCTCATTTCTTCTTTTAGTCAGTGTCTGTAACAGTGTATCGAAAACTCACTTCCTCTGGCCACTAAAAGATAAACGAAGTGGAATTGATAGAAAATATTTAGTATAGCTTTTCGCAGCCTAACTGATTTGGGAGACTCTGTGAGGTTAATTCTGCTATGTATAGCTGTTTAGATTACACATCTGACTATGATGTAAACAGTTACAAATAAAACACTTAACTTGCTTTATACTACGCTCCATGTTAATTGTTTGGTATCGTCCTTCTGCTTCGAGTAACAGTTGTGAGTTACACTTTGGAGATACTTTGAAAGCAGTCCTGAAGTATAATGAATCTGAAGTACATACTGGTTTATTACCTTTTGTAGTTATATACTGTGGTGTTTTTAGGATGATAGGTAATTTGTAAATCGTCACGTGGTTTATTTAAATAACAATATACAGTACCTTCAAGTGCATACAACATTTTCTCTCTGAATTAAATACTAGTTCATTCGCGACTACTAAAGTACAATTTTAGTAGTCTCGGCATAAAATACTCGCCGTGACAAACTTGTCTACTTTTGGATATCACATAGGCTGTGAAATGTTCCTGTTTGCTGGCGAGACTGTTTATCATTCTAGGACATTCTACGACATATTATCACTAGTCTTTTGAGTTGTTTTGGAAGACAAAACTTGAAAAGCACTCTAGTTGTCTGTTGTATCTCAAAGATACTTTGTACATTACTTTGTCTTCTGACTACTTCAATTGATCAAAAAATGTCACTTTTGTAGCTGTAGTAAGCTCATGTTTGTTGAAATTCTAGGATTGATGAGTAAATGGATTAAGGAGTTACTGTGAGCTTTGATCACGGTAGCATAGACTGTACTGATCATAAGCTTTACATAGATTCACTTGTATTTAAAGTGTACAAAAAAACCGAACATTTCAAGGGCTATTACGTTTAAAATCCGAATGCTCCGTAGGGACCGAAGCCCGTTTTTCAAGGTGGCTTTCAAGTTGTTTAGTCTATCAAGGTTTGTAAGGGGTACCATAACAATTCAAAATAAAAGCACTCACATTACCTACCAGTAAAAAGTTCCGTAAAGTAGGAATAAGTAGAAAAATCGATAAGAACAATAATAACGAGGTGCATCTGACCCCAAGACAACAATCAAGTTCTTGGTAGCCCCAGATATCTAATCATAAGTAAAAAGTAGAAGTGAGTCCGTAATGAGTTGTAAGACTCTACTGCATTTTCGTATTATTGAAGTTCCCAATCATCAATATCAATTACCTTTCGTTGCAGTGAGTGAAACATAAAATCTATTTTAATGTCAGAAAGTTCCAAAGCTGATGGATATAGCACCTAGTCAGGTTCAATTCACATATCCGGCACCGATCCAACCTTTTATAATGCGTCTTAAAGACCAGTCCACGCCACACTAGACAATAGTAAAAACCCTAAGAAATCACTCTAAGTTGTATTGCTAGATGAAGAGAAGCATTCAGTTATAGAAACTAGATTAAAAAGAAAAAACCTTATCGCAGGATTTCTCTGTAATATTAAAATTCCTGAGGCAAGCAAAATTACGACCAGGAAGATTGATGAAAATGCAGTGGGTTCAAATATGAAGCAAAATGTGATACAGAAGAACCAAAGTCCATGTAACATTGTCCGGATACACAGTTTCACTTTCAGTTCAGTATTTTCACTTTCTTAATGCAATATTAGTTGCCATTGTTTTGTAAAAAATATTTCTTTTCTGTTAGAAATACCAAATAGCTAACGAAAGTTGAATAATCATCTTCTTATTCATACGTGAATGTTCATCGTTGAGACATCACGATTTACTTGAAGCAGTAGATAAACCCTCAAAATAAAAAGTTCTGTAAGTCTTCGACATTTGAAGCCGACCTCGTCAGTCCTAATGGACACATCTGTCTGAAGATGCTCGGTCACGCACCCTCACCAGATCGCGAGTATGCCGTGCTACGAACCCCATGCAACAGTTAGCCGGCTTAAATTGATGGCTTCACGATTTGTCGATGGCCTTCCAAATATATGTTCGCACCGCTTCATTTCCGAATTCTGATTTGAATGAATTGGCATCCTTCAATTATAACTATTAACTTACAATACTATCTACAGAAATCCTCTTCTCATAATAATCATCATATGCTCACTAGTGACTGGCTTCATGAGATATTTCCTGGAGTTCTAGTGAGAGGCCGTGGCCAGTGAGGTCCGACCGTGTGTGTTGTAAAGGCAGTTACTCCCTTAAGACAACAGTAAGCGGTCGCTCAATTCATGGATTGCTTGAAGTCAAACATTAACACCTTCAGATGACGGTTCAATGGTTTACAAGTTGAGCGTTCGCGCGCGAGATCGATAGGTCCTGAGTTCGAATACCGCGGGAAAGATCGTGGATGCGCAATTCTCAAGGGTCCCATACTGTAACGAAATGACATCCAGTGCTTCCAGTTTTTCCACGGTGGTCTGACTTTAAATGACCTATGAATTCAACCACTAAATTACAAATATGTTACGCGTAAAAACGTTGTCAATCTCCAAACACCTGTTTCGTCTTTATATTTATCAACTTATTCGTCCAGTTTTCTTGGATCCCGTTTCATTTTGAAGAGTCACTAAGTCATTGGGATCTGGGGTCGAAATATAAACAGACTGTAAGCAAAGATGGTTGGTGGCTGACAGTGAAATCCAGGACGCACGTTTCTTCCTACCTGAGACTGGATGTACTTGCACTGCAGGACTCGAACCCAGTACTATTTGTTTCCAACGCCATAGTGTTATCCACCCAGCTAGTGAGTCCTGATAGCCACTTGCTTGTGCAATGGGGTGAAGTTTAAATTCACTTGATGTTGTTTGCTTGTATCTTCCCTTTGATGTTTAGGACGAAACGCAAGTCTTGGATTTCACTGCTAGCCACCAACCATATTTGCCTATAGTGCTTGTGAATTAAAGCGATAACGAGGCATTCCGCACAGGATACACATATGACAATCAATCACAGCCCTAAACATCGATGGAAAGATTCAAACAAACAATACCCAAAAAGTACAAACATGTTTGGGAAACAAAACCAATGAAAAACGCGAACAACTGAAACGGGTAAATAGTTCGAAATGGAGGTGTTTGTGATGTTTGTTTGCAATAATGATTCCTTAGAAAATTATTCCGCAGCTGCTTCAAGTTAAAGATACACTATCTTTGGCTGCTCTTACAGAGTTCTATCCGACTCCAATACAGGTCCGTGAGTGACTAATAGCGTACTAATTGAACAGTTCAGAGCATTACTAGTTTGCATACAGAACTCAACTACTTCCAGCATTCAATGTTTTTCTAAAAATATGTAATAAATATATTTAAGTGGGGTAGATATTATGTCTAATTATTCCAAGTGAGGCAAGTGTAAAATATTATTAGTGCCTGATAAACCACGTGAAATAGTAAGCTTATTGACATAATGCAAGTTACTTACCAACAATAGATGTTACAACTCGATACCTACTTAACTGTTAACAGCAGCAAAATGTTTCTCAAATGGGAGCCGTAACGACACAGTAAATTGGATGATATGTAAGGGACCATGGATACTTGACAGAGTAAAGAAAGCGTGCCGAAATATCGTGTACAAGAGATCCAGAATGTCTTCAGTTTACGAATTCAAAGGTGTTAAAATAGCCAAGAATAAACAAAGCGATCAGAAATGTAAACGCAAACGATTCTGAATACTACTTTCGCTAGCGAATCCTACTGTTAGGCTCTTGGATTTTTATTAATTCAACCAAGTGACAAAGTCAATAGCACCACCCAAACCCAGGAGATGGTTGTGATACTATGTGTTTAATATGGTTGTCTTCGGATCATTACTGCTTGTCCAACTGTTCTTATATATGTTGAATCTATTGGGTGATCTTAATCCCGAAAATAATGCACGTGAACTTCCCTATTTTACTGGATGATTTACCATATTTTTGATGCCTAACATACCTTTTTTACTTAAACCAGGCTTATATATCAAGTAAACCACTCAAAAAACCATTTTCTTTATTAAATATATTTAACAGCCCTATATGACAACATACTAATATGAAAAACTATGTTGTTTTCAAGCGAACCATATAAGATCAATCATTATTCTGATATTTCTTAATTCTAATTACTGTCGTCACACATTTACAAATGTCACTAATGTAAATACAGTAATTCTTTGTGAAAAGTCCATATTATTACTATCATGTTTCTAGCTGTAGTGCCATTAGTAATGTTGAAAATTTTGAATCCGACAATTAATTTTTTCAGATTTTTATATTACTAACTTACATATATGTTTTATTATCTCTTTTCCACTTGAATTTAATAATTGTTCGAACCTTTTCTATCATTTTCGGCCAAACCCATCATACTAGTTATTGCTACGCGCATTCAGGTTTTTGAAAACCGCGTTTAACATCGTTAAGATAACAAAGTCACCTACATTAAGACATGCTTCACTGTAGTAATAACTAAACTAGCATGTAGTTGTTAGTCAAGCAAACGTTCAAGATAAAACTCTTGAGTCTACTGTTAAAATTAACACCGAAAATTTATTTACTGTCACAATGCAGTGAAACAACTGATAGTGATAACGGAAAGCATCAGAACAACAAAAGATTATCGATGATGACAATAAAAAAATTTATATTTAAGAGGTGCGAGGTTATTTATAGATAGATTTCAAAAACATTGGGCATAGTGTGATGTGGTAATTTAATGAAATGCAGAAATTGATTATATGGATCTGGTGATTATTGTAGAATTTGTGATAAAATTACAAAAGGTTCAAATCACTTTAAAGTGAACGTCTGATATTTGAAGCGATGAAGTAGTGCTTGTCCAGAACTAGATATTAAAGGGTTGCATGATAAGTGAACGAAATCCGAAGAGTTTACATAACATTGGGTTTCATCCCAGATATTTTACTAGTGTGCATCCAGAACTGTAGTACATCACTTTTGTGCTGACCGAAAATCTCAAGTAGTAAGACCTCTTCCGAAAGCGATTTCAAAATAATGCAGTGAAAATTGCTGATAAGTGACCTTTTGGTATTGAAAGATCACTGCGGGAAATATAAAGTTGGCGGTGTAACACGCATAAAAATGAACAAACAATTTTCAGATGGATATATTTCACTGCGTGAAGATGTTAGAACGTTCATAGTGAATTTGCATATCCACATAAAAGAGCAAAACGTCTTTGAGATTGAAAATGACACTCAGGTCAAGTGAGTTACAAATAATTGATAAATAAAACATAGATTTCCCAAACTAACGGAGCAGTATTTCATGACTACCAGATGGCCAAGCGTAGATATCATTAAACAGATTGTTGATGGTAATGTCATTATTTTTGTCTTACTCGACGTTTACAGACCCACTTTTTCTCATGCTGTATAACGAACTTTACTATCGACACATTTACGCTCATGTGAGCACCGGCTTAACAGTTGAAGATAGGATTCAGTCATATTTAAACTATGCCAGCTTATTTAATGCACTTTTGGGTGAGTTGAATTTTATACGTCAATAATTCTAAGACTTTGTACTTGCAGTAAATATTACCAGTTGTATATCGGTGTCAACATAATCTATACACAGAGTGTTTTACATATAATGCCTATATATCAGGATTAAAAGTATCCTAAGGTTATCTAGAGTACACTCAACTCTGTCAAAACGTTAATATAATCATTCGAATCTGGATATGCACTTCTGTAATGCTCGAATGGTTGTGAACGCAACAGAAGTTTTTGCTTAACGGGGCTTCGGTGTCTAGTAGCAGTGGATCACCATTACCTCCAGGCAGGAACCTAGGTATATTAACGATGATAGAGGAAAAAGAAATCGATGAACCATAGTGTTGGAGCTAAACTTGAGTAGGTGTGTAAGGGGATGTCAAGAAGTGTTAAAGATACTGTAAGCCACTAGGTCACCTCTAAGACGCCCTATACTCTAGTGGGTTAAGGTTTAGTGGCTGGGGACGCTCTTCATAAGGCTTGACTTTGAGTCCCTAAACTGATTTCAAGGATCGTCGTTGGATACGCTCCATAGTGTTCTCCTTTTGGAGTGAAGGAGGAAACACTTTCCGTATTCTAAATGAGGACGAATAAAACCGTCGTAGATTATGTGGGAAGTTCTTTCGTCAAACTGACCAAAATGTTCCTCGATGTTACTAGTGCAAGGTTTGCTCAAAAGGCATTTTGGTTGCAGTTAGCGTAAGATTTCAAATCGTTGGGTACCAGCACTCTTAAATCTTTTTCAACTTTCGATACTTCTAGAGAGGAGTTTCCTAAATTGTAACTGTGGTCTGCAACATGTCTCAGATTGAATACTTTACACTTTGAAGTGCTAAAGGCAAGTTCGTTTTCATCTGCCTAACTTCGAAGTCGAGTCAGATCCCCCTGAAGTGTCAGTATATCCTCTTGTTCGCGCATCTCTCTCCAAAGTTTAACATCAGCAAAAAGTAATAAGTCAGACAATACTTGTTGTGGAAGATCGTTTATATAAAAAAAAGAAGAGGTCTTAGTACTGAACCCTGGGGGACTTCACTAGGACATTCCATAGCTTGAAAGAAAGTGAAGTTAACCCTGACCTTAAAATCTCAATTTTTCAGATACAAAGTGAAGCAATCAATTAAAGGTGACCTGATACCCAGTCGTTTGAGTTTATTGATAAGACATATATGGTTGAGCCTATCAAAAGTATTTGAGAATTCAAGTTAAGTGACGTCAACCTTCCCCTTGCGATCAAGGTAGGATTAATCCTACCTAACCTCAGAGCTTAAGATCTCAGATAACCTTTTGTGTTCTGCCGTCACTCCCTGAAAGATAGCTAACATCATGATAATATCAAGGAAGTGGTGCTTCCATCATATCAAATAGTTGTATAGATGAATTAGACAAACTTTGCTCATGTCACATTGGCTTTCATGCTCCTCAAGATAAAAAAAATAGCCTGTTTGTATAGTTACACAGCAAAAATAAAGGCAAAACTACTGCGCTGGCGTTCTGTTAAGAAGCCATGACTTTAAAATAACCAGTATTTCAAGTCTAGATAAAAATTGAGTTTATGATTCATTATAAAGCTAATGACTGTCTAGCTATGCCCCATAACTAGTTAAATATACCTCTAATATTGGTTGTGTTCTCCATATGACAGAGGAACTGAAACGTTTACCTATTTCTTATGAGGCAGCACCAGTAGTGGTTAGGATAAATTCATTAAATACCAGACAGGAAAATAGGATGGACACTCAATTAATATACCAGATACTTGCTTGTGTATATGCGATAGGTTGTTGACACAAATTACAGCAGTCAATACAGTTAAGTCCAATGTAGGTCATTTTTTAGTACTGCAGTACTATAAACTATACCTTTTTATTACTCCTATTCTTCTTGTCATTGTGATAACGCTTTTCATCGTTTTGTTTTTTAAAGCATTGATATTTAATGTTATGACACATTTCTTTACTGTCCGTGATTAATAAATTAATCGTCGAGCGTTTTCCCCTCATTGGTTTTATATCGGTATTAATTATAAGTTATCTATCTGTAGTTGATAGTTCTTTAGTATGGGCAAATAGTCTTCTGTATGTAACGACTCTAGTCAAATTTTATTGTACATTGGAACTTTAAAAATGGGTTAGATATCCCTATCATTAAATTGCAGTAGACAAACCAAACCATTAGTAAAACCCTGTACTCTGTATATTACGGAAATGGTATTTAGCTTATATATGCTTTCCCAAGGAGTTCCGTTGATATTGGCTTATCAACAGTTTTCCAAACTAGCAATTTAATAAACGCCAGTTTTATTCAACTTACCAATAGTCAGTTTTTATACTAGATATTCCGACCGACTACTTTTAAGGTTGACACCAATAGGTAGGATTTTGTACAATTGAGAGTGCAAAGAAAGCAGCACAGATCGCATGACCTGATATTTCCTTTTTATACTTGTAATTGTTCTTGTTTCTCTATATACGAGAAATGTGTTTTCAATAGTTAGTTAATCTCAGTTCCTGTCTTATTTTGATTCATATAAATGTGTTATAACATTTCGCTACAGTTGCTGAACAACCAGTCAATTTGGTTCTCCCTAATCAGTGGTTATGGGATATTATAGATGAGTTTCTGTATCAGTTTCAAAAGTTCTGCAGTTACCGCAGTCGGTTAAAACTCAAACCTGAAGATGAAGCTCAACTTTTAAAGAATCCAAAAATATGGAGCATACATAGCGTTTTGAATGTTCTATACTCTTTAGTTGCCAAGTCAAATATCAATGAGCTACTAAGCTATTATGCTAAGCAAGGTTAGTTATATTTTTCTGTACGTTTCTTTCAAACCGAAACGCTTTTTTTCGTAAAAAATCATGTGAACTTCGGATTACTTGGGGTTTTTCTTGTGATTCCTAAAGGACTTCACCAAGATACTATATTGAGAAGCGTCAAATAGAAAATACCCAAGAATGAATAGAGAAACTAGGACTTGTGTGTTGCAGTGTGATTGGAAAACTGCTTATTTTGTTATAAAATTGAAGGCGTTTCTTCAAGCTTATAGAACCTGTAAACCTATAAGGATGCTAATTTACTTTACATCAGTGAACCTTAAAGTAAAGCTTCCATTCTTCACTCATTTGCTCTACCATTTGCGGCTCAAATGTAAGAAGTTAATATCAAGGGTCCGAGTAACACATATCATTTCTGTACACTGTTTTTGTTGTTTGTGTTAAATTTAAGGCGATCCGGATGATATCGCAGATGATTTTGGTCGTTGCGTACTTTACAAAATGCTTGGGTTCTTCAGTCTTATTGGACTTTGTCGATTACACTGTTTATTAGGTGATTATTATACAGCTATTAAAGTTTTGGAGAATATTAAATTCAATCGTCTTGTAAGTTCTTTTTTTATCGCTTAATATTGTTATGAATGCCAACTTGTTTCCGCACTCATCAGTAGGATTACTGATTTGAGTCTATTAATAAGAATATCTGCCTTACTCTTAATACTCCTAACCAACACTTTACGCTTATAAAATCAATATCACCGCCAACAACGATTGGATATCTCGATTCCCATTGGTCCACACAGCTCTAGTTGTATCCTAAATAGCAAGTGAGAACACGAAAATAGCCGAATTATTCTCAAACTTTATATTTTTCTATTCATTGTATTACTGCGTGACCGAAAAATTCTCATAATCAGGTACATCAGTGACAGGACCACAAGGCATAGTAAGTAATAAATTACAATATTTACCTGATTAAGTCATTTGTAGTAGAAAACTGAGTGTTAGGTATATCATTAATTAACTGTAAATTATGAACAGTTAACGATGTGTGACTTTACTTATAATTATGGCAGCATAAAAATATTACTGTAACCTAAGTATTCGGTAAACATACGATAAAAAGTATGATAATCTATCGTTGGATAGCCCTTAAAGTTCCACCCTTTTCACATCCGTCCATATCTTTATTATTATTATTATTATTATTATTATTATTTATTTATTTAAACACATAAATATTGGTACAAAAAAAGCACCTGATACATATGCGCCTCACAAATCTCATT